GGGACCGGGCGGCTGGGGGGGGGGCATCATCATGCTGCCGGCCGGGGGGGGGGGCAGCTCGAACGCGGGGGGGGGGGGGGGGCAGCTTTGGGACGGGCGGGAGGGCGCTCCCGAAGAAAGTGGGTGGCGCCGGGGGCCCCTGCTGGGGGGCGAACTCCTGCGGCTCCTGCGTCTGCCCCCCTGGATAGGGGTAGAGTCCCGGGGGGGCCGGGCCCTCTCTGGCCCCGCCGGGCCCCGGTGCGCCGTAGCCCTCGCCATACCAGCTCCTCTCGCCGGGGCCGCGGGGGCCTTCGGCCGCCGGCGGGTTGCCGGCGGGGGCCCTCTCCCCCGCTGCCGCCCCCCCCGCCTGAGCGGACAGCGGGGGGTAATGCGGGCCGGGGTTGGCGGGCAGGCGCTCCTTGCCGTAGGGGTACGGCTGGTAGGGCTGACCGTTGTGGGCCGCGCCGGGCAGTGGGGGGGCCGGCTGCTGGGGGTGGGCCTGCTGCTGGGAGTGGGCCTGCTGCTGGGGGGGGGCCTGCTGCTGGGGGCGTTTCTCAAAGGCGGCGGGGGCTGCGGGGCCGCTGTCCCCCGCGGGTAACGGGTTTCTGGCGAACTGGACCGCCGCCGGCTTGTCCATCATCTCATCCTGGGTCGGGGTGCCCCCCCCCTCGTCCCGCACGGGCGTCCCCTCCTGCGTGTCGGCGGCGGCGGGGGCGGGGCTGAAGTGGTCCCCCCCCGCCGGGGCGCTGGAGCTGAAACCCAGGTCGAAGGCGCTGAAGGCCGGGTTGCCCTGCAGGAAACTGTGGATCTTGGACTCTAGACTGGAGGAGGAGAGGGACGCGTCCGGCTCCGGGTTCAGGTCCATGTCTCGGTGCAGAGCCTGGACCAGGGCCGAGGCCTTGTTAGACGTGTGGGGGGGGGCGCGGGCGCCCGATGAGGAGGAGGACGCGGGGGCTACATACGAGACGGACGAGCCCTGGGGGGGGGGGGGCGGGGGAGGCGGGGGGGGGGGGGAGGGAGCAGCCTTGCCTTTAGTGGAGGGGTCGGCGGCAACGCTCGCAGCCGAGGAGCTGCTCAGCAGAGAAGAGATGCCTACAGGACAGAGGCACAGCACACAGAGAGGGTTTTAGCCCTGTTGATATAATGGACAAAAGAAAAAAAAGAACAGTACATTTCATCTGATCAGTGACTCCCGTTTCTCACCTTCGAGGCTGCTTTGGCCCTGGACTTTGGACAGGGCACTGAGGAGGTCGGCGGGACTGACGTCCACCTTGGAGAGGAGGCTGACCAGTGAGCTGGTGTCGTGGGGGACCGCGGGGCCGTCGGGGGGGGCCTTGGCGGCGGAGCTGGCGGGCGCAGCTGCGGGGGGGCTCTCCACGGGGGCTGCGAAAGTGGCGGTGTTATTATTAGCTCGGGTTCGGCACGGCGCCGTCAGAAAAGGCCGCCCGCTCTCACCCCCCCCTCTCACCCCCCCCCTCACCTGCGTTCTTCCCGGCCGAACCGAAACTGTTCAGGATGGCGCCCATTTTACCCACGGCGGCGCTTTCCAGGGCGGCGGGGGTCGCGGCCTTTACGGCGGACCGCTCTGAGGCCGCTGGCGGTTTGTTCTTAGCGGGGACCGGAGTGGACGCGTCTGGTCCGGGGGCGGGCTTGAGCTGGTCCCCGACGGCTGCGAAAGGTACGGAGGCACAATCAGGGACAGCCAGCGGAAAAATGAGGCATGAACGATTTGAATTTAAGGTCAGGCGGTTAGTTTTTGCATCGGCCAGCAGAGCAGGGGGTTATGTTCTGTAGACTCTGTGAGCCGGTGTGTGTCCGGTTTCTCCAGAGTTCCACACTGGCAGGAAACGAGAGAAAAAGCCCGCTAACCTATGATGGCACCACTCTCCGTCTCCTCCTCGGACAGATCCATGTCCTCCACCTCGCAGTTGTCGTTCTCCCCGAGATGCTCCGTGTCTTTGGGGGACCTCCCTGGTGTGGACAGGGGGCTGGGGGCCGGGGGCTCGGCCTCGTCTTCCATGGCGGAGCCGTCGAGGTCGGGGTCCGGGTGGGCCAGCTCCAGGCCGTGGAAGGGGGACTCGGAGCCCGTGGGGGACGGCGCGTCCGCCGACGGCGAGGGGATGGGCGAGTCGTCCAGGTCCGGCAGGGTGGCCTTCAGGCTGTCCAGCTTTCGCTTCAGGTGGGACACCCGGTTAGCAAAGGTCTGGTAGGCCTAACGAGAACACAGATTCCACAATCTATGAGGATTCTTCATCTTTTTAGGGCCTTCGAACCCCCCCATATGTTCAGACAGGAACATCATATTGTAAAATGATATTTAAAAACACATTCTCATTCTTGCACGATGTGACTTGCTTTTGAGTCTATAGTCTAGTCTATAATATTGTCAGGCATCACTGAAGTCGCAGCCTCTTTCGTTAGCTGAACGACTGCTGTCTGTTCAGTTTACACACCTTTTTTCTTTTTAAGTCTATGTTACTTTCTGAGAGAACATGTGTCTGACGACATCCCAACATAACCAAATTTTCTGTATGCGAGCAGCAAAAACAAAGAAACTGAAATGATGTTGGACTGACCACAAAAAAAAGAAGAAAAAAAAACATTGTCGACCTTGATTTAGGTTTATTCCGACCCTTTCACCCTTTCACTTTTCATGCAACATATTTAGTGCCAGAAGCAAATAAGTCATCGCATGAACATTTGCATAAATACTGACCAAATAAAAAAAAGCCTTCAATAAGAGCCACATTCAAACTCTAAAATTTGACCATCTATTGTTTTTGGATTCAGAGGATGAGAGGTGAGGAAAACCTTTGGTGGCATCTGGTCAGACTAAAACCAGACGTCTATTCCACGGGATACTCACATTAGCAACGATCTTGACCTCCTTGTACTGCATCTCATAGAAGATGTCTGCGTTGCCCAGCGCCTCCATGAGCAGAGAACCCGTTTTACTTTGTTTCTCGAAGAACTTCACAAACTCGTGAAGCTGCGAGCTGCCTTCCTCAAAGTCCTTGGAGAACTTCTTTCCTCCGGCTTTATCTGTACGAACCAGGCACGTGAGGGAATTGTAAGCAGGGGAGAGGCGGGCGGGGGATAAAAAGAAAAAAGAACCTGCGAGGCCAGGCGGCCGCTTCACCTTTGAGTCTCCTGAGGGCGTCGGCGCTGAAGATGTCCACCCTCATGGCAGCCAGCTGTTTCTCTCTGAGGTCCACCTCCTCCAGGGATCTCTTGTACTTGGACAGCTGGTCTACCAGCGCCTGGGGCTGGAGTGGACGGCCGCGGCACAGGGGGAAAAAAAACAAAACGGCGTGTGGGTGACGGGAGCACAGGCATCCAGCCGCCGCCCTTTCAAGGCCGCCCGGACCTCTCCGCAGACTTACCACAAACTCAGCCACCACCTTTGACCGGAGCTCCGCGCTGGACTCGACGGGAGCTTCACCAGAGGGAGAGCAGACAGAGAAATTAGGCTTTGCGGCAAACGGCGAGCGGCGCTCACGCACAGGGGTAATGAAAAGAGACGCCACCAGAAATAACGGAAAAGAGGCTCACTTTTCTCCTCCACAGGTGGGGAATCCTCTTTGACCAGGGTGCTTCTGAGATCGGCGATGAGCGTCCCGGAATACACCTCCCTCTCCTCCCAGATGGTCAGAATCCTCTCCACGGATTTGATGACCTTTGGGTCTCCCTCACGGCTGGAGGCAGCAGGGGGCGGAGCGAGAAAAAAACACAGAGATGAGGGCTCTCCGTCTACGTCTCAGATAGATCTTTGAGAAAACTAATCCACGGCCAAGAAGAGCAGAGCCAAAGCAGACGTCCAGCACATCCGGACACATACTCACTTGACCACCGTGAAGGCGTCCGAGAGGATCTCGGCGAACGCCGTGCGGTACACAATGGCATTTTTCCTCTTGCAGTTCTGAATGACGTCGTTGGCGAGGTACAGCAGGTTCAGTCTGTGCGCGGAGTCAGCTGCAGAGGAAAGGGGGACAGATGTTAGTTCAACAGAGAGGCCAGACGTGTTAATGCAGAGAACACCGAGAACTTTACCCCAAGCTGAAAAAACAAAGATAAAGCTTTCTGTCTGGAAATTTCCAGACACAGTGAAGACCACAGAAAAGGTATTTTTCTGAGAGATTGTTCAGACTATGATGAAATGTAGCTCGTCTCACTTCTATACTTTTACCCAAGTGGAGATGAGCTCGGCTGTTTCGGTGACACAGTGTATTCACTTTAAAACGTGGCTTTAAGTTGTTGTTTTTTTAACAGGTCATCTGACTTCTTTTTTTCCTTAGTAATGAAGGGAGCTGCCATCACAGGAAAATTTTGTTCTGGATCTGAGCTGAACATTGTGAAACATGAATTCTACACATTAATCTTGATGATATTGACGAACTGACCACAAAAAAAACGCAACCAAGAGAAAAAAAAGTCCTGTACCGAGACTTAAGTCAGTCACTATGAAAGATATCCCACCACAGTATCACTGTACCACCACTACAATCTTTGTTGTCTTAAACTTTAAATAGGTATCCATACCAAAGCTTATTTCTACGTCACCCATTCAGTAGCAGTTTATTTCACAAAAACCTATATTTGTCGTTCAACTTCACACCATTTCCCATAAAAAACTGGGTCCAAAAAGATCAGATTTTGACAATCTTAAAAAATGTGCTGAACAAAAGCGAAGATGGGAAACCACCCCTCTGAGCCCCCACTTGCAAAGGAAAGTCTTCACAAAAATCCTCATTTCAAAGTGGCATTTAAATCAAAGCTTCAAACACAGTAACTCTGCCCCACACCCTGACTCAGGCAGGGTTTCCCTACATGTTTCAAATCCAAGCCGAACGCCTCTGACTGGGGAGCAAAGTGCTGTTATTCTCAAAAGAATAAATCAAAGCCACAATTCTGACTTCAAGCACAAAATCCCAGTGCAGCAAAAACCAACACACAGATATAAAAACACAAATACCAAGATAAGAAAGCACCACAAAGTGAGCCAGATCAAACTTGGGTAATATACGTCCATAATAATTATCTTCAGACAGCATAGATAAAAAATTGATAAAAATCTAAACTCATCAGAAACTGCATGTTGATACACATACATATATAGATTTAGTCATAACATTTTTGTTGTGTGCAGAAATAAATTTGATTACGGTTGATTTCATAAACGAAACACAGTATAGATATTAAACAAAGTATAACTACCAAAAATCTATTTAGTGTTGTCTTCATTTCAGATGTCAAAAAGGTTTTGTGGCTCTATGTGTTTTCTTTTCTGTGGAAAACGGGTTGTATTGGCTCTCTGAGTGTTTAAGGATGACCGGCTCCTGGTCATCAAACACAAAAAATGGACCAGATTTGCTTTGTAAGTTTACTGTAATGATTACTATCATCAGCATTATTAGAACCTTAAAAACAGCAGCACTCAATCAAATAGCCTCACAGGTTTGTTGATGTTCACCAAACCTGAGCATTACTTCCTCCACTACAGAACAAAGAGGGTCCACACCCTTTCCTACCACACAGCTGGCCTTTTCCACTACTCTTTTATTTATCTGTAGAGCCACATCTCCAGAAGAGAACAGTGAACACTCACTGACAATGTGATAAAACACACACAGCATGTCACTGCAGACGCTGAGGACCTGAGCCGTCACAGGAAGAAAAGACAGCTCTGCCCCTTCCTGTCTGCTGTGTCCATGCTGGCCTTCCAGTCTGTTTTCCAGCCCCCAGGTTTTTGTACATCTGAACAGTCTCTATCTCCCCTCCATCAACGCAGACCGACGGGCACAGTGTCTCAGGTCTTGTGAAGTGGACCACAAAGTCTTTGGTCTTGGGGGTGCTTTGGAGGAGAAAGTGATTTTTGGTACAGCCATTGAAGCTCTGCACAAGTTCCCTGTGATGCCCCCCCCATCCACCCTGTACACATCTCACAACACAGGTTGTGGCACAAGAACATGAGGATTAAAAGAAAAGGAGCTGGAACAGTAATCTGTGGAGCCCCAGAACTGCATTTCAGAAACACATCTCCCCAGCCTGACATACTGTAGTAAAACATGTCCGAATGTGAGCAAATCTAAATGCAACTCTGATCACAGGAAAAACTACAATTAATATTAACACAAAATATTACTATAAAAGATTTGTGAAGAATTTGTGCTTTTGAAGCTATGTTAAGATTACAATCTCCCTCAAAATTAAATGTTTCCACAAGTTAGCCCAATATCATCTGTAGATGGAAAGGTTTGTGCTACTTTTAAAAAAGTACAAGTTGTGAGTAGGATAGAGGATGTTTTTTTACTTGTGGTCTTTACTGAATTGAGTGGAGAGATCTGCACAGCTGTACTGTTATGGTTGAATTCCCAAACAAATTGAACTTCCCATTCTGTGTCTAAATGCTTGTTTCCCTCCACTAAAATCAAAGCCATAATGAGGATGTAAATAACCCATCTGTTAGCGTAGACTAACCGATAGTATGGAAAGTGAGCTATTATTTTAACACCTGGAAAAATGTGACAACTCGAGTTCACAGTTACATTTCAACAAACTGTCAGTGAGGCAGATGGTAAAGCCACTTACAATTTCTCAAACACTTCATCCAGTATCGCACAATGAGACTGTGGTACTTCTTGTTGTCGATGCACCACGTTGACAGTCCTTGAATGGAATCCATCGTGTTGGTCACACTTCGAAATTTTCGGTCTAACGTGGACTCCAGAGAACCGCCAGAAGTGGCTCCTGCTCCGGCTGCCATGTCCAGAGGCGATCGCGCCGGGCTCTATCATTCCAGAATGAAGTTAGCCTTTGCTAGCTTTTAGCTTAGCATGTTAGCTTAGCAAAGACACCAACGCACTCAGAAGCTACTCCACTACAACTGCAGTATCATAAAAAAAATGGTAAGAATAATAACTTTGCCCTATACTGTACCCAGTGCTCTGCCTGTGCTTATAAATTTCCCAGCATGGAATTCTGTATCACTGCTTAGTGTTCATATCATTTACCACTTGCAGTTAAAACTTGCGCCTTGCGACATCCTGTAGCCGTGTTTGCTCGTTGATGGTGAACGCTTCCGGAAACATGATTTGACAATGGCGCCACCTAGCGTCACGGAAGGTAACAGCGAGGGAAGCCATCAGGATACACGTAAGCTGTTTGCGCCACCTGCCGTATTTAACGGTTATAGGTAATGCGCTGCACCATTAGTACTCTGAAGAACATTTTTTTAAAACACCTAAACTGTTTCAGAATTTCTTTAAATATAAAGCGTAACACAGCTGCTGTAAAAATGACTGTACTCGTTTAGGGCCAACACTTCCGGAAAGATGACGTGACTAAGGTGCCACCCATAACTTCGTATATATTATGAGCAAAATGTTTATGTAATCTAAACAACGCCCTGTACTTATGAACAGGCACTAGTAAAAACACATTTTATAATAGAAATAGATAACTGTCCATGTGCAACTTTTTCAGTTACTTGCAATTTTATATAGACAACAGAAACAAGAGCTAATAAGATCATAAGATCAATTGAGGTAATTCAAATGTATTTGAAAATAAAACTAAGTTTCTCATGATTAATAAGAAAACTGCACAACATTGATGGAATTCAATCAAAATTTGATTGAATCCCTGCTACCTTTCAGGTTGTAAAACAGAGATCTGCTTGATGTTCAATTTAATTCTCATTAAGAGTTTTAGCAATAGACCAGTATCACATAATTGTAATTGTAATATATTTAAAAAAGTGTAAAACGGCAAGAAAAATATAGACTTCATCAATTTCAGATGAGCTTGGGCTGTCATTTAACTAACCATATCAGTCTTTCATATATAAAATATCTTCATTTTATTAAGCAATGGCCAACAATGTCCATGTTTAAAGAAATAGGGAAATTTTTCACACATACATATGAGAAAACTATTTTTACTTCGGTTTCACAAGAGTGTAACTCAGCACAGTGAAAAATGTACTGAATGAGGCAACATTTTATTGACTAAAACATTATGCTACAGAATTGTTTTCTGCCTTGTGCTTACAATTCTCCTTTGAAATAACATAACGCACAAGTCAGTAATGATAAAGCTTGAGACATCTACACAGAAGCACATTTGGTTCGCATTGACACGTATGGTGAAACTATTTTATTTACCAATGTTTAATGGATTTCAAATGTCTTTAAATTATTTTGTTTAATTTAAAGTAAGGCTGACTGGTGATGAATCACCAGAAATGAGACCTGGTTTTAAATACAGTGTGGTACAAAACCCAAATGACACATATTCAAAAAATAAATGTGTTCAGAAATGGAAATGGTTCAATTGATCTTTTCTCATTTAAATTCTGCATTGCATCCTCAACAGCACTTACAATGATGTCATAGTCCGTTTTAAATGAGGCACAGAAGTTGGTCTTTGCTCTCACTTTGACACACTGGATTTTTTACTTTCAATACATGTAACAAATGTAGAAATAAAAAAAATAATTTAAAAAAGCTGCATTTACTTTTTCTCCCTTAATTGTTCCCTTCCCTGCACAGTGCCAAAAATAGTTTAGCCTAAAACTCACTTATTCAAGTTCCCATTCAATCAGCTGATGGAATCGAACCTGTGAACGACTGCTTTTATAAATAAATATCACAACCCAGAGGATGTTCACAGATGTGTAAAAAAATTCTTGCTATCCAAAGTGCAGTTGCATCAACTCGTACAAGTTTAAATACATAACTTTGACTCTTGACGTTAAGCATTTCAACGTTTTTCTACCAAGAAATTAGGGACTGACATTCAGCCAAGTGTTTTCTGTTTGCCCGTCCTACTCTGATTGTACCAGTTTTATGTGATCAACACATACTTTCCTTAATTTGTGCCGGCAGAAACAAAGATGATGTTATTGTTGGTTGCAGGCAGGAAAATAAATAGTGACAGCAGTGTAACCTGTGAACGATGAGATAAAGTAAAATGGTTTTTGTTTGGCACGTTTTGGTGGTTTAACCTACAATCGATTAGCTGAGAAAACTTTCCTGGGATCCTTTTTTTTTTTTTATTGTCTGTGTTTGTTGTAATGATGTTCCTCCTCTGTCACAGCGAGAGGTGAGTCGAGGCAAAAGTCCAGTATGATTCGTCTGTGGGCGGAATTACAAAAAAAAAACTACCAAATGGATGAAACTTTGTGTATTTCAACAGCTGATGAATAAATCCTAAGTTAATCATAAACAGTGATGATGTCCATCTTAGGTTTCTGGAGGATATGGTAAAACTTAATGGTAGTCCATTTAAGTATGTAACATAAAAATCTCATCAACTTTGAACAAAACCACCAGTAAGCCACCCCACCACTTTCATAAAGGTGACGTCTGATTCTTTTACCTATAACATCCTAAGCTGCTACATTAAGGGCTGCCTCACATGATGTGAAAAGATGGCAAACAGTGCACAGACTGCTTTAACACACAACATAAGAGAAGTATCTCTAAAATCCTTTAACTTAATTATGTACACAAATGTGAACCTCTTAAAAAACAAACTATTAACGTAGTGCAAAAACCCCTTTTAAAAAAAAGGAGAAAAAAAACACTGGATAGTTAGGGGTTAACGAGTGTCTTTCCTCTGGTTTAATGTGCTTTGCAGCCATAACAGACTGGCTCTCCGCCTAACTTCATGCTTATGTAATAAAGTCCGCCCCCTGCCTTTACTCTGGCTGGCATGCTGAGGCAACTCCATGTGAGACCAAGGTCAGCCAGAGCCAGTTAAGGTGAGTCAGTTGCTGTGAGGGTGTTGCTCGAAGACACTGAGCAGTCCTGTGTAACTGGACTGCTACACGAGGAGGGATGACAACTCTCCAGAGACTTCCCGGTCTCCTTCTCACTCCTGCTACATAAATATGACACCCCTCTTAAAGGGCCAGTCCTGTCTGGAACCTCCGGGCCGGTCGTGCAGTGCTCCCCGGCCGCCTCCTCCTCTAGAGTCCGTTTTTCAGGCGATAAAGGAAGACGTGAAATGGTGTCGGGGGTGCTGGCGGCCTGCCGGCTCTCGTGTGTCCCGCGTTGATGGTGGCTGCGCTTGGTTGGAGTTCTGCCAGCGTCGTCGGGGTCTGACCAGCTCAGCTTCCTCTTCTGCCATGGAAACAGAAACACCAAAGAGAACGACTGTGATGAGGGTCTGACGGGAGGGGGAATTCTTTAAAGCCTCCACAAATACCCATCTCTTTTCTTTGTCCCAATTCTGTTCGTAAAATTACCCCAAAACATGAATTGTGTTGCTGATCCTCCGGGAGCAAGCTCACCTTGACTGGGATGTGGAGCTGATTTTGGTGCCAGTGGGGGGTGAGCATGGGAGTGGTGGTCTGGTTTGGTGTGTCTGTGGACTTGAACGCCTTCTGAGGAAACCACATCTTGAGCAGCACCTCTATCTGCATCAGGTTCTGAAGGTACTTCTCACTGTGCACAAAAGGTCATGAAGGAATAAGACTTAATAGGTCTGCCTGATGTGCACAGGTTTACTGGTATTAAAATCAAGCCGTTGATCTTGGTCTTACCCCATTTCAGGTTTCTGCAGGACTCCCAGTATCCTCTGCAGTCTGTCGATGGCCACGCTCTGCTGGAAGCTGCTTAAACCTATTTCCATAGGACAAGATGTCAATTAATGTCAGGATGAGGGGGTAATTACGCCCACACATGAAAAAATCACACGAGATACGACTCTTACCTCTCTCAAATCGCCCCGTTTTTAAACCGCAGAGAAGCTCGCACAGAGGACGGATAAACCTGTGCAAATCGGCGCACTGAAAAAAAAAGAAGAAAGGACAACGTCTTATTAGGACCAGTGGAGTCTGACACAGACGGAGAGGGGCAGACAGCTCTCCAAGCTTAAGGCTGTGCTCACTTTCTGAGCGAAGGCCAGGTCCCCCGGTGTTGCCGAGGACGACCGGAGCGCGGCGGCTCCGGCAGCGAAGGCCGGGTCTGGACGTTTAGCCGGGTCGTGGCACAGCTTGGACTGGTCGTGCTTGGACCTTGAGTGCAGCTGATCGGGGCGAGATGGGAAAGCGAGGTAGTTTCCTGAAAGTGTCACTTCCTCGTCGGCCGAGAGGGAGCCTTTCATTCCGCCCTCCCCTTCCCCCTCCGAGAAGACGTCCGTTTCATCCTCGGTCTGCTCGCTCTCGCTGAAGAGGAAGCTCGAGGTGGAGGGGAGCGAATCGTAAGACGGCCATTTGGTAGAACTGCCAAGTGAATTCATCTGTGGAGAGAGGAGGAGTTGGTCAGAGATACGGAACACTGTGAGCGTTTACTGCATGTGCGAACATATTTTATCAGCGAGTCAAATATTAGCCCAAACTTGCATGGGAACAATCTTTTTTTTTTTTCTCCAGCAAAACAGAATTCATTTGCTTTTAATATATATGAATCGTAAGCCCACAAAAGCAGCCATTTTTTGTGGCAAACTTAATAGTTTCCAATAAAATAATGCAGCAGTTTTGGCCACTGGCAGTGCAGCTTGTCCTGATATCACAGACCCATCAGAGGATCTGATCTCAAAAGACCAGAGCAGGGACATTTTTTTTCTCACACAGCTGCGAATCCAAGAAAAGGGTGCAGCGTGTTACCATGTTATTACCACAGCTTATGACCCGTCCTGACCTGAGAGAAGTGTCAAACACGTGGAGCCTGACATTAACGCTGCTTTTGTTTGTGTGGCTGTTGAACTGTTTGCTTTGGTCAGGTCATTGTGGTCAAAGCTGAGTGAGTGATAAGATTCACCGAGACAGTCCGGAGCAGCCATTAGCCCAGCAGGACGCAATTTTGTCCCCATCGAGTACGTCTTTGCGTATTTGTTTGGGGGAGAAAAAGACTGACAAATGCTGTCGGAGGGTGGCGGTTTAGAGGATGTTATTATCAGCTGTGACAAACAGAAGCCTAAAGAGCAATGGCTGCTAATGAGAGACAAATCTCAACAGGGAGGATGCAAATCAAACTGCCCTTTGGTCCGGTTAACTAGTAATGGCTGTTTTTTTTCTCCAGATATGGAAGCAGAAGAGCTTATGTGAAGGAGGGCTCTCTGTCTTCTCTTTGACAAATTACTTTTCATGAAAAAATAAACTAAATCAATCCTAGGTTATGTGCAGATGCAACTTCTTGCTATTCTAAATAATCTATATAAAGATTATCATTAAGAATAAAGATTATGTTCTCAGAAAAAAGATCAATTTCGGGACACAGCGGCTTCCTCTTCTAAAGACTATTCTCTGATTGGTCGGTCTGGCTGGCCTGAGCTGCTACACCCAACCTCTAAATTCTTCATCCACTATACTGGTGCAAGGATTTCAAAATCTAAGAGTGTTTTGTTACAGTTTAGTGCCGCGCCCTGAGTCAGCAGCCTTTTCACAACTACTGGTGTGTTGACACCTAACAGATGTGGTCACGTTCCAACAAACTCTGGTGCCACTGACTGGTTAGTGAGACCTCCCGAAGCCCGAGAGGCAGTGTCATATGAGCTTGGATGCTCAAAACAAAAAACAAAACAAAAACAAAAAGAAGCAGAATTGGCGTAAAAACATGCTACTGTTCCCAACTTATACAGCTCTGATGAAACAGGAACCACATGTAAACCCAAAAGCCCCATTTGATTATTCCTTTCAGGCTTAGCTTGTGCTTCACAACGTGTCAGCTGCTGCTTGTTGCTGGCTAGTGAGAGTCTGGCCATAGACACCCCCTATCTCTGCCACACCCCCTTTTAACACATCATAAACTGCTGTGGACTCATTCCTTTAGCACAGGCCACAGCACGGCTTTGGAAGTTTGGTTAACAAAATACTGTCTGTCAAAAAAGCCGTCCAGTCAGTAGAACCTCATCCATGTGTTGCTTATCAGACAGTGAATTCAAACAAAATTCCTGCCTTTCACCAGAGAAAAATCACCAAACCGCAATACTGAAAACCCTATAAAGTGCTAGAATGAGTCATTCCTGCAGACTAAGCTTTTGGGTTTTGGACAAAGGAGCCAGATTTCTGGCTGGTTTGAATGTGAAAACGATTTAATGAGAAAGGAAATTTATTTTCAATCATGGTGCTAAGCTATCAGCTGCCATAACACACTTAAGATAAAACTGATCGTTAAAAAAAACGTGTAAAACGTGCCTTATTTTCAAGATTATATTGAACATAAGAAGGGATCTAATTTATGCCGAAAAGAAACATGGAATCTCCTCGTGTGCCTGAAATACACATCGACGAGATGAATAAGTGAGAGCAAAGGGATTTCAAATGGATGTCTTAATCCAGCAACACACACAAAAAAATATTCTGTGTGTGTTAAATTGAGCAAGATAGTATTATATAAAACCTGCTGGTGTAAAAAATGTTCAAAAAATGAGTTTCGAAAACACCAGCGTTGCATTATGTAATTATACACCACGTCTTGAATCGACACCTCGTGTCTGATTTCTAACATTCCAAAACATCGTGAGATTTTAAGGCATAAATTACTGCTCTGAAAAGGAAATTATGTGGCCAAAAATGCCAAAAAAACAAGCGTCCTGGCTGTAAATTCCCGGAGGACCCCCAGAAAAGCTCCCACAGCTCCTCCAACAACACCGACGCCCGTCCGTAAATGACATTTCCACACACGTGCAGTCCCGCAAAAACTGGCCAAATCGTTTGAAAAACAGATGTGTGCAGTGGCAGCCCGCCTTAGCTCTCTTTTCTAACCTTTATCCTGAGACATGTTCAAACTGCAGTAAGCTTTAACGTCAACGTCCATCTCACAATTTTAATTCAACCGAGATTACATAAAAGTGCTCATAACTGGGAGGATTTTTAACTCTTTGAATATCTCAGCTAAAACAAAAATTTATAAAAACGGAATGTGTTGAGTCTATTTATCCCACATAGAACGTCCAGAGGCTTGAAAATGAGATAATATCCAAAACAACAATAAATACTGAATGAGGAGTTCATACCTTTTTGTTGTCGACTATCTGGTATCCCAAAAGCTGAGAAAAAAAAGATGCTGTTTGAAAAGAGTTGAACGAGACTCGGAGGAAAGTTCAGCAGAGGCAATAGCTCGGATACGGAGGCAGCTGGGACTCTTGTTCGGTTACCGCTCAGCTCCGCCGCTTCCTGTTTCTCCCGTGCTTGGGTTTCTTGCACACGGCCAGATCTCCCCCCCGTACAAAAAGTACCCACACCGCGCAACGGTCGCTACACGTGCTCAACGGGCACCGAGTCACTGTAGGCCGAGGCGAGCGCTCCCATTGGCCGGGAGCTTCGCCCAATTAGCAGCGTTCACGGCGACGATTGGCTGCCGCGCACGAAATCCCCGACGCACCTCCGATAGCGGCACGTGCGGATGGTGTGGCTCGCGGAGGGGAAACGCAGCACGAGGCAGCTGGCGTATGTTTGATATCTTGCAATCCATAACGACTCGCGTTTGGCTTCTTCGACAGACATAGAATGCTATATTAGTCTATTAAGTACACAGGCTATAGTTTTAGAACTACTTGACAGAGTTTATCACATTAATCATAACCATTTTACCAACGTACTCAAATCAGTTATCTGTATTATAATATAATTTAAGACAGATAGGAGACTAAAAAAATATAACGATAAATTAAATGTGTAAATATAGATAAATGAAATTAAAAATAAGGTTTTCTGTACAATGAATAACGACACATTACCTGTCTTTTGACAAATGTGTTTTTTCTCAGGCTCAGAACTAACTGGTTTAGCTCAGAAGTTTGGTCTGGTCGTGCATGAAACAAACAAATGCTGAACTGATAGCACAGGTTTACCCCCACATATAAGATCGATTCTTAAAAATTGAGAGTTTCTAATTCCTCAGAGTGTGTTAGAGTTAGATAAACAGTGATAGGAGACATGCTTTCACAGAGGCATTAAAGCCTTCAGAGATGACGCTTGGAAGGCAGAGTTGCATAATTACATAATAAGATAGGACGGAGGAGTGAATCACATCTTTAGTCACATGCAGAATGAGATGCTACCTATATGGGGATTAGGTAACTACACAGTTTGCCTATTACAAGAAACAAACGTTTAGAATCTCCGCAGTCGTCACTAAAAGGTGAAGAAATAAGTGACAGATGCTTAACTGAAAGAAAAGGGAGTGACAAAGTGTGCCACTTGATCCTTTTCTGAAATATCTCTAAAGACTGGTTTTGAACAATGGAGTTGAATTGTCAACAGACCTAAGATGCACTAGATTTTTGTGGCTGGCTGCACATGCAAATCCCCGGATCAGTAATGTTATTTTTCTGACTCATTGTTAACGGGCTCGACACATGTTCCTAAGTTTGCTTAGGAACATTTAGTTCCAGATTTATTTTATTGCAACACACCAGATACTGTAACCATGCAATCATCAACTGCCAGCACACTCAGCTGATAAACATATCATGCAAACAGTAGTGGGAACTTTCAAAGGCTCTCTTACAGACAGATGGGGTTGTTTATCAATGCTCAGATTCTGGGTTGGAAGTCTGCCGAGGAAAGTTTTCGGCAGGTTTAATTTATGGTTTAATTTCAGATAGCACCATTGAGCAAACGAGAACATTTCTAAATGACTTACTTTGGGCTGGCATCACCAGGAAGGAGCAAAGACTGTGAGCTGTAAATGTTGCCCATTAAACAGATAAGTAAGCACATGATATTTATCAACTGATGAAACGGAGGCTGGCAGCCTATAGGTGGGGGCCAGTAATAACATTTTCACATTTCACAGTATCCATGCACATTCTATATTGCACAAACAGCTACATTTTTATGATTAAAATGTTCTTTAATAGCTACTTGAAAAAAAGATATTAAAAAGCCAACCCCATATATAATGTTGGCTTGATAACACAGTGTTTTACCTGAGTCAGCTTTCATGATGAGTTCACCGCAGTGAAAATGTTCCCTGTGGCATTTGTTGACTGACTTTTAATTAGGATTTCATTTTTTAGAGGTAGTTATTGTAAGTGTTAAAATATTCTTTCCATGGAGACAGAGTCCAGGTTATCTTTCTTCCAAAACCTTTGACAACCCGAGTGAAATATTTCTTGAACAGTGACTCCGGTCTTCACTTGAAATGCCCATAGTTTTTCTTGTCTTTTCTGCAAATATTTCAACCACATAGTACTAATAATTTGAGAATAAGAGACAGGAATAATTCATCCTACAATACAGATGTTACAATTTATGTTGTGGTCAGATTAAGTGTCATGAAAAATGTTTGTCATGTGATTTTGGTGAAGCTCAAAGAATTGTAGCCCATGCAAAGAAACCCGCACCATACCTGGATATAAAACGCTCTGATTTGTTGGGTCAATCCTGAACTTTAGACTATTGAAGCAAGATATGAGAAAAATCTTTTATAAGGTTGTTAAATATTGCAACACTGGTCACATGTCCAATAAAAAAAGAAAACCAGATGTGCTATTTTCTTTTTCTACCAATGTAGAAAGCTTAAACATAAGAAATATCATCTCATAAGACTATTTTTTTGTGCCCACACATTAACATATAATAGATGTACACAAGATGAACAAAACTGAACAGCACGTGTTTTACGTGCTGATCATTTAAAAAAAATACTCATATGTGGCACCAGTCAGTGTAAACTGTGTAAAATGGCTGTGGTGGCCATAGGCTAAACATAGGCTAACCTTGTAGACAAGCAAGCATGCCAAAAATGATCAACTGTCACTGCGAGTGGAAGAGCAAAGGCAAGTATGCTCTTTTATAGGATTTGTGTGCATTTGGGGAAATGTGTGACAACGTTATGGCAAAACTGTGCGGCGTTGACCTATGACCTACAAAACTGCTGCTGAGTTTGGGCGGCGAACAGTGTGAACATCTTAAATCAAATAAAATCACATTGAATACACTCTGAACTTTCTCTCCGTGGGGAGGAAAATAAAACCATTGTATCTTTGTTGCTAAAATAAATATATGTCTCACAAATACTGGTCATTTATTTATTGGAGAGGTTGAAAATGCATGAAACATTATTTCACCCTATCCTGCTGCCAACATGCCAAATGTAGTGAAGAAATACACTTCACAAAGTATGCATGCTGACAAACATTTGCTTCTTTTTTATCCTATCAAACGATGCCCCAGCCACTTTTGTCCGTATGTACAAAATTTGCCTTCAGATGTGACAGGCTGTTGTTTTTCTGCCACTGTGCTTAGTAAGTTCACTGTTCAAAGCTGATCTTCAACACGCTCCATCTTCCTAGCACCCGATCCACGGATCCTCTCTGTTCGTCCTGGAGATGAAGGCAATTTTTCGAGCCATCTCCGTGTGGTAAATTCGCCGACAGTTCTCAAAGTTCTTCCGCTGGCGCTCTCTGCAGGGCTTCTCAAAGTAGCGCTTGCGCTTCACCGCGTCAACAACCCCGTCCTGACTCAGGAATCTGGAGAACGTGGAGCAAACATGTGAATATCCACTGCACCATCCAATACATAAACACGAGAGAATAAAGCACGGGGAAAGCACGGATACAAACGTTCGCTAGTACTGGGGTACGACTTCAGCTATTAGAGAATGTTTACCACAACATTTATAATTTTCAACCTCCATATGTTACATACACGTTAATGCTTGTTCCCACTGCGCAGGCGCAACTCGGTGACATTGAGCGGAAGGCTGACTTTGATCCATCTTAGGTAAGCTTATCATTCCAAAGATAATCACGAATTATCCAATTTTAATGAATATACATGCAAAACGTTCACCTGTTTAAAGTCTTATACGCTGCGTCAACGTTCCCATCTTCTACCATCACAGTCCGAGCTATGAAACGTAGATGCCTCGCCATATTGGAATGGGTGCTCCCGATATTGTCATCCGGGCGTTAACAGTGAAAGAAAAACGGTTCCGTGTGCGACAAGCTACACACGAACCAACGCTAGGTGACGCTTTACTCAACCATTTGTGGACATATTTGCAATTCATATAACGTTCCCGTAATTTCTGAAATTTACTGGAAGACATACATATGTATGTCTATGTATCTAGTTAAACTGGGAATTTGAAAGGTGTATTAAAATCGAGGAACTTTCTATTTACTTTGTGATTTGTATTTTCATTGCAGTTTATTTGAACTATCTATTGTTCATATTATAACTATTAGATATATGAACGCAACAGTTGTTATGAGGTGACGCCATTTACTACCCCATTTTAAGGTTATTTCTCTGTTGTCTTTCCCATACACAAAGTAATTCAAAGCCACTTATGAATGCTGAACTTAGTGGCGTTTATCTATTTGTTTTCAAATGTAGTCATCCTTTGGAATAATACGTTTAGGGGAGAGTGCATGCATATCATTAGAAAAATTGAAGTTTGTATTTACAGCTTTGTCTTTCTGTTTTGCACTGGCATGAAACCCCATGTCTGGTATTATTTATCCAGACCTCCTCATATCAGGGAGGTCAAAGAATGTTATTATAGTGTGTATAAAGGGGAATGGGTTTTAAGGGTTTTACAGATTTATTCGGCTACAAATGTTGTCATAGCAGCAAGGACCGCAGGGTCAGTGTTATTCTATCATCAACGCCATTCTCTTCTTCCACTTCCCAGCTCTGAGCTGCTGCTGTTGTCTGCATGACTGAATTAGAGGTCAGCCAGCGGTGAGTACTGCCACAGAAGGTGGGTTCATATGCATTCTAAATGCCTCGATGTGCCTTTTTGCTATATGAATTAGCCGATGAGGTGAATTCCCATCCCACTGTAAGTTTGTGGAATGCTGTGATTCATGGTGTCACAGGGAGAGACTCTCACACAACCTGGGAGGATGGATCCTTTTGTTGGATGAAAAGTGTGCATCATGTTTCAGGAGACATCTCATCCGATCCAAACCTGATGAAATATCCCTGGCAGGGAGTGAGTGCATTTGTGATTGAAAGAAGAGGGAAGAACAATCTAAACAAATGAAGGTTTATCCAAAGAGGATCAATCTTACTTTGTTTTATTTCACTTGTGGTGCAATGGTCAAATGCACTGACAGTGCCTCAGACATGAATAATATAATAATTTATTTGATTTAAACAAACAGTGCTTTCTTGCTTGTTGCCATGGAGACACATAAGTTCAATAACTGTCCATCAACCACAAACTAAAAGTGATAGATAGATAGATAGATAGATAGATAGATAGATAGATAGATAGATCTTAGGCTCTTCCTCACTATCTGTGTCGGCTGTAAGCCAACATCAAACGCTTTACTGGAAGCGCATTTTCAGCTCGTATCCAAATCTTTCACCCCTCTGCCAAAGGCGGAGGGCGCCGTTAGACTCCGGGGTGCAGCCCCCCCCCCCCCCCCCGAGCTGTCAGCCAATGGGAGCCTCCGCAGATGCTGGCCGCAGAGACGGCTGCACAGAGCGGGACAGACCCGGAGCCCACCGCAGAGTTCGCAGCCAGCGCCGACCGCTCATCTGGTAACACCTTTCGCAGCGAAATGGAGAATAAAGTCACTGATTTCTCCGGAAAATGGAGGATGAAGTCCTCGGAAAACTTCGAGGAGCTTTTGAAAGCGCTGGGTGAGTTCTTTACCTCTGGGCTTCTCATGCAAACGCCTTTTTTGGGTTAATTGGTTTGTTTGTCAAAAACTACACAAAAAAAAGCTGTTGCATCTGTTTGTTGCTGTTTTTTTTTTATAGTTATTATTTGAGGATTAAGATGTTTCATATGCATGAGTTCTGGTTATTTCAAGCAACTTTTTTCCGTTGCTTCTTTGGTTGCTCTCTGGTTTATTCATCAGCCACTCACCTCCATTGTTTAAATGCAAATAAAGTTTCCCAAAGTGGCTTTTTCACATTGCTGCTGCCTGAGAGTACTCTTCCCGTTAGGGTACTTGGGTTTGTGCACTATTCAGGTCTGTGTCCCTTTTGCAGGGCCGAGGTCAGGGCGAGGGCCATCCAAAGGCATCCATTAAAAATCTGAAGACAAATAGCCCGTGGACAAATGTTAGATCAGAGGCAGGGTCCTCCTCATGCGGTTGTAATTACAGCCAATGGAAACGGAACTAAGCCTTGACATGGGCCCCAGCAGCCAGCCAACGCTATGACTGACTTTCCTTCAGTGCCCGGGGCCTCCCTGACCCAATCTAAAGCTGTGTGTGTGTCCGTGTGTTGCTTTTGTCAGTACCTCACAGTGAACAAATATGGTCTGAACTAATTCAGACGTCTGAGCTCTCTCTGTCTCTGAAGGGATCCCAACTCACTTTAATAACAGGTCAACTGGCCCTTTCCATTTAGTTGAAATCACATGTCTACTGTGAAGAGTGTACACTCTGATGCAAAGTCAAATATCCACTATTTTACATCCTACATGTAGTTTCTTTCAATTCCACTGATAGCTCATTTAGCCGGCCGTCGTGGTGTAGACCTGTTGAATTGGGCTGGGTCGTAGAGGGCAAGGCGTAGCATTTGTGCTCGATGGTACTGTTGAAAAGTCGGCACAGACAAGAAAATAACATAAACTAATTATCAACACAAACAAGAATACCACAAAACTATCAGAACAAATGGAAAAATCTGTGTAAATTAAACCTGTGGCCACTATTTGTTTGTGAATTCAGTTGTGGTCATAATTATCAATCTAAATGGCAAATCCTTTACTCAATATAAACACATAAAGTAGTTTTTATTGACTTTTAAAAAATCTCTAAGGTGAGGACAGTGACAGGCTCAGATTGATCTGTGCCTCATCTATGAAATTACAGAAATTTGTGGAATTCTAATCAGCGGCATTACAGCTCTTGAAGGTCTAGACGGGCAATTAGTCAAACAAGGCTCTAACACTCGCATTTGTGAATGATTGGGATTGGAATGGTCACATCAGTTCTTAGGCCTGTTTTTTATTCTAAAGTACAAATACAGGCTAGTGAACCTGTAATAAAGCTGCTGGGTTTTAGAATGATATATCTGGCTTTGGGTCTGTTCATTAGAGAACAGCGGTAAGAAAGTGGAAACTTGAAACCAAGACATTAATCACAGGTAATATTTTATTGACCTAATGTTCTGTGTTCTTAACACAGTGGGATTGCTATGTAACAAAGCTGCACAGACTGTTACTTAAAACCTTTACATTCCCATAAAGAATGCGTTAAAGGGAATATTCTTTCTTAGCAAGCAGCTGATAAGAAAAAATTGTGAAAAGCACATTAATATGTTTGCTGTTTGTCATTACCAAACAATGTATTGTTAAAACCAAAACTATGGAAGTGTGATAATCATATGTAATTCTGTTGATATGCACACCTGTGATTCTCCGCGGTGTTTGTGTGGGGTCAGGTGTGAATGTGTTCCTGAGGAAGATCGCCGTGGCGGCAGCCTCCAGCCCGGCCGTGGAAATCACCCAGCAGGGGGAGAGTCTGTCCATCAAGACGTCCACCAGTGTCCGCACCACCCACGTCTCCTTCACAGTGGGTCAGTCCTTCAGTGAGGCCACGGTGGATGGACGTCCCTGCACAGTGAGCAGCCCTTCACTCCTCGTAAAGCACGCCTGTGTGATATCAGTACATGCATACCAGGATTTCGCCAAGGACAGCACGACTGGCCACAGTTCTGCACAAAGAAACATATGGAAATGATTTCAGTGCAACTCCAGAGTCAGCCGGGGTGATAATGCTGAGATCTGGTCTTAATTTCGTCTTGCTGAATGAGTGAGGCCATAAAAATGTTCTGAAATGCACCGAAAGGCACTCTGAGCTCCAGTTGAAACCACTCCCAAACTTTGCTAAAACCCCACCGTTCCAAGCACTTCGGTGGTGTAAGTTATTCTTTTCTTTGTATCCCTGCAGAGTTTTCCTAAGTGGGAAACAGACCGAAAGATCAGCTGTGAACAGACTTCACAGAAAGGAGATGGGCCCAAAACGGCATGGACCCGAGAACTTACCAATGACGGCGAACTCATCCTGGTAATTATTTTCTAAGCGGCCCTCAAATGCAAAAGACGTGTTAAATTCAAGATTTTAAAGGTTTTTAAATATGAGAAGACTGTCTGCCTTGACAGGTTTATGGGAGCCTAGTTATGTTCACGGGGTTTGTACAACTGTGGGGTCATAAATTGCCAGGGCTTTGAGTTCATTTTGTTTTTGGTTCCCAAATTCCATTGTTCAGAGGGTCTGAGATCTCTGGGTCCCAAGTAGTAAAAGTTTGCAGGCCCCTATGCTCGTATGATTTTATATTCACTAGGTCTTGATATTCTTGGTTTACGTGTTTTCGTTGTCATCTTACGACACTGACTTCATAGAGTAAAATATTCCTACAGTTCTGAGTTCTGGAAATGACAGCAATGTGTCCAGTCAGGGTCTGCCACCATTTCATATCTGCTCCTGAGTGCAGGATGAATCTTTTACTTCTTAATCTCTGAAAGACCCTTACATTTAGTTGAGTGTTTGGATGGTGTGTTATGCTAAAGAGACGTGACAGATGCTCTTCGCAATTTTATTTTCGAGAATTTCCTGGGGACCTTGACCATTTTGGTTTGTTGTGGTTGTGGTTGGGGTTGACCTGCTGAAGTTAAGCAAAGGCAGAGCTGGGAAAAGTTAGATTTCATGTAGCTTTGTAACACAAAACAGAAAGTCCATACAGGATTTGGGAAAAGAGGAAACTAGGATTTTTAAAGCATGATAGACAGACACTGTCTGTCATACAGTCTTCAGGTTGGTATATTTAGTCTAATGTGAAACCTCTTAGTTTGGCTTGTTAGCATTATGAAAGAGCACTCGAGACAGTTTTTCTTAAAGCAAAAGGAAAAACGATTGCAGTCTCAAATGTGCAAATGTGGGCTGTCAGACTTTGAAATAAAAACAGGGCATTACATTGATTAAATCTATTTTCTGAGAACACTGAGTCCATTGCAGAGCTATTTCAGTGTGGACCACCTAACTGCCATGTCCAATGTTAAACCACTCGCCTGCACAAAAGCTGTGGCTCTGCATCCACGTCATGTATTAACAACTGGAACCAGAGCAGTGTTCGTAGTTGTATTTGACCAGACTAATTGTTGGCAAATTTACTTTCAAATGTATTAAATACCCCTTAAATACAAGCTGTGTTTCTTTTCAGACCATGACTGCTGGGGATGTTGTCTGTACCAGAATTTACGAGAGAGAATGAAGAACCTTCAGCCAGTGCTGTTATATAATGCTTCTGTGCCTCATGCATTTTAGTCGCCTTGTTTTCTTCATCTTCACCCACCTTCCCAGCCAGTGGGTGCTGACCTGAGATGACAAACTGCGCATAAAAGACAAGATGCCTTAAACTGCAACACCTGTTCACTCGTGTCACATGTATGTTGCGTCTCACATTCCTTATCAGCGCATTATTCCAGTGTCTAAACGCTTTTTAAAGATGTTAATAAACCGTTTTGTAGAAATGTACTGTTTCTGATTTCTTTTCAACGTCCCATTGTTTATCCTCCCTCCTCCCATTCCCCTTGTGTCTGTCTTAATATCACTTTACACTGCTGTTTGCCATTCTTACTCTCATGACTATTCCACACCCTTCCCCCTAAATCTTTCCATTTGCAGTCCACTGGCTCGTCCTCTCTGGGCTCTCTGTCATCATACCTCGCTTCAGTGTGCTCTTGATTAGTGTAAAAACTCCCTAAGATGGTTAATATTTTTTCAATTCTGCTTTGAGAGACACTTGGCATTGACAAGGGGGGAAATAGGGAGTGGAAAGTAAAATGAATAAGCGAAGGGGAAAGTAAAGCCATGAGAAACATAGTTAATAACATCAGGAGTGGTTATGCATATGTCCAAGAATGTGCTCAGTAAAATCTCCCACAGGCACAAACACCTAACTTTCTTCTTTTTATGCTGCACTGGCAGATATGTAACTTTGAACACCTTTTTTCAGTGCATAACGATGGCATCAAACTACAAAACTAGACTGTTAAGATTAAGATTCAGCAGCATTCACTGTCCACAAAGTCTATCCCGCGACCAGCTAAAACCTAACAGCCTTCCTCAGTCGAGGCAAACTTCATCTTGCTGTGGAGAAATGAACCTTCAGGGGCTCTGAGGCACTTCCTGAGAAGGGCACTGCTACGGTTCACATGCACTGATGGTTTTTCCAGGTTTTCAAACAGCATGCAGACTTCTGAAGTGATTCCCAGTGATGTACACACAGTGCTGAACAAGCAGCTGGGGCCCTCTGCCTGCATGCAGTTAATTTTCTCAATAACATCAGAGAGTCGACACATGTCTGCTAGGAGCAGAGTGTTCTCAGTTGCTCTTTTTATCATTAAGGGCGTCAGTGCCAATGGCTGGGTCCAGCTATTACTAGTGCTCAGATTCATTTAAAAGTCAGTCTGGTAAAAAAAAAAAAGATATACCATCATCATCTCACGCCCACAGAGGTGTCCCAAGATACATTTCGGGGGCTTGTTGGATGACTGATGAGGTCTGTAAGATGAGAAGGCACAAAAAAAAAACTTTGTTTGCAAAGCTGTTTATGTGACAGAGATTTTTCCTGTAATTATTGCTGATTTATCAAACAGCCAATTTGACTGGTGTGGCTCGTTTCTTGCTTTTCTGCTTTGGTGTGGACTTTGAAACGTAACCCGCAGCTATGAAGATGCCTGAAATGTTTTGGATTAGAACTTTTGAATTTATCACAAAGACAGCTATTAAATGCATGATTGAAAAAGGGTGAACAAAAGCCCAAATGTCTGTAGATGACACATCCTCAGCCTCAGTTTGTGATTTATCCTCTCAAAGACAGAAAGTATGTTTCCAATGGCCTCAGTGAAACTCATTCTATTGTGTAAGTCCTCTAAACCGCAGTGCATTAACTACACTCCAGCGGGGTTGGAAATTTCCCTGTTTATTCAACAATCAACTATGTGTTGCCCACCCACACGCGTCCAAATAGACAAGATGCAAGATTATTTCTTAATGTCCATTCTGACGGATGATTGTAAGCCTCATTGAAGCAATATAAAGCGGTCCCTCCTTAGGCGGGTCATTTTCCACACTCAACTGTTATGCCAGTTCATTCCTCAGGCAGTGATGTCATGGAGCGTCCGGTTGCTGGATTGGCTGAGGTGGAATGCTGTGGTTTCAGGACCACAGAGGCAACCGAGTCCAGCCTTTGATTTGAGGCCATCTAAACTCATCGTGACAGAACCTGTTAGGGGACATGATGAGTCACAGGAGTCGGATAACAAACACAGATGCTGCTAGCCATAAAGACTGAGTCCATGAACAAGTTCATTTCGTTGAGTGAAGTTTTCAGTCTTTAGGGTTTACCCTAAAGATTCCTTAATATTCAGTGTTGATCAGAGATGTCACTGGTGAGGAAACATATATGAACTATGTAAAACATTTAATACTGTTTCTACAGTTATTGATACTCAAAAATTGTGTAAAAAATTATAAATCAAAACCGTTTTCAATTACGAGCAATCTGCTGTGATTTAAGTCTACACATATCACTTAGAGGAAAAACTTGGAGTAACTTTCTATGAAAATATCTAAAATAATGAACATGGAGCTGACCCCCTGATATGCTACAATAATTTACATATCAAGCCTTAAATTATGTTATGATAGATGACGGAGCAGCTGTAAGAGAGTGTATGAACAGGTCAGAGGGTACACCCTGTGTGTGTGTGTGTTTGTAATGAAATCTCATGACTGTCCTCACCCATGTGACCCCATGTGACATAGGAGAGCAGATTGAAAAGTGAACAAGCCAGGTTTTATAAGGGTAGTAGGGCGTGAAACATGTATAAATTGGTGGAGCTGAAGATATAATCCTATCCGCTGCTGCTCAACGTGTGACTGTGGGGTCATGTGTGAGAAATGAAACCTTTGAACCTTTAAGATGCTCCATCTACAAATTAACAGGTCAAAAGAAAGAGTTTTGATTATTCACATTAATGTATTTCAGTGAAGATGTATGAAAATACCTCATTGGAATTATAGATTTTTAAAGGATATTTTAACTATATGTATTTTGTATTTTAATGGTAAAAATAAGTGAAGCGTTATCCAAGTCAGAATGAAGGAAGCTCTAATCACACCTTAGTCCTGAGATTCATGTTCAGATTAGATTAGTTCATTAGATTATGTCCAAGTGTGACATCTACTGGAAAAAGAGATATTAACCTTTTTTGTGGTTGTTCTCACCCTAATAGGACCTGAATAGTCCTGTAAACACCCTGTAAACATTTAATAGCCATTTGCTTGGTCAGGTCGCGGGTCGGCTTCACACATGTGTGGAGTCACAGTTCAATAGAAGCAGACAGGAGCAAAGACTGAGATTGAAAAGAAAAGCAATAATTTGGTCCATCTAAATACTGGAGTTGAAAGTTCTAAAGAAATATCAGGATGAAGTTATGATCAATTACAACAGAATCCAAGAATATTAGGAAATGTTATTGTTGACAAACAAAAGGTGTAAAGATGCCAGATTGGAATCACACTTATTTTCTGTTCTGTAAAATTATGATAAAACTGTCATGGAAAATATTGTGCAAATTTAATTGAGGCTCACATCATAAATATATATTGTTCATTAAACTGAGACAAACTGACAAGTGACATTAAGTGTGCCATGTCTTTGCACCTGATGCTGCTAGTAAGAGAATGTATAGTAAATACGTCACTTTAAAAAATCTGATATGATCTTGAAGCATGCAAAAAGGAAGCAACACGAAAATTATGTGGTTGTAAGTTCATGATCGAACTGTATTTGAGTGTGCCCTGCTGTGCATATTTTTGGTTTTAAATATAAGTAGTAAATATAAGCCAATTGTAACATTTTTAAACAACTTAACAAATAAGGCTGTATGGTTCAGTCACCTGATTATCATTGGAATATTTTTGAGATGCCTTGAGTTTACATTTGTTGTGATTTGGTACTATGTTAACTCAAAACGACAGATTAACTGAACTGCACTGAATTTACTTTTTCAGTAAAGTTAAACAGCAAAAAAATGAAAAGTGAATGGTGGACAAATGCATTTAATCGCTTTTTTTTTTTTTTTTAAACATACGCAAAACAAGGGAAAAAAGTAACAGTTGAAGCTCAGAGAGGTAAAAATCTTCAGAAATTTCTGCGCTGAAAAGGAAAGTTTTTTAAAAACATCTCCTTTAGCGCCATTGAACCTCCCCACGTGACTCTGCCGCAGCAGAAGTCACATGACCGCCTCCTGGCTACCTACTTCCTGTTGCACGGTTGTGTTCCTGCGGGAGAACCTAGTGGACCTGCTCCGTTCTACGGTGACGCGAGGAACCTGCATATATTTTCTGTCTGTATTACCGAGCATTTTACGACGCAGTTGTTTAACCACCAGCTGGACGGTTAAAGACATTTAAACTGCGGAGAGATGAGCCCCGACGAGCCGTGCAGCTAGCTGACGGGACAAACACATCGCACCTCACGCACATTCGTTAGGAATCCGAAACTACACATTTGGTTTCTATAAGGCTCACGTAAGCGGTGGCGACTCCGCGACATTAGCTGCCACTGACATGTCAAAATACACGAGCTTTCCAGAGCCAACGGAGGACCCAAACCCCTTCCAGGTGGGTGACGTGACCATTGTGCTTCGCTGCGTGTCTGATGGATGAAAGATGCTGTCTGGGTGTAATGTCATACGTGTTGTTGCTCATATGACGAGCTTATTGTTTTTTTGTATTTTTATTTATGGCCCTGAAACCCAGCCCACTTGTAGCTTTCAGTGAACAGTAAGTAAAGGCCGGAATCTAAGCTGACGAGGCATCTGGCCAAGTGGGATGTTTTACTGTGGTAATGAAATCATTTGATCTGCTCTGTTTCATCCACTAGGACCCGGCGGTGACTCAGCATAGCAGCAACACAGGATATGCCACACTGGACCTTTACAACCCTTTTGACAACACTACTGGGGTGAGCATGGAAGGGGACTGCTTGTTTACTTGATCTAAGCAAAGAAAGTGGAGGAGGCTCCAGAGTGAAGCTTTGTCTCTAAGAACTTCCTGTTTTTTTCTTGCTATCTGTGCATTTCGTACAGCTTTTCTTATGGTTGGTGCTGTAACCTTTGTGTGACATATTATTCCCAGAATAAAGGTGTTGTCACTTCAAATTCATCCAATAATTCTCATAATCAGAAACAATTAAAGATTGTTAAGAACTGTGACATGTTGGAATTGAAATATCATGGGGAAAGCCTTATTTAATCTAATTACATCATACAAGGGTAACATATGAATACAGAATAAATCCTAAACAACTGTGGAGTCTGTTTTCGAATCATTTGCACTGATTTATTCAGATTTTGTACATGTTATGATATAATTGTAGATGATTGCATTTTTTCTGCTTTTTAGATTTTATGGGACAAATTCTTCTTATAAACCTTTTTTTTTTCTTTCAAAAAAGTATTTCTGTGTGATTTTCAAATAGCTGAGATTATTTTAAGAGTTAAACGAATACCAGATCAGTTAAGATTCAAAATTAAGATTTAAGATACATTTAATAGTAGAGAGCAAAATCTGACCATGTAAAACTTACTTTAACCACCAAATATCAGGGACATTTGTTTTCCAATATTCTCTCCATTGTCAGATGCGTTTTTTTTAACTGAACATGTGTTTTGCAGCCTCCTCCACCGTATGAAGCCACCTCTCCTTCTGCTCCAGCTGTTCCTGTGCAGACGCCACCCAGCAGAACAACACCCACCGAGCCTCGCAACTATGGCTCCTACAACTCCCAGGTACCCCTCCTCCAGACGTACACTTCTCACTTCATGGCAGCTTGATGCTCATAAATGGTTGGATGTAGACAATAAAGATGTTTTTTGTACACATTTGTTGTTTAAAGTCAATAAAAGACTTGTATTAGTGTAAGTTATTAACAACATAATAGGCAACACTTTATTTGTGTTTTTTTTTTTCTGTAAGCAAAAATTTTTTGGAATTTCTAACAAAAATGCTGTTTCTCTTTGCAAACGGACATGTTTCTGCTTCCTTCCCTGCCTACTGTCTGGCTGTGCCAGCCTGTGGTGAATGCTACCACAGCTGAGCTCCTGAGGAAGCAGGAGGAGCTGGAGAAGAAGGCCCAGGAGCTGGAGAGAAGAGAGCGGGAGCTCGAGTCGCATGGCCTCGGACCTGGAGCCTGTAAGAAGACGTGTGGGGAGATGAGGGGAGATCTGGAAGGATTTGGTTCAAAAGCGCTAAAGGAGAAATTGGGGATCATAATATGAATAGGATAATGTACTTTTTTGTTGGTTAAAGGGAGACAGTAGTGTGGGAATGCTTCTGTTTTCAATTAACCAAGCAAAAACAAATTCTAGAAAATAAATTCCCCCTCTGTTGCAACTTTCCTCTCCAGCACGTCAGAATAACTGGCCCCCGCTGCCTTCCTTCTGCCCTGTTGGCCCCTGCTTCTATCAGGACATCAGTGTGGAGATCAGCCAGCGCTTCCAGCGTACTGTCACCATCATGTACTACTTCTGGATGTGTGAGTTCAAAATCTGCTCTCTATTTGGAGGGGCTTTATCTGACCAGGCAGAAGTAAAACTAAAATCTGCCACCTAATCACCTTTTAGAATTGAAAATACAAGGCAGGAAGAGCTGACTCGTGGTTTTGTGTATCTGCTGGGGGTTTCAAGGGTTTGTGAAAGTTTATAATGCTTTACTTAGAGAACCATGACTATGGGGGCACTTATTGGGGGCATCTAAAAAAAGAAAAAATCTATTTATTCGAAAGAAAATAAGCTGAGGGCAAAAATGTTTTCGTCTAATGTGTTTCGGACTCTAAAATGGACCAGAATCCTGTTTAAAGGCCAGGCTCCGGTGGCTCAGCCGACATGGTGAAACCATTGACACCAGCTGCCTGTTCTTTTAATGAAATGGCTGACTAGTTTTAGTGTTTGAATGAAGAAGGGCTCTTGTGGAGCATTGTCCTCTGGCAATGCCCATACCTTTTCTTGTCTTTTTTAATTTGATGGAAGTAATTATTGAATTGATTTAGTGGAACCAGTTCCCCTATTTCCTCTGCTCCACGTCTTCAACAATTTTTATTAAGTTGTTAAATAAAGTTGTACAGCTGTAAACAGTAAGGCAAAGACAATTGTGGCATTTTATACTTTGGGCCAAACAACAAGAACAAATGCAGCTTTTATAAGTGTATGAACTTGTATATTCAATTTCTGCTTTGCCTCTCTGCAGAATGATCAAATGCTTGCCTTGAACCAACACTGCAGCATGTTGCTCCAAGGCGTTTATTGAGGAATTTCTTAAGATAGACAAAAACAGGCCATAATGGTCTTGTAACTAATCTTTTAGAGGCATATTAAGGAGAGATTTTTTTTTTAATCTAAGCAGAAACCAAAGAATTCAATTAAAAGTAACAAATAAATCATGTTTTACATTAGCCAAAATCCCACAAAATGGGCCATTTATTTGCTGTTTTTTTTAATTTGTTGTCAGGGTGGCTTGAATTCCAAGTTCATCCCTGGATTTAAACTGTAGTGCTGTTCCCGGTTGTTCATTAATCCCCTCTCTGGCTGTCTCTGTGTTTAATCACCCTTTATCAACTCTAGTCTGCACTGGCACGCTTCTGTTCAACCTGGTCTCCTCTCTGGCCATGTTCTGTGTGGACAGCACCGGGGGCGTGGGCTTGGGCCTTGCAATCCTTTGGGCGCTCCTCTTCACCCCCTGCTCTTTTGTCTGTTGGTATCGTCCTGTCTACAAAGCCTTCAGGTGTGTGCCACCATCATGCTGTTTCCGTGATTTCCTAATCAAAGATATGTTTGTTGAGACTTCGGCTGCTATTACACTTCTATATTTAGTTTTTTTTTTTTTTTTCCTCCAACAGGAGTGACAGCTCCTTCAACTTCTTCACCTTCTTCTTAATTTTCTTTGCCCAAGTGGGTGTCTTTGTCATCATGACTATTGGCATCCCTGGGTGGGGTTTCAGGTATGATTAATAAACAATCTCCATGTCAGACAGCTCTGTACTGTTCATGCTTTAGAGACCGGAATTAGAATCGGTGTGAATATAATTTAGTTTAGTAAAAAAACTTTTGCACTGATCATCACCACAGGGGCTTTTCTGATTGCATCAGCAATCCTTGTATTCCACTACACTTCATGTTCCCACAGAAAACAACAAAGCAACCTTGAGGCATCTATTTTAGTACATGGCAGCAGTGATAAATGTTGTCAGATTTACCAGAACCTGGAAATAATCAGATCATTTTCATTTATATTTTAATTTATCAAATAAAAAAATGGCTACTTTTACTAGATTTAAGTAACATTTTCTCACATTGTCACCCTTTTAAACCTATTTATTTGACCTTGTTTTTCCTTCAGTGGATGGATTGTGAGCCTTGCTGCTCTGAAGAGCAATGTGGGTGTCGGTGCGATCATGATGATAAATGCCATCCTATTTACTGCCCAGACTGCTATGGGGGTGGTCATGCTGAAGAAGGTGAGTGCATCTGTTTAAATCTATAACAAATTCACATGTTGTAACATAAAATTAAGGCCGTGCTGTTCTTTTTACCGACATGTAAGTCGTGTTAACCCTGTACAAACTCTGATATGTGATCACTTGGGAAAAAGTCACATTATTTTCCTCCAGCCAAACAGGGTAAACACAAAATATAGCAATAATCTCATCTGCACAAAAACGAAGCTATAACTCTTACTGAAAGGTCAGAGCTACCAAAGAGATTTTTTTTGCGTCACCAGTTAAGGAATACTGCCGGGAGTCATTGTGAATATTGACGTACCGAGTCAAGAAAACAGCCAAACTCTGCGCTGGTTTTCTGGGCCAAAGAGGGTGTATCTATAACCATAGTTGTACTTGTAGATGCTAACATACCAACTACAATAAACTCCTTCTAGAAAGGATGGATGAAGCCTCCAGGTCTCACAAAATAAGACAATTGGAAAGGGCCTTTAAAGTGTATTCTGGGTAATGTCCAGAAGGGGGCGACATTTAATGGTAACCAAAAAAAAGGAAAAATTACATAGAATTTTTTTACAGAAAAAAAACTCTCTCTTCACTTGTTTACTTAATGGACCTTTTTCTTAAGGTTGAAAGGTCTAAACTGATTGGAGCAGATTTCCCCTGATAAAACAAAGATTTAGTAAAATATAACCCATGTAGAATACTGTCATTTGGGTTGATTATTTTCTAAGTCAGGGCCTCTTCAAAGTCAACCCCAGTAAATGTTTGGCACAGTTTAGTCAGATCTACCATTTGTTTATAAGGCCCTGTTGCAAAAGATCAAAATAGTCATGGTGAAAATACAAAAAAAGGATTATGATATATCTTAAACAGGTCATATATCCATTCAAACAATGTTTAGTTTATTAATAGGCCTCAAAAGCAAGGTGTAATTCAGTGTTGCTCAAGGGCAAGAGTGAATTTGCCAAGCCTGCGCCACCAAAATCTAATTTCCTGAATTGTGTAAGATGTCGGAGGACATGTTTTATCATTATCACCTTTTCTAACATGTGATGATTCTGGATTATAAATAAGGATTATGCCTATAAAGGCTAATGATAAAACTAAAAAAGACATCAAAGCTGACTAGTTTTTTACCCAGTCAATGAAAGTATTCTCACCGCTTTGCTGTGGCGGTTCACCTTCTGTCAAACATTCAGTGGTTAAGCAGCTCTAATAAAAGCCACAATATCAGGTTGTGGGTATCACTTACACCCTCACACTGTTCTTAATGTGATGATGAATTGCTGCACATATCGTGTGTCAATGTGATCTGCTCTTCCCTGCTACAGATCCACAGTCTGTACAGGCAAACCGATGCCAGCTTTCAGAAGGCTCAGGCCGAGTTTGCCACCGGAGTCATGTCTAATCAGGCCGTACGCCAGGCAGCTGCCTCCGCTGCCCAGGGGGCCTTCACTGCACCCCGATAAAGAGCGACCAACAGCGCTTGGAGAGTGAGGAGTGGAGGATGAGCTTGATGAAAAATCTATTAGTTGGGGGGGAATTATATTATACCTCCCTCTAAACTAAACTTATGGACACATGCATGAAACAGATGTGGTGGCTGTCTAATTTCTGAACGTGTACAGGACAAACTAGCTACATAGCCAAACCAAATTAACAAATCTGAAAGTTTAAGAAACCTAAAGATGGTGTGAACTATAAAAACAAAAGGCTGAATGAAATTTGAAGTCAGACCAGGTGTCTAATGATGCAGGGAAGAAGCTCTGTGCCAAGTAGGGTGAGACAAGCATGGCTATCCCCCGTCTTTAACTGACACGGGATGTCAATAGCCAAACTCCAGCAAATCCTAATACTCGCCGCACTCTGAGATGTTGCCACTTTAACATTTGATCCTTATCTGAGCGGCACTACTTTTTGTTGCTTAAGTGTAAGTTAACATTTTGTTTGTTTGAATGTTGTTGTTGTTTTTTGGGGGGATTATTATTACAAATGAGAAACCCCCTTTGCTGTATTGCCAAAACCTCTCATACTGTAAGGATTAAGAACATGTGTTCCCAGCACCTGTCACTGTTGCCTTGGTGCTGCTTGTGGTTGTTATTATCACTGTCTTGGTTTTAATAAAAAATATATTGTCATGCTTTCACAATCTTGTGTCTTTATTGCTTTATCGTGATCACAGAATCACACATACCAGTTCAAAAATCTTAGTTTGACCGTGTCGGCCACCCCTCCAGTTTTCCGCTTGTAACGGTTAACTGACAAGCGGACCTGCGTTGCTAGGAAACGGCCAAAGTAGCTCTGAAGAAGCAAAGCTTGCCCGATATATATCGAAAATGTAAAGTTTTAAAAGAGGCATTTCACAACATTAGCCCCCCAAAGATAATGGATCTGGATCTCGCGAGACAATACACGATTTCAAGTTGTTGCTTATTTTTGAACCTTGTTTTTTTTTTTTTTTTGTGAAGCTTATATCCTGGCAACGGATACAAAATGAAAAATACTGAAAGTGCCATTAGCTTTTTTTTCACGCTGAATGCTTCAAGTCTAATTTTTTTAAAAAAAATCTTTATGGGCAATATGAATATGAATGTGGGTCTGCTTCCCCTTTGAGATTCTCGGTTTGGTTTCCTGACTTGAGCCGTCTGACAAGCGGCTGAGACTTTTATGGGCTGCCACACAGACGTCAGGGACCGCTCTGGACCGTGAAGATGGCGGAGGCTGCCGACACACCACAACACCGTTTTTACTGTCACTCCTGTAAACGTGCGACAGACCCCAAATTCCCGGTGAGTTGTCTTATGAGTTTTTGCTTTTGTTCCACGCGAGTCTTCCACCATGTCCCTCTGAAAAGAGGAATGACTAATGTTCAGGGGCGCGAGCTCCCGACCAACGCGCACATATGAACTTATTTACTCTTAACAGGCGACTTCCAAACTATAATAACCGGAATCCCTAACGCACACTTGGTTTCCAACAGCCAGAACGAGGTGGTTCGTGTGGACCAGGACAGCATGGTCTAAACTCTTAAATTAGACTGAGCTGGTACAATATGGCAATTTGCTTTGCCATATTTAGAAACACCGCTGCTGGCCACCCTGCGTCCACTTGTTTACAGTCAGCTGCGCGTGAGGGGCCGCGTGGGGGTCACCTCTTCATGCAAAACTTCAGATGGGCGTGTTGCATCCCTCCAATTTGATCTGCCCTCCTTCCACTTTAAACTGAAACATTAAAATAATGACTTAATTTGTCTGGGAGTGCATTTTTCAACAATGGTAGATTTCTTGAAAAACTAATATATAGACCATTAAGGTGTTATTGCATCGTAACGACATGAGATTTTTAGCCAGGTTCAGAAGATTATACTTTTTTTTTTCTTCCTCAAGGATCTCATCTGCCCCAGATGTGAGTCTGACTTCATAGAGGAGGTAACAGAAAACTCCAGGTACAGCAGAGGTTTAGTAATGAAAGGAGATCCTTCTAAAGATTTATGGATATCTCCTCTACATTCAAAATGTGAAGCTTATTAAAGATATGTGGACCATGTAATGCATGATAGATTTATATTTCCTCTTTATTTCTTATCCAGCCTCCTCCAGGACCACTCGCCTTCAGTTTTCAGTGAAGAGACAAGCTCATCACTCTCAGAAGTCTGTTCATATAAGTGGCATTTTAATCAGCCCAATCCCTGTCTCCAGGGCTTTGGTTCACACTTTTACTGCTCTGGTCTCTATCCAAGGTATGGCAGCTGGTTTTCACGGAGCTCTCTGCCGCCCTGTCGCATCCGCCTTCCTTTGAATCAGACTCAGAGGACAACGAGCGGGTATCTGAGAGCAACCACTCCTCAGACTCCCCGGCCCCTGAGTCCGAAGTAGAGGAGTCCCTCACCGACTCTGAACAAGAGAGGACACCCAGGCCGGAGCAAAGGACTGCAGCACAAGGGTGTGTGGCGTCGTGCGACCCAGAATCAGTGCCATGGTTTCGCAGGGTTATTCTATAAAACTGTTACGTCGTGGAAAATAACTTTTTAAAAATCAGTTTGAGATAAAACTGTATACATGAATTTAAAAAAACAAAACCTAGTGAATTAGTCATTTTCTGACACTGTTGGAAATACAGTAAAACGGGACTGCTGGGTGTTTTTGCTCCTTCCAGGGTGGCGCAACAGTTCTTGGCTGACCTGTTTACGAATAACGAAAACCCCGCTGCTGCACCAGCTGCACCAGCTGCACTGTAAGCGCTTCCTTCAGTTTTTCGATTTACATCATTTGCTTTTGATTTCACTCTGGCACTCTTGCACTCTGCTGCCCTCTGCTCTCTTTCCCTTCCATCTCTCAGCTCCAGCATGCTGCAGTTGCACTCCAACCCAGGAGATTACGCGTGGGGTCAGGGAGGTCTGGACACAGTTATCACAGAGGTCAGTGCAGTTGCCACGAAGCCCTGAAAAATCAAAGCCTGGACTACCGCTCGTCTCTTTGTGTTCCCCGCCAAAGCTGTTCCTACTGCATAGCTGTTTAGCTCTTGCATGTGATCATGGGACTGCCTTTGCTGACCTCCCTCTTCTACTTGCCCAGTTACTAGGCCAGCTGGAGGGCTCAGGTCCACCCCCTGCCCAAAAGGAGGTGATTTCATCCCTGCCAAATGTTTCCATCTCTCAAGAGCAGACAGGTGGGAACTGTTCTGTACCAACTGATTCTTTCAATGGAGTTTATTCATATGTTTGGTTGAAAGATTTAGGTTAATTCTATTAGAATAGAAAGCGATCCACTTTGGAGTCTTCAAATGCTAAATTACTCTGAGGCTTTGTTGTCTTTTTTCTGCACTTCTGAAATTTGCTTGTTGCATATTTTTCCCCCACCCACTCATCCTTAAGTGCCTCACGCTCTTATTGTCTTTCTATTCTTTCCTTTTATTTGACACTATCATCATCTTCTTGACTGACCTTGTAGCTTTCTTTTGCTCCTTCTCTCTAGTTTTCTTTACCTTTTTTATCAGCAATTCCCCTTCCTTTCCTGCCTGTAACTCTCCCTCTTTTCAACTGTCTTTCCCTTTCCTCTGCTATATTCCCTTCATCTTTTCTACTGTCTTCTACTTATTTATCATTCTGTCATTCAATTTGTTTATTTTATTGTTGTCTTCTTCTGTCTTTCCCTCCATACTCTCTTTTACCCTTTTGTCTATTCTCCCGTCGTCTTACACTTTTGTTTTTTCTTTGTTTCTGCTAGAGGTTCACTTGCTCTAACTTTCCTCTCCTCTGCTTTATTATTTTTTTTGTTTTTATAACTTACCCTCATTACTTTGTGTTGCAAAGAGAATATCGGGTAGCCTTAACGACCATTCTGTGGAGCCACATTGGAAAAATCATGAATACATTTTTCTTATCTACATTATTCCTGTAATAGTTGACCCAGGATTCGCATCTGTGTAGAATAAATAATCTAAGTATATTATGACTAAGTTTGCCGTCTTTTTCTACCTTTTTTCATGAAGTACTTTTTATTTTACATGTTTTTGTCTTCCAGACTGCAGACTAGAGTGTCCAATTTGTAGGGAGGAGTTTTCATTAGGGGAATCTGTCAGAAAGCTTCCCTGTCTCCATTACTACCACAGTGAATGCATAGTGCCGTGGCTGGAGCTGGTAAGAATGAGGGGTGGCTGTGGCCAGGGACTTGGAAGCTTTTTTCAGATGATTTTTTTCTGTTCCACTTGCATATAAAAATACCTTTTTGACACCAAAAGTTGTACTTATGCTCTGCGACTTATATTTTTGTTTGCTGAACAACAGTTTTTTCTCTCCTCTCACAGCATGACACTTGCCCAGTCTGCCGCAAAAGTCTTAACGGTGTTGACAACAGCCTCTCGCCCACGTTGGAGATCCCAGAAGTGCCATCTGCCAGGCAAGAGAAACAGGAGGGGCAGGCAATCTGAGAAACGAGCCGTCAACGACTACCTCCTACAATACAGTCAAAAAGAGATGCTTCTTCCGTCCGATCAGATGATTTCAAATTAAAAAAACACCTCAGGCTTCACAGTTCTAACTTGCAACCTCAGCCCCTCAGGTGATTATTGCATCTCTGCTGAGGCCATTCGTGTTTCTGCCATCACATGCACTGAAGGATCCGGCAGTTTGCTGACAAGGTGACACAGTGAGGCGTCCTTCTCACCGCGCTGTCCTCTCAGGTGGTTTTCTGAATGACTGACTTTGATGTCGTGAGCTAATCACCACTGACCTGCCAGTGGAGGTCAAAGTGAGTCATGGAGAAACACTTTAATTATTGTCTTAGTAAGACAGTTTGGTCTTTTTATGCAGCATTTCATTGACCAATGTGAAGCTGCTATTAAAGCTTGGTCCTGTGACTCTCAGACTTTAAATTTGAATTGACTTAAAATACAACGGCAAAGTTAACTTCACTACCCCCCCACCCCACCCCAGAATACTTTTTTCTTTGATATTCATGCAGGTACTTTATCAGATAGATCAGGGATTTTTCAAAGTCTAAGACAATAAACCTTCCCTCCGGCAAAGTTTGTAAAAAAAACAATAGAATTACAAAAATGGCAGTCATGTAAAATTAATGTAAAAAATATTGTTTCTGAGGTAATCTGAGTTATTCTTTTGAATGATTAACTAATAACTATTGTGATATTTTTTTATCCCATTCATTGGGCTTCCCCAAAACTGTTTGGAGTCCTTCCTGTGTGAGACCACATTTTCACAACCTGTGGATTCATTTAATTTATTAAATGGAAACTTGGAACATTCATTGTTGCATTTACTTATTGCTGCATTTCCTAATTTTTAGTTCAGCTAAACTGTCTGCATTTGGTTTGTCCAGCAGGAATTGGTCAAATCAAATTACAGCAAGCAGAAGTGGCGTTCAAATTGGTTCTACAACAGGTTGGATGGTGTTTCCTCTGCGTGTCATTTTCATCAGAGACAGAAGGGAGTTCCGTTTTCATTGTAAAAAGATAACTGAAAACCCTCTCAACAATAAATTGTAGGATAAATCTGGTTAAAGATTAACTTAATTGGCAACTGGAGAGTTTGAACATAATTTGTAGAAAATTGTCAGGATTTAGAACGTCTTAAATCAAATTACCCAAAGAAAAACATAATCTAACAGGTATGTTATGCAGTCGCTCTTTTCCGATGCAGTATTTAAAGGTGAATTTAAAATGTAATTAGCCTAATGAGAGTAGCCCTTTCCAGTTTAGCTATAATCAAATCCCCTGCCCCCCTGTGACATATTTCTCTAAATATTTCTCTAAATTGACATGGTTCTTCCATTTACATGGAGCCCAAAGTCCAATCCTGCTTAACAATTGATTATGCAACTTTTATAAGAACTGTGCTGTTTGGATAACTCAGTTACAAGTCAGTCAACTAATAGCTCGGGTTCGAACGAAGAAAAGGAAGTGCCATGGTTTATTTATAGGCTGTAGAGCTCCGTCTCCTTCCCCTGCCTGCTGTTTGTCCACCGTAAGGTACTGTTGACCCTCTGTGGCCGCTCACCAGGCACCGCGACTCTGACAGTTGACTGTTGCATACCATCAAACACACCCTCAACCAGCCCGAAAGACAGCTCCCCCACGGCCGCCCAAAATAGCCCAAATAATGAGGCGCGGGGATTTTTGTCAGTGACCAGGGACCGCAGGAACCGACATTTCCACTCCATTCCTCTCCTTTCCTCACCTCTCCTTCTCTCCTCTCCCCCCGCCCTCGCGCTCCCTCCTCCCTCCTCGGAGGGACTGAGAATGCCCGTGTTGTACTGACACAGTAGCGATACGGGCTGAGCAGACATGGAGGCCCGATTAACGAGAGAGGCCAGTGTTGACACATCCAGGCCCAGCTAACGACAAGTCGTTGTGGATTTCAGAGCATCTCGGGAAATATTACGGATACCAATTGCTGTAAGGAAAAGAGGATTTTAAGAGCGAGGAGGAAGAAATAAAGGGAGATCCATTTCGGGTCTCTGTTGATTCAACGCAGCCGCCATTTTGTTGACAGTTAGTGTTTTTTTAATAACCTACACGGCGCTGCATCTGCTATATTCTACCACTGGAATATAATTCACCACATTTTTTTGCGAGTGCTCTCCAGCCGATTTAATTGTACGTTATTCTTTGAAAACACTTTGGAATATTTTTCTGCTTTAGCTCACTTGCTAGTACATCGTTAGCCGTCGTAGCTGAGATGTAGTAACACGAGTGTCTACGAGAATGTGACGGAGATGCAAGATTATGTACATCACTTGCCCTGAGTTGTGCCGTTTTCTTTGGGTTTACTCAAACTGTCTTGAAGCTGTCGGTGTTTGTCAGTAGTTATTTTGCCTGTAAACACTGTTATTTCTGGCTGTACGGGTTGAAAAAAGCTTAAATCGTCCTTAAATAGATGGCTAGTTAGCTACTGCCAGTGCCATTGATACAGCACGGGCTCTCTTATTGGATGGGTGTTAACTGCCATTATGTTATTAATTAGCAACAAAATTCCCAGAAGTAGGGCGTTTGTTAAGTGGCTTTGCCTCTCAACCTGCTACTGTCCTAATTATTTGGGAAATACGTGTCTTGGGGAGCGGGGATGCTTTGCATGTTGGCACTCAGCTTCCACCATTGCAACTTTCTGTTTTGGAGCGGGTAAGGTTAACAATTGATTTTTATGGGTCGTCAAGAGTAGTGTGCTCGGGGCGTCCATTTGAGACTTATAGAAATATATCTACTTCACTAGCTGCTTTTCAGCACGAATTGAGGCAGTATTACCAGCCTAAGTTGTAGCTTTAACACAAGGGGAAAGGTTTTAATCTGAGGTCCTCTCTTTAGTTGTGGCTCACGGCACATGGCTCAAATTGTTTTTTTTTACATTGATAGCTAGCTATGATTTTAATCGATGCCTGATTGTGTTTTGGTGTTGGTATTTCAGCTGTTGGAAGATATAAAGATGTGTGGCCACCACGTTGATGCACATGAAGGCAGGACACAGAGCCGAATAATGTGATCACTTGTTTCTGGAAAAATACAGAGGTGAGTAAAGATTGTGTTTCTTATTCAGACTCGGTGATTTGTTGATCATGTCGATAAGGAAACCCCCAAAAAGATAAAACAGCGTCTCAGTGTGTTTGGTTTAGCATGCTTATGTTTACACACGCATCGTTCTTTTAAAATGCATTGCATATTACTTTGAAACGCTTGAAGCTTGTGGCTCCAACGCTGCCTATTCTTAAGAGAAACCCAGTTTTATGAGTGTGACTAAACGGCGTGTAGCTGCTTTGAGAAACGAGCGTGAGGCTCACGATCTGTCCCCATGAGGGGCAGTCCTGACTGTACAGGAAACTGAATGCAGATAATGCTGCTTGGTTTGTTCAAACCTTCGCTGGTCAGCCACGCGTTTTGCATAACGTGCGGTGAAGTGTAGCTAATTAAAACTGTGCACGCGGATGTTGCACGCTGCATTTGAAGCCCGATGTGAATTGGTAAGAAGGAGCTGGCGGAGCCCATGTTTGCACGCCGCAGGGACGACTGACAGCTGTCAAGTTCTGCTGCCCGAACTCCTAAAGTCTTCTAGCTTATGGGTTTAAACATTGGTGCTGTTTCTTTCTTTTGAGGTCTGTTAGGTTTTTTTTTATAGCACTGCTGTTGTCAGGTGATACAAAGCAATGGTGGTAGTAAAGGAATTTGGCCCGGCTCTGCACTAATACAGATGGAGTAAAAAAAAAAAAAAGCAAAGAACAGAAAAGCCCTAGAAATGACAGGGAGCTCTTGGAGCAGACGCCAGCCCTCATGTGAATGATGTGGGGGGTGGGTGGGTTGGATACTATTGCTATGGCCAAGGGGAAGTGAGGAGTGAGGGAGAAGGGGGGGAAGAGGGAGGAGGGAGAGGAAGAGGGGGGGGGGGGGGGGAGTTAGGGGAGGAAAGAAACGGGAGGGGGCGCGGGAAGTTGTTTACTACGTTCCTCCGTGATCTGCCTTTTTGTTTTTTGGTAGTCTGATACTAATTAACGATTTTCAATTATTCTTTGTTAACATTTGTTCTAATTTTCTTTGAACTTTAAATCCTGGCTAATGTTCTGAAATAATAATGCAAACATCTGTCTGGCTGTTTTAAAACCACTATTGCGTAGTTCTGCAGTATAAATGATAATACACATGACTGTTTTGTATTTGCTATTGCTTTGTAAATACAAGAACAACTTGATGCAAACTTGGAAGTGATATGCTTAGGTGTAAAAGCTTGTCTATTTCACATTAGAAAACGATATGGCCAAGTAACATGTTATTAACTCCAGAACAAGAGCCAGTAAATGACCTGGCGTAGCTTGTTAAACATAAAAGAAATGTGTTGACTCGCCGACAGGCTTTTCTAAAATCTTGTGTCAGTGAGCTCTCAGTGCTTGGCGCTACGGAGGCTTATTTTTGGCACAGCTGCTGTCGGGCTATGGAGGCAGTTCTCCTATCACTGCAAGCGTTTAGAATAAAAGAATGAGGGGTACATTTGTCGCTGCGTGTAAGGAGGATGGTTGGGTGGGTGATGGGTGAAATGTGTTTTAGATTAAAGTTGGAGCACAGTCGATTGCGTTTGTGTGCTTTTTCTGGTGCTTTCCAAGTTTGTGAAATAGAGAAGAAAGACTATGGGGAAAGTTTAAAACAACAGAAGAGTGCTGAGATTGATGTACTGTGAAAGAAAGATGGAGGTGTGATTTGACGGTGGTATGTGTAACGAGGGAGTCTGCAGTTTTAAGGCAAAATTTAAGTAAACATTGTAAAGAGGGTGTCGTGGAATATCAGGCGAGATTCCAGAAGTTGTGGTTAAAAACAAAACGTCTCTCCCGCCGTTTTTGACAGTCACAATCCAAACCAAACAGTTTGTTAGACTGTATGTTCCGCTTACTTTTTCCTCTCTTGCTCTGATGTTTTACAAACGCGATGACTTGTCTGTTTCCTGAAGCTCCATTAAGTAGCTCCTTCCTTTACTTTCACTAATGTAGGGTGCAGGAAAACCGCAGGCATATTGACGCTCAATCATTTGCTCTCAGTTGCTGCTGGCAGAGGCTGGGAAAGGCGGCCGGATCGTCTGTCTGGTCCCAGAGGACCCAATGTGCTGAGGTCACAGTTCTGAATTGCCTCCAAATGACTTCAGCCAGAGAAAGCACCTGCTCGAGGGCGAATCCGCTTTAAATCACTCAGTGGCCATGGGGAGCTGTAGACAACTTCATTGAATTGGGCTGCCCTCTACGGAGAACAATTAAGAAGCATACTGCTGGCTGTTGCTGTGCTTCCACAGACTTTGAGCAGTTTGCCACTATGAAAGCCACCAAGGTACTTAGGTGGATGCCCAGCATCTTAGCCTGTAACACTTAAAAAGACGTGGGACTACAGTAGGATTAACTATTGACTCTATACCACGTGAGATTTGCTAATCGCAGGTGGACAACTTAGAGTCCCCGTGCCTGAGGATACTTTTGTGAGGAACAAATGCCTTGGCTGTGTAAATGGGTCAAAGTTTCTAATAGGCTTTTAGGGGAGAGCGCTGTAAAAAAAAGCCACCCAGAACACGATGAAGGACAATTTCCAAAGAGATGGATGATAAAAACGGTTGCCCTTCATCTGTTAGACATCGTATTTCTGTGTCAGACAATTTTACACTTGATAGTTTTAGGACTGTCCTTAAAACTGTCTGTTATGCTGATATTCTGTGTTGCAGTGACTAAAATGAATTTTTTGTTTTCCTTGTCTCTTCTTTCTTCCTGCTTTACCTGTCTCATATAGTTGAAGGACGGAGAAAGAGGGCTGGACAGCCAAGAAGGGAGAGGAGCCCCATCAAAATAAGGGGAGCTTCACCCTCACTGCTATCCCCCTCCCCCTTTCCCTGTCACCCCTATCCCATCCCCACACAAATACTCTACCTTGTATCCACAAAATCTCCCTCTGAATAGACGTGCATACGCCCAAAAATTCCGATGGATCAGAAGATTCAGGGGAGAACTGCAACTCCACCCCCCCTCCACTCTGGTGCCCCCTCAGGGGAGCGCGAAAAGGAGGGTGGAGGTGGGAAAAAAGAGGAAGAGGATGAAAAACAGCGGGACAGAGAAAAAGAGGGAGCTGCTGCTGTTCTAGCTGGTGCAGGAGGTGCAGGTGGGGCTGCAGGCGCCAGTGGTGACCAGTCCCATTTCTCCATCAAAGAGAGCAGCCTGTCCGAGGGCAATGTCAAACTTAAGATTGGCCTTCAGGCAAAACGCATGAAGAAGCCCCCGAAGATTTTGGAGAACTACGTGTGCCGACCAGCCTTCCGGGCCACTGTGAGGCACACCGGTCGTGGAGGAGGCGGTGCCCGTGGAAACCGTGCAGGAGCTACAGGTGACGGGTCACACGGTCATAGCCAGAGTCCTTCACAGGGCCGGGAACAAGACAGAGAAAATAGTTCCAGTGTGAACAGAGCACCGGCTTCGCAGTCTTCATCTGCCCTCTCTGCTAAAGCCCCGAAACCGGCTTCCCCAGCTCCCCCGTCTGGTAATACTTACACCTCCTCAGCCTCCCAGGTGAACGGGAATGCTCCAGTGAAAAAGGTAAGCCAGCTAAATGTTTATGTCGTTTGATTGTTCACTTGTTCAAGCTTTGCAAAGTGTAGCCATTCTTCACTGTCAACTGTTATGTTGCCTATTTTCATTTTTCTATTCCTAATGAAATAATCAGTAGGCCACCAATAGGCGGTGTTGCCCAATCAAGCTGTCCTAGTAATCACTGTTTTATTACACATTTAAAAAGCAAGGCATAAATTCTTCTTTAGTTGCCTTTGTGTTATCCATTGGCCTATTTCTTTTCATCATGCCCCGCCCCCTCCAATCTCCCTCTGTCTGTGTCGTCTGTCTTCTGACTCTGCCTGGTCATGTCCTCTCAACCCCCCATCCCTGCATGACCCCTCTCACTTGCTCTCCCTCTCTGTCCCCAATCTGACCCCGCTGAGTAACTCCCCCCCCCCCCGGGCTCGCATGGAACATAGCCGCGGATTGAAAATCTTATCAATGAGCTTAAATGAGTATAACTGTGAAATAAACATTGTTGTTTTTATTCTATGTGAGGCTTACTGCATATGTACACAGACACTATGAAAAAAATAGTTTTTTAAAAATGTTTTTATTGTGCGCAGAATTTCTCGATCCATTTAGAAATGCAAAAGACAGAACAGCAAATGTTCCTGCCTGACAGCTAACTGTACACCTAAAGTAAATGCAGGCGGGTACATCAGACAATCGACTTCTCTTTCAAATCACAAAATGACAATTTGAGGAAGTTAACTTTCATGCACGATCTCTTTTCACTAAATGGTTAAGTGTACACGCAAGTTTTCTGACAGCACTGACATGGAATCTCTTAGTTGTCTTCCCCTTAATGCAGGCAAAGAACCTAAGTCAAAGACAACAGGAAAACCGCTCTCACTACTCAGCAGCTGTAACCACTTTTTTTCTCTCCTCAAAGTTTTCCCGCTAACTAGAGGTCTAATAAGATTTTAAGATGCAACATTAATGATTTCTTCTGATAGAAACGGTGAACTCCAAGGCACATTTAGAAATCCCTGTGAGCAAGGTTATAATTGGTGCTACACCACCAGCATCTCACGCTGGGGGGTTATTGACCAGTTTTCTCTCGTTAAAAAATGGAGATGGTGCAAATGATATGATGTGCTATGATATTAACTTTGGATAACTTGTTCATGTTGCAACACTTCAGCCAGCTATTTAAAAATATCGAAACTCTGTTTTAGAATTTTGTTTTGGTTCTTTGCATGGCAGAAGTTTACACAGACAAACTATGAAATACCTTTATAGGTGGATATGGCTGAGCATAGTATTTGTGTTGAAGAATTATTTAGTGTTGCTGTCATTGCACTTTGCAATAGTGACTTTCCAGTGAAACAAAAACTGTGAAAATACAAATGCATGTTCTTGAAATTGGGCACTAAGACTCCTTTATTTACTCTTTTTATGTTTCTTTTTTACTCAGGGTCCAACAAAGATGGATTGTAAGCCTGATACAAAGTCAGAGACAAAAGCCAGCACTACCACATCAGAGAGACCCCTTAACCTTCATCGCCCTCCACCAGATGGCAAAACACATTCCTCTGGGAAGAAAACACCAACTCCACAAACCAACCCCCGCACTTCTTCACCTTCCTCACCACTACCTGCATCAAAAGAACCCAGCTTTGATGGTGTTAAGCCCCCTCAATACACTTACAGCACAGAAGGTCAGAAAGACAAGGAAAAGGGTGTCCAAAGTTGGGGAGCGCCCACAGTCACTGAGAAACTAGCCCAACTTATAGCGACTTGCCCTCCATCAAAAACCCCTAAGCCAACTAAACCCACAAAAAACGATCCCACCCCTTCTCTTCCAAGCTCAGGCTTTATGGCTCCCACAGCCAAGCAACGGGACAGGGCAATGGCCAATAGGAACACATATTCAAGAATGGTGCACCTGTCTCCACCACCCCCTGTTTCAAGACCACCTGGTCGGCCCTATGGTTCTCGGAACAAAGACAGCGTCTCCGAAAATTCCCCCTCTTCGACGCCACTAAGGAAGGAGGACACGGAAGGAAGTGGAAAAGTTATTGGTAGTAGCAGCAACAACAGCGGCGTTAATATATGCAGCAGCAGCCCTGCATTCACCTACAGCAATAACCATCTGTCAGCCATGTCAAAGGAGAGCAGCGGTGACAACAGCAGCAGTAGTGCGTCGAAGCCACTGTCACGTCCTGCTCACAGTTTATCACACACCACGTCTGCTCCATCTTGTCCTGTTTCCTCCTCTTCCTCCATTTCAGCTGAGCAGCGGACAGTAAGTGCAGTGAGTCACCTGGGCCCCGCTGCTCCCTCACAAGGACACCAGGCACGAGATTCCCCATCCCCGTCAGAGGACAGTGGTGCAGGGGAGAGGGAGAAGGACAATGATGGCCCCAGAGATTTAACCAAGTGCCCTTCTTCAGCGGGAACAGGAAAGCCAGAGGGGAGAGACAAGGGAGCGAGTAATCAGTCACTGCATGCTGAGAGGAGTAAGAGCTCTAGTCCAAGCAAGCGCAGCCCCAGCCGGGATAGTAGTCGACCGGGTCGAACCAGCAGTCCTCCTGAGTCCATAAGACAAAGGGCACCTTCTCCATCAGAATTAGACTATGACGAAGGCCCACAAACACCGCTTAGAGATGATTCTCCTGATTCATCCATAGACTCACCTGCAGAGCAGGACAGCAAACCCCTTAAAAAGCGCAGGGGAAGAAAACCCCGCTGGACTCGTGTGATGAACAAGCCACAGACTCAAAGAGCAGGCCAGGACAGCCCCTTCAGCGAGAACAAAACCAACATGCCTTTATCTTCAAGCTTGGAAACACCATCTGTACCGGTTAAAAGACCTGTGGGCAGGCCCCCCAACCCAAATAAGATCAAACCAAATCCTGTGCCACAAACTTCAGTGTCACAGCTCTTCCCTCTCCAGCCTAAGAAAAGGGGAAGACCGAAGTCCAAAATGCCAAGGCTTGATGCTCCTGTCCCTGGGAACCTCCCTAACAAGCTTGCTCCCTCAAAGGTTTTTTCATCTTTGCTGAAGTCCAAGGAAGAGCAGGACCCACCTGTTCTTCACCCAGAGATTGACTTTAACCCTCCTAAACCTATGCCTAGAAAACGTGGACGTCCCAAGCGCCTTCCCCCAACTTTGCCACAAGAGGGTCAGCCTCCCACATTGGCCCCAGAATCAGGAGAAATGGGAGACAAGCGGTTCCGGAGTAAAGGAAATGGGCAGCTTATTATGAGAACTATTATTGGCAAGATCAATAAGATGAAAAGTGTGAAGCGGAAGCGTATACTGAGTCAAATCTTACTAGGTCCAAGGACTGAAGACACCCCTAAAGGGAACCCCAGTGGGGTGTCTGGCACTGTGGAAGCCACAACCCAGTCGTTATCCTCTCTGGCGGCTTCTTTTGGGGGTAAGTTAGGGCCACAAATTAATGTCAGTAAAAAGGGAACGATATACATGGGTAAGAGGAGAGGCCGTAAACCGAAAGCAGCTGGTGGTATGACGTCTACGACATCACCAGACCACTTTCTTTCTCCGAACACTGCTTCTCCTCTCCATCACCATCAGTCACAGTCCCAGCAGCACCAGCTATCCTCCTCCGAGGTATTTCCTTCTCCCTCCCTCTCACAGTCGAGTGGAGGCCACAGTCCCATCAGTGATGCCAGCTTTGTGGAGCCAGGCACAGTTCACTTTTCAGGTCACTCTCACTATTCTAACTCCCTTCACAGCCACAACACCTTCTCCTTCCCTCCCCCAACTTTTTCTGCCCCCAATAAAGTCCTTGGCTCAGCTTCATCTATCGCCATGTCAGCTTCCCAGAAAAAGTCATCCTACCGTGGATACCCTCACCACCACCACCACCATCATTACCGGCAGCACTACAATTATCATAAGCTTTCTCCCCCAAGGCCGCTCCATCCCACCTCACCTGCTCCCCTTAGTGAGCTAAAAGAAGCTACTCCGTCACCAGTCAGTGAGTCACACAGTGAGGAGACGGTGCCCAGTGACAGCGGCATAGGAACTGACAACAACAGCACATCTGACCGCGGTGAGAAGACTGGAGGCACCGGTGGCTTGGGCGGGATTGGGATGCTTCCTGGGATGGGCAGTGGATTATTAATGCCAAGTATCATCGGTTCAGCGATGGCTACGGGAATTGGCCTTAACTCCAGAGGCAGGCGTAGACACTCTGCCGTGCTTATGGAACATCCCTCACCCTCTCCATCCCCCCATGGTGCAAGGTCGTCTCCTGATCCCCGGAAACCTCATTCAGCAGCTCCTGTATCCTCCTTATTGGGTCACAAGGAAAAACATAAGCACAAATGCAAACGACGCAGCCATGGATGCCCTGGTTACGACAAGCTAAAGAGACAGAAACGGAAACGAAAGAAGAAATACCTGCAGTTGCGGTCTAGGCGGCTTGACCCAGACTTTCTTGCTGAGCTAGATGAGATTATTGTGATGCTAAGTGAAATCCGAATAACACACCGCTCCACAGGGCACCGGCTCGGCAATGGGCTAGGGATACCAGCTGGAACAAGTCGAATGTCAGGCCTGGGGAGCAGAGCCAGTGGTGTAATAGGAGGCACAGGCGGCCCTCCTCCTCATCATTATGTTCACAGAGATCTGCTGCCTACAATCTTCAGGGTTAATTTTGGCAGGTTCTACTCTCACCCTGCATACTCCTGCGACCCGCTGCACTATGTTCGCAAACCAGACATGAAAAAGAAACGGGGGCGGCCGCCCAAATTGAGGGAGTCCATGTCTGAGGTTCCTTTTGTACCCGGGCTTGGATTTCCGCTCTCGGGTGGAGGTTTCTACCATCCTTCCTATGGAGTTCCCTACTCCTCCGGGCCCCTGGGGTTGGGCTATTACAGAGGCTATCCTCCAGCAAGTGCTCTGTATCCTCACCCTCACCACCAGTCGCCTCACACAGCCCCTTCCCACCACACGCATCACCCACCATCTTTTCCTCCCCCTCCTCCCACTTCTTACATGCATCATCACCATCCTTCTCACCTTCTGCTGAATCCCTCAAAATTTCACAAGAAAAAGCATAAGCTCCTTCGGCAGGAGTACCTGGGAGGAGGAAGGTCCCCTGTCCTGTTCCCACCGATGTCCTCTGAGCTTTCTTTCAACTGGCACCATAAACACAAACACAGACACAAACACAGGGAGCGTTTTTCTGAGGAAGACAGGGACGAAGCAGCAAGGAGTGGATCAGGGAACCGGGCAGGTGCAGGGATTTCTGACAAAGGAGGATCAGGGAAAGGAGAGCGGGTTGGTGGTTTGGGAATGGCAGAGTCTTTACAAAGATGCCGCTTTGGAAGAGAGACCTCCAGTGCCACTACCAGCAAGCAAGCTGCTGCCGCCTCAGCCAACTCCCCTTCTTCTTCCTCTTCCTCATCTGCTGACAGGTACAAGCGAAAAGAGAGCTCCATGCCCTGTCTAGGACCTTCTAGACTTGCGCTGAGTAGTAGTTCTAAAGGCCATCACCCAGTTGAATCATGGTTCAGGATGGGGAGCCCGGAAGGAGAATACTCTAAACTTTCACGGAGTCAAGTGGCAACTGGCCAAAGCTCATTCCCAGACGGGCGAGCAGATGACCCAGCAGGCTGCTCAGACAGCGAGGATGACGAGCCTCTCACTCCCACAGAGGATGTGGAAACTCACAATTCTCCAAATCTTACAAATCTGTTCGCCTCTGCTCTCACCCGGAAGTCGCAGAAAGGAGGCAGGAGCAGGAAAGCTGACATGGCTTTGGAGGGTTCCAGCTTCTCCCACATGGAACGGCCAATGAGAAAGGACCGCTCAACATCAGCAGAGCGGAGAGATTTAGGTAAGTCAGATTTGGCTGTGTAAGGCTTTAAAGAGATCTGTGAGTAGTCCTTCTACAATGGAGCATGCAATAGGAAAGTCATGTTACACTCATGTCAGAAGCTAAATGTATTTTCCCCCAAAATTTAAGTCACTACTTTGACTATTTCATTCATGCAGCGTGTCACTTTGAGCTATAAGTGCAACACAAAAAATCACAGTTGACCTATTTTCAGCATGACATTGTTTAAGGTTACCATTAACATTTGTGCACCATTTTCATTTTCCAAAAATAGTTCAGATTTAGTTGTGTTAAGAGCCCTCTCTGAGTATGATTGGCTAATGTCTAATCAGCTCTGTGGTTTGGCACAGCTATGGTAAAACTGGCACAGTATGTAGTCAGTCAGATCTAGCATGAACTCCAGGCTGGTTTTTTATGGGCACTAATCGTTTCAAACATTGCCATATGGCTCAGCGAGTGGGCTTTCAAATTTTGCTTGATCTGTGCACACGCACACACGTGTGTCTCATGAAAATCTTCCATTGTGTGTGTGGGATTTTGCCGTGGTTACCACTGAAACCTTCTGTAGCTCAGTTGTGGCGAGAACAAACAACACTGGAAAATGAACAGTTCTGCTTCTGGAGCCCTCTCAGCTGCCAGTCATTCCGAAAATAGAAATAAGATGCAAACGGCCACGTATTTTAGTTAAAAAAAAAAAAAAAAATCCCCTTGAAAGACACAGTGCCATCCCCCCTGCCTGACATTTGGTAGCTCTTACTGGTGTTTACTGTCTTGGCTCAAGCAGCATGTGTGATTACTTTAACTGTCTGTGCTGTGAAGATGAATGGCCGCAATTTATGCAGTATTTCTGCCAGAGCTCATCTAACTAAATGTGTGTTTTATTGGAATTATATTATTTTATAGACATTTGGCTCAAAAGCCCACCATGTGTGGTTTAGTCTTATCCATCAGTACATGCAACAGCTGGGCAAAAACATTTGTTGTTTGAAACACCTATTCAATAATAATCTTTTCCAAAGTGATGCATAGTATAGTTGTGATTCTGTGTGTGTAAGAGAGAGAGATCAATGCTGGGACAGGTGATAATGAATATAACCCAATGTTAACCTGCAGTTTTGTGCGATAGATACCTAGTTAAAATGTTCCTCTTGAGGCAGTAAATTGTAGCTCAGAAGAATCCAAGGTAATCCTGGATTAGATCTCAGGACATGGGGTTAACCAGCGGTCACAGACGACACTGTGACTGTGGAGGGGGGGGGGGGGGGGGGGGGGGGGGGGGCTGGCACACAAGTTAAGTGTGGAATGACAGAAGTACATGAATATACACTGACAAAGGTGAATGTGTACTCTTGTAAAAGTAAAACAGAGGTCAGGATAAAGCTGTACATTTTATGGACTTTTGATTTCATGTCTACATTTCTTCAAATATTATGTTAATTAGCAACCCATTCACACATTTTTCTTTGCAATCCAAAATAATAAAATGAATTGTGGTGGAGAAGCCTAATTTACGAAAATGGCCGGCTGTGTTGTGGTGTCTTTAGTATACCCCTTCAATTGTCTGATATAGTTTTCTTTTTGTCATTTACATCCTTGCCAGCTTTAATTTGCATTCTTCATTCTGCCGCCCACTGAAAAGATTGCCTTAGAAAAGTCTGCCATATTTACTCGGTCCAATTAGCTGCCATTAAATCAGGGGCATGACCACAGTTATTGTCTTAATGATAACACTCCAATGCGAGCTGCTGTGGTTTTAGTGATATAAGGCCTCCCTTCTCTGTGTTTGAAGTGGAGAGAAGATATGCTTTTGAATACACTATCCTGCATAGCTTTTCTGCAAGATAGTGTATTAGCTCAAATCTACAGCTCACAGCCATCATGTATCTGATCTGCCAGACAAACAAAGATGAGTAAGCAAAAACAAGTATTTGCTCCTGGTTCAGACGCGTCTTCAGTGGAATTTCATGTATTCAAGACTTCATTTAACATGCAATGATTACAAAATGGATGGATAAATACACTAATAAGTAGCTAAATTGACCACCCTTAAGAGATATCATGAGCAGTGTGAAGGTCTACTTACTGCAGACAAAGGGATGGCCCAGGGTTGCAATGTGATTGAGGAGAAATACACACTGGCACATTTTTTAATGGATAGCATCAAATAATTTTTAACAAAAAATATATGATTTAAAACAGTTGTACCGCCCAACTCTGCATAGACAGCTTGGGCAGCAAGCACAATAATGAACTATATATTCATCATGAATGGAGATATGCAAATAAGAAAAACAAATAAATAAATGCTTATCCACATAACTTCAATTTAATGTGGCTTCCAACTGGACTGTATTGTAGTAAAATAGGAACAACTGTGAGTCAGTGCTCCCCATGGGTATTGTATGTGTCTGATAGTGAGTTTAACTAATATTTTATATATATGTATAATCTAAATTTCTACAGTTCAGAATGTTTTGGTACTTTTATTATAAACAAACTAACACTAACTTTCCAAAGCTTAATTCTGCAGTTGGCTTTTTACATACTTTCTAATTAGTCGTTCAACTTTTATTCTTCTTCTGAACATGTGGCATTGAAGAATTAAGCAAGAAATATTTGCAGGTAAAAGTTAAAAGAGAATATTTGAGTATGGCAATAAAAGTTTAAATATAATTTACTTAAACAGTTGAGTCCTTAGTTTGAGAGTTGCTAAACATCCTTAATATGGATAAGAGGAGCGTGAATGCAATGGACAGACTCAGAAACAGAGGGAAGAAGGGTTTTCTGGGGTCAGGGAAGGGAAGGATGTAGGAAGCGGGATGAGAAGACAGGAGAACAAAGATAAGGGAAATATGTGTGAAAGTGAAGCAGCATCAAACGGCAAAACTGGAAAGCTGGGCGGGACAAGCTGGAAGACAGATGGGAAGTGTGAGTGGCAAACTGTCCTGTTTTAAAATGCGCCGCGTCCTCTGCTGTCTAGGGCTGAATGTTAAGTGGTAATTTGCCGTTTTGTTTTGTAGGCTCATCAGGTATCTCGACAAGAGGCGTGTCCCTCCCAACCTCTGAAGGCCCTGAAGGATCTCTGCACCATCGGCCCTCCCTGTTCCATTCCCACAGCTCGGCCTCCTCCTCCCTCCTCTCTGCCTCTCAGGACTGCTGCCTTGATGCCTCCCTGCCCCACCACTCACACCGAGCGCAGCCACCCAAGCACAGCCTGCATCACGTCAACAAAATTCTGCGTGCCAAAAAGCTGCAGAGACAGGCTCGCACTGGAAACAATGTGGTGAAGAAGAGGGGCCCCGGACGTCCCAGGAAATATCCACTGCCCTCTCCACCGCCATCCCCACCCCCCATGGTTGAGTTGAATCAGAGCCGTCACAGGGACAGCGGGGGAGAGCGGCTGGCAGGGGCCAGGGGGCGGGATGGTGATACCGTCTCAGATGCTATTGAGTCGGTAGTCCAGGGCCAGCGTAGGAAAGGTCAGAAGAGGAAGCACTGGGAGAGAGATAGAGATGATGAAGAGGAGGAGGAGGTTGAAGATGACAGGGAGGTTGAAGAGACTGTGGAACAATTACCAGACAGAGAAGAGACCATAAGCAACTTAACTGCAAAGCCCAGAGCTGGGACCGGAAGAAGCTGGCCTGCACAAGAAGAACATCAGGATTTCCAGGGGTAAGCAAACACTGTAAAATCTCAGCTCTGGGACCTTTCTGTACGAATGCCAGGCTTAAGTGCTGGTATGTAAACCAACTTTTGTCATGTCCAGTTGACACTAGAAACCAACTCATAGTTCTATTTGTAGCTCAGTGGAAAGCAAGCCAGATGGCCAGGGCCCCATGGAGTGTCCAGGCCCCGTCTCTAGGGAACAAGCTCCACCCATGCCCACGAACAACCCACGAGAAAAGAGAGCAGCTAGACCTCCGAAGAAGAAGTTCCAGAAAGCAGGGCTATATTCTGATGTGTACAAGACTGAAGAGTGAGTACTTAAGAAAGCTGAAACTGAAAATTGTTAAGGTTCACAGTAAGAAATCACACCACATACAGTTTTCTGCCCTGTTAGAGAGTTGCTCTTACGTTCTTCTGTTCCTCCTGTGTAGCCCGCGCAGTCAGCTTCTGCAGCTAAAGAAAGAGAAGCTGGAGTACATACCCGGCGAACATGAATATGGATTGTTTCCTGCTCCCATACATGTTGGTGAGTCTTAATGTAATTTGTAACAGTTCAGTTTTCAGTGCACTATCCACAGTGTTAATGTCAGTAGTTTAAATGTTTGTGTATGTCCAGGTAAAGTTGTTGCTTTCAATTGACTGAATGACTTAAATAAAGCTTTGAACTAAAATTATTATGATCTACTCTTCCATTCTTCCTTTTTCAACCCCATATACTCTGTGATTTCAGGGAAGTACCTGAGACAAAAGCGTATTGATTTCCAGTTGCCTTACGACATCTTATGGTTGTGGAAACACGATCAGGTGATCACTCTACTTGATCAGAAGTGTTTTAGGGTTTTTCCATGTCTGGAGCAAAAGATTGGCAAGTGATAAGGCTCTTAGTCCAGTGTGAGATGGTTTCTCTCCCTTTGTGTTTACCATGATGTTTTTGCCTTTCAGCTTTACAAGAGGCCTGATGTCCCCCTTTATAAAAAGATTAGATCAAGTGAGTATATATCTGTGTTCTGGAGATCCACATAAATGCATCTTCTGGTCAAATCTTTTTTTGCCCTACCATTTCCAAACTGATCTATTCAGCCCCACTCACTATTCTTCTGTTATTTGGTTCACTAAGGATTCTTTGTTGTTATCATCCTTGTTGTTTAATGCATTGTGTGCACAACAGTGTGGAAATCTGTATATGTTAAACGGTAATCTCCTGCTTTTACAGATGTCTATGTAGATGTGAAGCCTCTTTCTGGTTATGAAACGACTACCTGTAACTGTAGACCTCCAGATCCAGCTGAGAAAGGCTGTTTGGATGACTGCCTGAATAGGTAAAGAGACATATGGGCATATAATTCACTTGTTTTTAATAGTTTTCCTTTCACTTGATGATGCTGTAATTCAAAAACAGAGGGCAGGCATGATGTAAAACAATGCAACCCTCACAGGATGAGCTTTGCGGAGTGCTCTCCCAGCACATGTCCATGTGGTGATCACTGTGACAACCAGCACATCCAGAGACACGAGTGGGTCCAGTGTCTGGAGCGGTTCCGTGCTGAAGGGAAAGGATGGGGTATCCGTACTAAGGAGACTCTCCGGTCTGGCCAATTTATCATTGAATATCTTGGAGAAGTTGTTAGCGAGCAGGAATTCAGGTGAGAACATCTGTACATTGTAAGAAACGTCTCTCCTCTTTGTCACTCTGTTCTGGTGGCAAAGAGGAACTTCTATCTCGGAGAGGAATGAATTCTTAATTTCAATCTTCCACTGCTTCATATCCATCTTGTTTAGGAGTCGAATGATGGAGCAGTACTTCTCGCACAGTGGCCAATACTGTCTGAACCTGGACAGCGGCATGGTGATTGACAGCTACAGAATGGGCAATGAGGCACGCTTCATAAACCACAGCTGTGAACCCAACTGTGAGATGCAGAAGTGGTGGGTGTCATGGCCGCTTTAAAGCCGATCCCTGCTGATGTGCCTGCGGTGCTTTTGGCTTCTGACCAAAAAAGATTTTGCGCATGAATATCTGTCCTGGGCCTTTATGAATTGACCATTCTGAAAGAGTGGGATTAAGCTATATTCATTAACCTGTGATGACAAAAATGGGTGTTTTACTTTCATTCCCCGGTGTTTTGTTATTGTCCTAGTTTAGTTTTCTATTTCAGGACTGTTCTGTGTAGTTGGTTCAGTTTAGTTGAAAGAGGATGTTGCTCATGACAACAAAGTGTTAGAGAATCAGACTGGAAATTGTTCCTGCGTGGTATTTAAGTATTTTGTTTTCTAAGTGCCTCGGTCCCTTAGGGGTATTGAAATGGAAGATAGACCAGCCTGTTATCTTAATCTTTTCACTAACCGCTGTGTCTCTGTGCCTAAGCGAGGGAGCTCACTAGTTTCCCATTTTCCTTTAAAAGACAAACGTTGAAAAGCTGAGAAATGATCAGCTATTACAATCAGAGGAATGCATTTGAATAGACTACTAATGTGCCGGCAAGACTCCTAAAAAGGTGATCCAACAACAGTGTCTTTAATCCAGGTATAAGTTTAACCGGCTGTACATTTAAATGTCACTTCCGATCAATGTGAAGTCCTCTGTAAAGGGACCTCAGACATGAATAAGTCGTAACTGTAAGTAAACCAGGCAATATTTGTTAGTTTGGGAGACATTCACAGTAGCTTTAAAGGTGACAGATTTAGCAGACGTGCTTTGTTGGCAATGAGAAGGCTCGACTTTGAAACTCCAACCTAATTATGCGGTTTTGTGGTGGTAATCTGATGAGATCACCTGACTTCTTGCCAGTGTTCAAAGACTTTAATGGCTTAAAGTGCCTGCTTGCTGCCCAGACTGCTCACTGGTTTCTGAGGGGTTGTTCTCACAGCATGGCTTAATTCCCAGCACCTTGCTAGGGAAGCCTCTCTAAGCCCGACTTTCCAAAGTGATGCCTACTGTGGTTGTTAGTGAACCTGTAACACGTGCCAACACCATTTGACCCCTCTGAGGATTTAATTGGGGACAGCCAATGACTTTAAATAATTTTGCGGTGCAACATGGTCTAAAATTCAATCCGTGGACCCTGCCTATGATTCCAAGTATTTAGAAGGGCACAGTTGAAATCAAAGACTCCAGCAGAGAGGAGCGCTTTCAGCACAAAGCCTGTCGAGTCATCCATCTTGTCTGGGAAGAGAGATTATATGCAACCAGGCCTTAAGGTACAGCTGTAGTGCCTCAAGACAATGTGCTGAACCAGCTTTTTACCCCCCGTAGAAGGAATAAATTATCAAGTGGCCGGCAAAGAGAATAGTGTGCTTTATTCTGTAAAGAGAAGAAAGCAGTTTTTCATTTAGAGGGGAGAAAAATAGCTAGGACAGCGAGTTGAGCACTCGCCACAACCGTTCTTTCCTTTTTGTCTCAGTTAGAAAATGTGTCCTGTCTAATTGTCTACCCAACCTCAAGATGGACCTTTTTAAGCTTGAAATTAGATGGATGCTCTCTGCAATGATCCCTGTCGAAATCTTTGTCTCTGATTCTTGATTCTTTGATCCAGCACAGTATAATGCACACAATATTTTGTGCTAAAATAACTCCATAACAATTCTAATCCGTTTCAAGAAGAATTTATTCAGGAGAATATTTGAAAATGTCATCTTTAATTATCTTGTTTAACTTTAACTTTAAATAGGCATGTTGACCAGATTCAAGTGTTTTTACTACTGCTTTTTAGGTCAGTGAATGGAGTGTACAGGATCGGTCTGTTTGCCCTTAAGGATATTACTACCGGGACAGAACTCACCTATGACTACAACTTCCATTCCTTCAACACAGAAGAACAGGTGAGAAGCCTGGGATCATCTTTTCTTCTTCTTGGATTAGGGATGTTTAAACCTTTTCTGCAATGCAACTCATTCAGAAACTGGAACAAATTGTAGTCCCACCTCACAGAAAATGATTAAAAACAAATGATTTCCATGATTTGTGAAATGCCTGTCCATCCCTATCATCCCTGCAGAGACATTGTTACGGTTGCCTCTATGTTTCGTGTGCCGTTCTGTTGGAAGTGATTATTTATTTATTTTTTTGCTTTGATCTACAGCAAGTGTGTAAGTGTGGCTCAGAGAGCTGCAGGGGCATCATTGGAGGAAAGAGCCAACGTATCAATGGCCTGCCGGGGAAAACAGGAGGGGCTCGACGGCTGGGTCGCCTCAAAGAGAAGCGGAAGTCAAAACACCAGCTCAAGAAGCGAGTAAGGGATTTATGAGTAAAGATGCAAGCACTAAGAGTCTAATGTTGGTGTTAGGCTTTCATATTCAAAAGAAAATACACAAACAAAAGGAGTTTTTATCCTCTGTTTATCTCAATTTAGATGTCTCTATATGAAATATACGACCTGCTGTTAGCTGACTAACTAATTGAATGATCACTGAAAGATTTTTTTTAGTCAGTTCCAGGTGCAGCTTCTATGTAGGGCACCAATATCTCTCTGTCTCAGAGGTACTCTTAATGGGCCACAAAGTTTCTAAGAAAAGCAACTCAGTGTACCTGAAAGAGTATTCCTTTGGATTAGGTACATAACATGTTGTATCTTGCATGAAGGTTTCTAGCAGCATGAATTGAAGTTTAATGTTTGACTGCGGAGGATCAGTTGATGAAGTGTGGTTAAATTTGATTGGCAGGTTTAACCTTTACAGCTTGTTTCTCATTAAGATTTGAATGTGTGTTAATGCAACTTTCTTTGCCTACAGGAGGAAGAGTCGAGTGACAGCAACAAATTTTATCCCCATCTCATGAAACCTATGTCTAACAGAGAGAGGTAATCACACACAAACAAAATGGGAAGGCTTGTTTTACACACATAGTTGGGTTTCATAAACTTTGTCTTTTTTGTCCGATAGAATGATCTAGCTTTAAATTGAATAAGTATTTTCAATATTATTATTGGTCCTATCTTGGTTTGCGCTTGGGCTTTTCATTGTGGCGATTACCTGGTTTTTCTTTTGCAGCACCTTGGCAAACATTCCGGGAAAGCTTAGCAGATAGTAAAAGTTTACAGTAAAACACCACTGACTGCTTTACTTTGTTTAGTGAAAGAGAATCAATAATAGGACCGTAATATGTGACTCCAAGCACTACCCAACTCCTGCGCTGGCTCCCAAAGTCATTTGTAAATACATCTGCATGTTTCACAAACCCATGTGCGTGTTGTATAAACTTAGAATACGACTTTATTTCATTCTTATCTTTTCCTCTCCAGACTCTATTAAAACTCTGAAAGCGTTATCCGTAAGCTGAAAACATGTTTGACAGCCAAATGCTCATAGCCAGATGCACATTTAGGCATCCGAGACCTACGTGGGCATTTTGTATTTCCCTGTTGTATGATTGTGGGGGGGTGGTGGTGGTGGGGGGTGGGATGGGGTTCTGCCCAATTCCTAAAAGTCCTTTTTGATGCAAATGTAATGAGAAATAGGCTAAACGTTTTCTTTTAAAAGAGTAACTCCTAAGAGAGAAAATACTAATTTGCTTTCTTCTTTAATCAAAAGAAACTTTGTGCTGAAGCACAGAGTTTTCCTCCTGAGAAACTGGGAGAAGATGAGGGAGAAACAGGAGCTGCAGAAGAGAGAGGGTGACAGAGAAAGGGATGCCAGCAGCCTTTCCATTTACACGCGCTGGGGAGGAGTTATCCGCGACGACGGCAACATCAAGTCAGGTGAGTGTACAAGCATAAAATGATCCAGCAGCATCTGAGACAGCGGTGGAGCACGACTTTGAACATGGCTGTAAATGACTTCTTGAGCACACAACACCCATTCTCTGTTCCCAGACGTGTTCCTGACGCAGTTCTCAGCTCTGCAGACGTCCCGTTCGGTCCGCACACGCCGACTTGCCGCCGCTGAAGAAAACACAGAAGTGACACGCACTGCTCGCCTCGCACACATCTTCAAAGAGATTTGTGACATGATCACCAGCTACAAGGGTTAGTGCTGTGAAATCGACCATACGTTAGTCTCCTATGATCATTTATTTTCTCATTGGTATGACCTCTATTCTGATCTGAGGTCTGATCCAATCTGAATCAAATCTTTCAGCCTCTGTTATCAGCTACTGAATGATGGGGCTCTATGATTAAAAAATGATGACAGCAGTGTTTTTTCTTTTGGAATTTCACATCAGACGCAGCCGGCCAGACACTCGCTGCTCCTCTGGTGAACCTCCCATCTAGGAAGAGGTAAGCGAGTGGACCTGCGTGTCGACAGATTCATTCATGGTGCTTTAGTGTTTTCCAGATAGTAGCATTACTCTGTCTGCTCCTTCAGTGTACAACACCCACACAGTTTGACACTTTTATCTATCTCCACACATTTTAGTCGGACAGCTTGTCTGTTGAGTCTCATCCAGTACTGATAGTAATCATTCGGTGTCAGAACAATAACAGCTCTTTATGTTATTTGTGCAACATTGCAGTAAAGCTGTCATAATCGCATATTTGGTGGCCTTGTTGATTTGTGGGTTTCGGTTGAAATATGTTTTAAAACTGTACAGACTAATGCTGTGGTCTTCATATGTCCTCAGAAACAGCCAGTACTATGAGAAGGTGTCTGACCCTTTGGACCTGAGCACCATTGAGAAGCAAATCCTCACCGGCCATTATAAGACTGTGGAAGCGTTTGACACAGACATGCTCAAAGTGTTTCGCAATGCCGAGGTAGGCAAGCAACCTTCGACTGTCAGATTAACAGCCCTCCCCTTTCTGCAGTTTAGCATGACATGTGCTGGCTCAAAACTGGTGTATAGGGCATTTCTCAAATTGAATAAGTGGAGCTGAACTAGGAACTGAAAATCTGTTCTTCATATGTAAAATTACTAAGATTAAAATGGGTGTCTGCTGTGAGTTTCAAAATGGCAAAGTGGAGTCTTTGTGTTTGTTAATCCTTACACTCAATGTTAATGTAAAAAATTTACAACAAAAATCCACAGTCTGACAATATTTATTATTTTAGTCAAACTGATCATCATCTAACATATTCAGTACGATCATCATTCATAACAGAAAGAATGTGGTTTTCATTTGACATTTCTGAAAGTGTGTCTTTTATAATCCCAAATATCCCAGAGACCAATGAATAAAATGCTTCATCAGACTGATTATGTAAGATGTAACTGCCGCTACAACACATTTATCCCCCACTGCATGCCTTTAATTCCTCTTTTGTCATGCACACACACAACTCCCAAATGGGACTCAGTTTCTTGACTGCTTATCCTGCGCTCATGCTGCAGGCCCTTCTGATTTACATCTGTATAGCTTTGCAGTTTAAATAAGTGCCACTTGAAAGCTCTTGTAGTAGCTTAACCTTCCAGCTTGAAGTGGACGTGTGAATTAGAATCACCTTTTCTCACCAAGGCTCTTTTTCTCCAGATTAAAAAAAGGAAGTGAGAGGAATGCTGATTGTCATTTTGCTAGGAGCTGCAGCAGTGAAGCCTATTCTGTGAAGCAGACAGCTAAAATCTGTCTCTTTGTCAGGGGCTTGATGTCCTGCAGCACACAAACCTGCAGGCAGAACAGCTGAAAGTCTTGAAGGATGATAGAATTATTAGTGTTTAGTCCTGGGGATAAGTGCTCTGCTCTGTGTTGGTGGAGCCTTTTCGCATATTCACTTAGATAAGTACCTGTAAATGCATATTCTTTTTCTGTGAAAAGGAAAAAGGACAACTGCATTTCTTATTGTCTTGTTTTCCCTACAGAAATATTATGGCAGGAAGTCATCGGTGGGCAGGGACGTGTGTCGGCTGAGGAAGGCCTACTACAGCGCTCGCCATGAAGCTGCCGTCCAGATTGATGAGATTGTGGGTGAAACCGCCAGTGAAGCAGACAGCTCAGATTCTCTGGAACGGGACCATGGCCACCACCACCACGGAGGGGGGCCCCATGACAAAGATGATGACGTCATCCGTTGCATCTGTGGAATGTACAAGGACGAAGGCCTGATGATCCAGTGTGAAAAGTGCATGGTAATGAGCCACAGTAACAGATGGAGAAACTTTCTTACTGGAGTAGAAGGAAATAGTTGGCCCCCACTGGATGATAGGTTACACCTGTTTTCGTTTTTGCATTTCTCTTGAGACATCCCCCAGTACTTAGTCAAGGAGATTTTCCAAGGAGAGTAAGCAGTCCGTCCTCAGTGAATATTAGTTATTTTTAGATTAAGACAGTGTGGCAAGAGTTTCAGACGAACCTCTGGATGTGTGAATCACAGCACTGAAGAGCAGGACAAACCAGCTGCTCAGTAACTTGGCCGTGTGGTTAAAGTGCTTTTGCTGTTGCAGGTGTGGCAGCACTTTGACTGTATGCGTCTGGAGACCGAGGTGGAGCACTACTTGTGCGAGCAGTGTGACCCTCGGCCTGTAGACACGGTATGTTTACTATTTCAAAAAGGCCACAAAGGCCGTTTCTATTAGGGCCTCGTTTCTGGGCCTAATTTCTTACCACTCACTTCTTATGTCACCTTCATGTGCTCTGGTCCCTGTAGGAGGTTCCCATGTTACCACAACCCAGCTATGCACAGGCTGGCTCTATCTACTACATCTGTCTCCTTAGAGATGACCTGCTGCTGCACCAAGGTATGGAAAAGTCGAGTCTCTGTAAAGATCAGTTTAACAACCCTTGAGTATTTATCAATCTCCTATGGTTCAGTTTATCATCCTGGTGTTACAGCTAAAACGGATTAGAAAGATTTAGTCAAATCAGGAAAAATTTGTTTTCAGTACTGTGTTTTCAAGAGACTTTAGATTTGTTTTTGGGTTTTTTTTAAAGTGTGATTCTTTGTCATTAATTTCTATTAAATGTAACACTAAACACAGATAATCAGAGTGTGTGTGGTATTGCAGGTGACTGTGTGTATCTGATGAGAGACAGCAGGCGCACACCTGAGGGCCAGCCCGTCAGGCAGTCTTACCGTCTCCTGTCTCATATCAACCGGGACAAACTGGACATTTTCCGAATTGAGAAACTTTGGAAGAATGAAAAGTAAGTCCTTCATTTTCATCTTAATCAGCCGGCATGACGTGCTTTAAAAAGAGACGTTTTGATGACAGTGCTCCTCGATAATAATTATTGTTCTCATTAAAATGCCCGGCCTTGTTTAATTTCAGTCTGTTATTTGTCTTCTTGCACTCTAAAGGGGGGAGCGGTTTGCCTTTGGTCATCACTATTTCCGTCCTCACGAGACACATCATTCGCCATCTCGGCGTTTCTACCAGAACGAATTGTTCCGTATGCCACTGTATGAGATCATTCCTCTGGAGGCAGTGGTGGCAACCTGCTGTGTCCTTGATCTTTACACTTACTGCAAGGGTAAGAGGGACAAAACTTTTCAAATCCCACTTGTGAAAGCATGTATAAACGAAAAGACATCAGGACTAAGTTCTTCTCTACTTTAAACTTCAGTTTAGTTTCCAGCTCATTAAGCGCACTTTCTTCCTTCAGGACGGCCGAAGGGTGTGAAAGAGCAGGACGTGTACATCTGTGATTACCGCTTGGACAAGTCGGCCCACCTGTTCTACAAGATCCACCGTAACCGTTACCCAGTCTGCACCAAGCCATATGCCTTCAACCACTTCCCCAAACGGCTCGCGCCCAAAAGAGACTTCTCGGTGAGAATGATGGCAGGAGGGGCGGGGGGTCCTGAGTGGGTGGCCATGTTGAGCTCAAGCTCAAGCCTGTTACTGTTTTCTAAACACTAAAAGGTATTTTAAAAGTGGCGGTTTATCCTTGCAGTGTTTTCTTTGTAGCCTGCAGCAAAATCTCAGGTGAAGAAAGGGATTGCCAGAAACAAATCAGAGAAACCGCACTTTCCGGTCGTTACCCGCAGGGAAACGACAGTCAAATACCTGCTTTGTAGTTTTGTATCTGGTGTTTGGTAGAAACTTTAACTTTGGATGCTAAATTACTTCTTAGTTTATTTTAAATCCTACTGAATGTGCCGGTGACTTTCCCTCTTTACCTTAACCCAGTGCCCAATGGATACATTTACTATATGAAATCATTGTAAAAACATCCCAAATCTTCAGTGACCCTTCTCTAGCTGTCAAGATCGGATTAATTCCGTTTTTGTGCGCACTGCTTTCTTAAATGATCATGGTTTGATATTGGTGTGATTTTTGCCTTTCATGCAGCCTCATTATGTTCCTGACAACTATAAGAGGAACGGTGGCCGATCCGCCTGGAAAAGCGAGAGACCCAAAGAAGCTGGAGGCTGCGAGGATGACGGCTCGTCATGCGACCGGGGTGAGGACTTCTCACACGAAGCAGAAGAGGGAAGAGGAGCAGAGGACGACGTGGACATGGCTCGAGAGGATCCCGAACAGCTCGCAGCGACACCCAGACGAGCCGATCGGGAAAGAGGAGGAGAGGAGGATGAAGAGGAGGAGGAAGAGGAGGAAGAAGGACAGGAGGCAGAGGTGCGCAAGGAGTTAGAGGAAGGTTCCGATGAGAGGATAGGAGAGATGCTTGAACTCCCATCCTCATCAGCCTCCTCGCCTCTTCATCACCCAGCTCTGGGCAGGAGAGAGGCCCAGAGAGAGCGGCTCAACAAGATTCTGCTGGATCTGCTCCATAGAACACCCAGCAAGAACGGTGAGGGACCGGGATCAGAGCAGGGGGGTAGGTCAACAGATAAATCAGGGTCACTTTGACACTCCATTCATACGTGTTGCACATTATTGTTACATTTTCCATTCAACGTCAGACACATATCTTGTACCATTCTGAGTATGTTTTACATCATTCATTTTACCTTCAGTCACCATTGTGCTCAGAACACTTCAGCTGAACCCTCTATGGAGACGGGAAGTCTATACCATTTCATACCATTAGTGGTTGTAATGAGCCATCTTGTATGAGTACAGGATCTTTTAATAACATCAAGCATTGTTGTCTGTGTGGCTGTGGTCTGAAAGGGCTTCTTCTGTGGGCCGCAGTGTCTTTTCTTAAAAGAAGTTTTAAGAAAGTAGAAAATGAAATCACAAGCCTGCTCTGGGTAGTATCTGTACATCTTAGAGGAACACATATCTCTGTTTTTTTTTTCTTCATTTATTCATTCTTTTAACCCTGAAATTTAGATTAAAGCTTGGATGAAATATCTTCATAAGGTCTGTGTTATGTAGATTTCCACCGACTCTATTTGTGGTGCACATATAGGGAAATTCCTACTTAAATGCAGTACTTCAAAACCAAATAGGAACATGTCTGTGTCCATGGTCCCCACATTTGTTTGTTTACATATACACAAGCAAGTATAAACCTTTACTGTTTGTTCAGCCCAATTTTTATTTGTGGAAGCTTCTAATTTTCCTTTTCTGTTTGCCTCTTTTGCTCTTGTCTCCAGCCATTGATGTCACTTATCTCCTTGAGGAGGGAGCAGGGCGACGGCTGCGAAGACGGACGCTTGGATTTGGAGATTTTGTTGGCAGAAAATAACGTTTCCACGTGCCTGTCACGGTTGCTGCCTTTCACTGTCGTGGGAAGGGAGCAGAAAATGAAGAGACGGCAAGAAGGGAAATGAGCGTTGTTGGTTATTCAACCATTACGGACCACAATGCATCCCTAGGGGTCTCTTCCAGTTTACCTCTTCCTAGACTGTCGTCTCAACTCTGAGAAAGTGGAGGGGGTTTGGAAGCGCTGACTCGGAGGCAATTTCAGCTTGTCAAGGGGTTCTCATGCTCGAGGATAGAGCTGACCCAGATTTATTTCCTATTTAAGTAGTATCATGAGACAACTCTTTTTTTTCTCAAAATGAATTAACATAGGAGAAATAACCCATGCACTTAAATGCATTGAACATTACAAACATGGGTAGATGTATTCCACTAGCAGGCATAAAAAATTAAACAACTGGTACTGAGTAGGAACAGACAGAGAGGCAAGTGTGAATGCTGAAGAATTGTTCCCCCTGGTGGGATTTAGCTGCAACAACAAAATGTAACTGATAACTGATAAGAGAAGCTCTGCAACGGGACCGTGGAGGGGGGTGTTGTTGGAGAAATGATGAGCGGTGTGCTCAGATGCTGCTCTTTAGAACGAGAGAACAAGGGCGGTGAACTGCACTTTTGGTACCGTGGATATTGTGAAGCTCTGTAATGTATCTGTAATGAATCACACTAACACTCACAGTATTGGATGATGCAGTCTGGAAAAAAAAGCAAGTTCAAAGTTTATTATCTTTTTCCTGTTATACTTAAGAAACTCATTTAGGAACAGAAGAGGCCCATGGTATGTTCTTAGACGTTAGGCAGGAGCCGGAGGATTGAGGGTGTGCTTTTGTCGGTCAAAGTGTCTTGTTATTATTTTTGACTTTGTCGTGAGGCAGTCAGCTTCACCCCTCTTTTTTGAAGTAACATGATTCACCAGCTTAACTAAATAAGGCAGAGGGAGGGGGGACACCGGCTTCAACTGTAACGCCTTACACAGCCGTGCTCTCCCACTGCCTTGTGTGCGAGTGTGTGTGCGTGCGTGCACACTTATTGTGTGACTGTAATATTTCATGAAAATATACCTTTTTAAAAAAAACTTTGAAAAAAATAAATAAATTAAGGGCTTGATGGCAATTAACAGTTTTAAGAAAACTATGGAAAACAATACTTAACATGAAATGTATCGTGATGGTCATATTTTCTTATATTCTGTGAGACGGGTGGGGCGGTGTATACTGTATATTAGTATGGGGAGGGACTTAAGATCTTTTTTTGTCTTTCGAATATGTTCCTGTTTGCCATGCAGAATGTTTTAAAAAGAAATTGTGATATTTGAGGAGATTACCATTTTTCCCCAAATGCCTCCGCTAAAAAGGGACAACCTGCAATGTCCCACAGTGGTAAACTGACAGAGAAAGTGACGAGAATGAGACACCGAAAGCCGGAGAGAGGGAACAGGAAGCTGTACAGTGCCAAGTTATGTAAATATACACACTTAACATTGAGGAGTGTCTCCAAAAGCAATATCTTGAAAATGGATTTTGTTTATTATTCTACTGTACAGGACTCAGCCCTAAATGTATTATGATTATTATTATAATATTATTATTATTTCTTCCGTTTGTATTACTATAATGAAGACACTTAAGTGCGGAAGAAAATGAGTTTTGTAATGTCAAGAAGATCTCACCATAACTGTCCTGACGACATAAAACTTAAGCTGAGTTTTCGTTGCCTATAAATTAAGTTCTTCTATGTACTGCATGATCGTGAAGAATGTCGGACGGACACAGAAGGCATTGGGACATAACAGTGACTCAGAAACGACACCTTTGTCACTGAATTTTGTTAATAATATTCCTTTTAAGGAGAACTGTACTCCTTGTTTTTTGCTGCAAAGTGTTGAACACTAAAAAAACAAACCAACATAAAAATGTTATGATATTTTCAAATGGCGACAGAAACAAAAGTTAAAAAAAACTGTCTGCCCAATATCATGCTACTATATTTTGTTTTTCTTTCAAATAGGAAGCAGTTCCGTTTTGTGATAGCAGTCATGTATGATGCTTGTACTTGTATTTGTGTGTTTTGTGCGATCCGTTTAGTTATTTTTAGACAATCACAAAATAAGATGCAAGCATTGTAAATGGCAGACCGGTGGACATTTTGTGATGTGTACAGTTTGTCAGAAAAACTTCTTCCACTCGTTAAAAGTTTGTAATTATGATTCTTAAGTCATGAAAAATGCTGTTGGTTTTTACTTTTTGTTTTATATTTGTTTTTTTGTTTTGTTTTGTTTTTTAATAAAAGCACTACATTATTGTGAACATGTTTTTGTTCTCTGAACACTTGAATATTCAAGGTTATCCTCACTGACAGCTGAAAAGTGGCACATAGGTTGAGTATGGAAGGTAAAATGACTTACTTTTAAGTTCAGCCAAACTGTAAAATACCTTACCTTTATCTGAGTTGTATTTCATCCTAAATTTTAGTGAGAATAGAAAGAAGAGAATACATTCGTTCTGTGCGTATAATAATCATATTATAGTGGAATTCCCATTAGTTTACAAGGTGTTAAGTCTCGCGATATCACCGCAGACAAAGCTATTGATAGCCTGAATTACCTACTTTTGTGAATGGTCATGGTTCCTGTTAGGAGCATTGAGACCACACACTTATTTAATTTTTTAGTTTTAAGTGCTAGCTTCTTTCTACTAATAAAGACGTTGAATATTGTAAAGGCGTTTTAAGTCTCGCGATATGAGAGTATTCTCAATTCGTTACCCTGGTAACCCATGTGACGCTTGGGCAGATCGGCTAGGTGGGAATTCAACGGTGTTACCCAACTTTCACCCTATATCTTATCATTTAGCTTTTTAAAATCGCAACAATGCCTAAAAAGAGACCAGCCGGGGATAAAACAAACCAGGACGACGAGGCTTCGAAAACTATAGGTATTTTCGAGGGTTTTTATTCAGTTTATTTCAGTCGGAGCTCCAGATGAATAAAGTAGCACCAACTGGGTGGACACTTAATTTTTTTTATAGCCGAATATTTGAAATGTGATTTTATTTTCACAAGTTTAATTAAGTTATATTTCGAATTGAAATTTTACTGACACTAAAGTGCCAATCAAGTCAGTGCTGTTTCTCCACAGAACCAACTCAACCCGAAGCACTGACTGTGCAAACATTCGGTAAGCTATGTTTTTCTGCTGTATTTCCTCAAAATGTCCGTGGTGTTGCTAGGATCTAAATCCCCGCCATCCCACAGAGGAATATCAGTGCTCAGGAAATGTGGAGGTAGACTTTTCTGCGCTTTGTACTCTTCTGGGAATGAAGGATGTCCCAGCTGTTTGCCTCAAGCCTCCATCTTCATACAAAACTGATCCTGAGGGAGGAGACACAGGTAACCAAGAGCTCCTGTTCTCACCTGAGGCCAGAGAATACTATCAGGGTTTACATTATGGTACAAAAATAACTGCTCAGTTTTTTTTTATGATCTTCATTAGTAATTAGAATAATTTTACCTCCAGAAGATGACCAGTCACAGCTGAATCCCACACCTCTTTGCTCTAAGCCATGTTTAATAGTCGAGCTGGAAAATGAAGACCCCCACAGTGCCAAAATGATGAAGGTTTCTGGTAAGAGCCAAACACCACAGGGGAATACACATAATCATAGTTCCAAATTGTCTCGACAGTTAAGCCTTTCACTTTTAGCTTCTTTTGAATTTCTGGACAGTGAAGTTATTCTGGTTATACACATGCGATCATGTCAGTCAGTATTTCTGCTGAAATTATTTAAGTGCTAGATGTGGAATCACATATTGAGGTGCAACACAAAAAACAATGTCACTGTGTCTTTTCAATTAGGATGTGACTCTTACTGGAACAGCTTTGCAGCATCTTTGAAACATTTTCTAGGAATTTACTATAATCAAATTTGTCACAACTACACAGGATGGAAGGTGAATGAGCAGATTTTACGAGCATTTCAGATGATGCTTCCCTCCATGAGCCAGTTACTGAGCCTTCAGTGAGTAATAAGCAGCTGAAGAAACACGCTCTCTCGTTACAGCAAACAGGGTTACAGCTGTCACTGTTTGATTCTTGTTTAATTGTGTAATCCTGTTGACTGTGGCGCAGGTTTTGGCGGGCAGGACTAACAGATCCAATGGTAATCTCCCTTGTGAACACAATATCTCTCTGCTCCAGCCTCAGGTGAGCCCATTCCACGCCACTCAAACTAAAAGCATCTGCTTCGCAGCTCCCTGCCTCTTATCAAGTCATAATAGATGCTGATTTGAAGTACAGAAGTAAATTTGAGTTCAGCTCAGATATAGTTATTTTGGTTTCAGAGAAAGTTTATTGTAAATTTGCTAAACACGTCAGTGATCCGCCTCTTCTCTTCTGCATTATGGCAGAACTGTTACACTGGAAGGTAATACTCTTCCTAAGCAGAGCTTCCACCTTCTTCTCTCTGAAGAAAGCCTGTGAGTCACAAATGCACCATGTGCCCTAACAAACTTCTCCCTGCTTATACAGACTAAGATATGTCATATTAATGCCATGCCATGTTCCCTCTTTATTCAAGCCTCACCCACTTGTCCCTACGTAATAATCGGATTGGAGATGAAGGTGCTCGCCTGATTGGTTCGGCTCTCTCAACCACTAGGTCTGCCAACAAGAACCTATTGTCACTCAACCTGGCATTTAACTCCATTGGGGATCAAGGGGCAACACATATCGCACAGGTATACCCCGGGGGTAATTCCCTCTTCCCAGTACATGTCTTCACCGCCATGGATTCTGAGGTGTTTTCCTCTTGTTGTTTTGCCTCTCAGGGCCTCCGGCTGAATCGTACTTTGATCTTTCTCTCATTGGCCAACAATCAAATTGGAGACTCAGGAGCTGCTCATCTGGCCACAGTATCCATTTACATCTGACAGATAATGCATTTAAATTTGTGGTTAAGATGCTCTAAATCATATTGTACTTATTACATTATGTAACAGGTAATTTGATAAGACTCCACTGCTTGCATTTCCACTTTTAGATACTTGGTGAGTTTGCTCTAACTCATGAGGAAGCCACAGAGAGGCGGAGGCTGATCCTGCAAAGAGTGCAGACTGTGAGCGTGACCATCAATGACCAAGCTGCTCCAAAACCTAATCCCTGTGTTTTAAGAAACCACCCATAGAATATCTCCGTCTCTTTTGGCAGTCCTGTCATAATGCTGATCCTGAGCAGCTATGTGCAGACCAGCTCTCTTCAGTAGCCAGCAATAACAGCAAACAAGAGAGCAAAAGGTCCTCCAGGAAAAAGGTAACTAGTTTAGACTGACAGCAAAACATTACTCAGCACTGAAATGTTTAAGCCCATGTGCTATATGTAATAGCTTCTTGTGACATGTGCAAAATTACAGGAAGCACCCAAAAAGGATGAGAAACAAAGTGACAACAAAGAAAAGTTGAACAAGAAATGTAAGTTCAACAAGTTTTATACATGGGTCTTATAAGAACAGCTGTATTGGTTATCATCACTGACAGCTTTAAATCTCTCCTGGTGGTTGATGTTACAGCGACTCAGAGTAAAGGTGGGAAGCCAGGGACCAAAGAGAAACAATGTTCTTCACAAGAGGTATCAGACATATTTTCCCAGTGTGGCCATGACGTTCCAAGTGGACATAACCATGCTCAGCTCAATATTTATCTGACTTTTTTCCTCTCAGCAACAGAAATCCAATGTTTCTCTGAATGAAGTTTGGAAGCTCTTATATTTTAGAAAGCAAAAGATTTTTAGTCAAACCTCTGCTGTCACTGTCTCATTGAGCTGGCAGATTCAATGGAGATAGTGAACCCCCTGCTGGACCCGTCTGTGCATCACAGGGATGGACAGCTCTTCTTTCCAGGAAACACGGCACTTGCCTCCCTGAACCTAGCAGGTCAGTAATTGTGGTGGATTCATTCCTTTTTTACAGAGGATTTTCATCCACAGTCACTTTTGGCAACTGGAATATGTCAGCTGTCAACACTTTACTTTGAGAATTCACATGGAAAGTTAAATAGAAAAAAACTTGGATCAGCTCATTTCATTTTCTGTGATTTTTTATGTTTATATTTAGGACATGTTGAAATAATTTGATCCAACTTTTAAAGAAAAAATAACATTTTAGTCTAAAATGGAGTTTCATCATCATTTGTTGATTCGTTTTGTGATTTTTAGGAGCTCTCAGCTATAGAAAATAATGAACCCTTTACGGGCTATGAAACTGCATATATATTGCTTTATTTGTGTAGGAAACAGAATCACGGAGAAGCCGCTGCCTCTGTTCCTGAAGCAACTGGATATTCACGATGAGGGTGGAGGTCTGCTGCACCTTTGTCTACAGGTGTGTTCCACTTCCAGCAGACTCAGGCTGACACTGCAGTGACACGACAAAAAAGAGTTAATGCATGTAAACATATTAGTCCGACCAAAAGTGAACACTTTCTTTGTTGTACAAACCCAGACAGCGGTAACTTAACAACACACTGCAAGTAGTAAGAGAACTGATCCTTGCCCAAGCCACACAGGTACAGCCAATAAAGCTGTAAAAGCAGTAAAGGCCATACACCAACGCAACAATGATGATCTCCAAAAGAGGAAACTGGCTCCATAAAGCTGGAAAGTGGCACAATCACTACATATTTTCAAACAGAGTACAATTAAATGGCATCAGACATAGATATTTGACTACATGATTGAAGGGCGTTTTTGTATCATTTTGATGAATCTGCAGCCTCTCATTTGAATTTTTAGGTTTGAGAAGCCCGTGGCACTGTTTTGTTAACCATTTATAATAACATCTTGAAAAAGCTATTATGATATATGCTATCTTATTCTCTCACACAGAGAAACCTATTCTCCCCAGAGTGCGAGTGTTACAGAAAGATAAAGGAGCTGCTGGCACTCATGGATCCTAACATCAAAAACTGCTCTGAACAGGCAGAAGAGGAGGCACAGATGGTGTAGTGCTGGATGAACACACATCTACCTCCGTGGACTTATGGTGTTATATAAAAAAGCTTTTCTTTTCTTACAGTTGTTGTTGTTTTACTTTGAGTGAATGAAATTTGTTCTGTCTGTGTGGATCATTTAGGGGCTGATGAAATTCCTGGGACAACTGTTGATGTGTCCAGGTCCATTTGACTTCTTAATTATTCTCAAAGTTTGGATTTACACCAAAGACGAAAATATGCAAAGTACTTTGGCAAGTTTGACATTTGTATCTTTTCTCACACATACCTAGAAAATTAGGAATTATGTCAGTGGAAGTATGTTAAAAATGGGGGGGAAAAGAATGAATATTTGTGCTGCAAAAAAACAAAACAAAACAACCGCAAACAAACACAAACAACAACCATCATTTGGATGTTTGGTATTTATTCAAAACCATACATCAACACTATTATTGGTTCCAGATCACGTTGTTTCTTCTTCATTATATGTCCTACATTTCCAAAAATATGACAATTATAACTCGTGTACAGACGAAAAACGGGAATAATTTATCATCACAAATATATAAGAAAAGTAAAAGCAGTTTACAAATGTACTTTACAGGTCAGTTGTACTAAGAGTGGTGCATTTGCAAGGGTAATATAAAAGGACAAACACGTTGATAAAAAGAAATATAGAAACAGAAAAGACTCTGATGATAAAAAAGTACAAAAGAGATACTTTTCCAAATAGGATAAAATAATTGATAATAATATTCCATATAGTTGTACTACTATTACGACAATTAATAATAGTAATAATGATTCTAGTTATAATAATATTAATGATAAGAAGAAGAACAGAAAACAATTCAGAGGCAGTTTTAACACCGCAAATATGGCTGCCGTGTCGTAAAACATTCGTCACATCCGGCTCGTGCTCAAAGGAACCACCGATATCAACCGCTCGCTTCCGGTTATGCCTCCTTTTCGGCAGCGGCTATTTCCTCGCCAACATGCCAGTAAGTATGCACAGGCCGAGACAACGCGACAATTTCACATTTTAACCTAGTTGTGGACAGGGACCAGAGACCTCAACATGTCCATAAGACCATAGCGGCTCGCCTGATGCCACTTTCAGACGGTTTTGTTGCTCTTAAGTCGCATTTTTAACAAGAATTTGCCGCCTTGTGAACGCATTGTTACACAAGATGGCTGCGCGCACACCGCAAACATGGAGCCAGTTTTACGGACCACCCGAAAGCTGAGAAAACTAGTCAGTAGATGTCAGTTCCCCCTCGATTTGGTTGATAAGTAAGCGTTTTGAGTTACAAATTGGCTAATGTACGATTATGTGAATGTTTGGGCTGAAAGTAATGAAAATCTGCAGAAGGCCAGTTAATGAGCCTGAACAGGCCAACGTAGCATTTTATAACGAGGCTTAACAAATGACACCAGTTACCGTGTCTATCAAGCTGATTCTGCATCGATCAGACGGTTAATGAATATTTTCCCCTAGACTAACAGACGTCTATTCATCTGAAAAATAACCCTGAAAGTGGCCTGGTCACTCCTAACGCACGTTTAATTTTATTTCCCGTTTTTCTTTCCATCTTTTCCCTCAACTTAGCTCGCAAAAGACTTGTTGCACCCAACCCCTGAAGAGGAGAAGAGGAGGCACAAGAAGAAGCGTCTTGTTCAGAGTCCCAACTCTTACTTTATGGATGTCAAATGTCCAGGTACAGTAATCCTGCACTCGGTTGGGCTCAGGCATTTTTAAGAAATAAAGCTGAGCTGTAAGATCTGGTTCTGAGTACTCACTGGTGTCCTGTCTTTGCACTCCAGGATGCTACAAGATCACAACGGTGTTCAGCCACGCTCAGACAGTCGTGCTGTGTGTGGGCTGCTCCACCGTCCTGTGTCAGCCCACTGGAGGCAAAGCACGTCTCACAGAGGGTCAGTATCGGTCTTCACACTCGACTCTGTGTGGGTCAGGGTCATGTGCAGCCCAGGGTCGCCTTGTCAACGGGCTCCAGTTACATCAGCCACTCTACTGATGAAAACTTGGCATTGATCCCTTTTTTTTTTTTAATGAGAAATAGCAAATCAGGGTATCCTAGCATATTTTTTTTTACATTCACTTAATATTTTCAGATTATGATTTTATAAATAGAAATGGCAGCCAGGGTACACAATTAAGTTTATTTAACCTAATATTTTAATGACTTGGGATTAAATTAAGTCTTTCTTTTCTCGTACTTTCATATTTATTTTTTCTTCAGATGTGGTGTAAAAATGGAAATTGTGACATGGAGATTTGTTTATTTTATTTTTTTAAATAATGCAGCACATTTTACCAGTGGTTTTAGTTTTTGTCAGGAATATGCACATGAATCTAGATGATGTAAAATGGGATTATGTAAACAGTTTTTACAATTCAGAGGGGCTATTTGCCACATTTTGACGGCAGATATTCGCACTGCTAAGTGACTGGACTTCCTCTATCGTGGTCTTCCAATCTCATTCCAGTGCCAGATCAACCTCAGTTTGCAGAAGGGTTGAGCTAGACCACTGGCTCCCCCCTTTCGAAGGCTGAGAACAAACACGGCCTCTTTTTAGTCACAGTAGATGTTAAAAAAAGAAGGAAAGAAAAAAGTTGTTTTTTCAAATGGGTCACCTGATGGAAAGTGATGACTGGGGTTAGTGTGGTGTGGAACAAAAGGGGGGGCACACTGCCTGCAGGATGTCAGAGCCTGAGGCTCTGCCTCTGTCAGCACTGACTGTCATTGTGTCCTCTGGCAGGGTGCTCATTCAGGAGGAAGCAGCACTAGCTATTCTTCTTTGAGCTGGAAGGGAGAGGAGGGCATGGACCGGTTGATATCAGCGCGCCATGGCTCCTGAGACGGCGACCAAACCTGAGGCCTGACTTGTGAAAAGTGAGACCAGAAGACTAAACTGGACTGCAGATGGGTTTCCCCCGTCTGTCTGTGTCAACAGATCGGTTGTTGCTGTAACTCCGCCCTCCAACCCTGTCTCTCCGAATAAAATTTTGTTTTGGCTAAACAAAAGTTTGGTTTGTTTTTTAACTGCTTTTATTGTCGACACCTTCTGAACAGCGACCAAACGTCATCCTGGGTGTACATATGTTAGAGTAAAATTCCATCTGCCCGACCTCATCTCATTTTCCTTCCGTTCTTACACACGACGGCTGTGGTTGCATCAGGCAGACCCCCACGGGCAGCCCGTGGTGTCCACTAATCTGCTGCCGTCCCGCTAAAGCACTCGTTCTTCACCTCCCTCTCCCTGAGTAGGTGGCGGATGGAGGAGTTCTGCGTGGACAGGGTGCTGGAGAGGAGGGGCATGAGGCTCTTGAAGCCCTTCCTCAGCTCCTCCACGTGCTTCTCCAGGCCGTGGATGTGCGTGTCCAGCTCCCCCCTGCAGCCCTGCACCTCGGACAGCACGTCGTACACCAGGCTCTGCATCTGCGCCGGAGGGGATGTTCGTTTAGACAGAAGTCAGTCGCCTTTCTGCGGAGGGTTTGACAGGAAGTGCGGTTAGGCCCCCCCCCCCACTTGCCTCGCTCACCTTGCAGAGGTCCACCAGCGTGCTGCCTTGATCTGCCAGGATTCTCTTTTCCATCTTCACCCTCCGCAGTCTGACACGAATAATTCATAAAGAATGTTCAGTCCAAAACAAAGGACGGAGGTCAGCAAAAAACAAAAAGAAATGAAAATAGGTGAGCAAAACTGACTGTCCAGGATGAAAAATGGGCATAATTTAAAAAGGGTTTCATCTGAGGGTATGCCTTACTGGTCGATGGCCAGGAGCAGCTTCCGCTGGTGCATGCGGACTCTGGTGGGGTCTCTCTCTCTTGACAGCTTAGTGTACTTGTAGATGAGCCAAGTCTCCCTCAGCACATTTGCTGCAGCAATTTTTAACTAGCGAAAGCACACGGGGAGAGTTATTGCGTGTTTGTCAACAGATTGCCTGCCACGTCTTGGTCACTTGGACTCAAACCCAACTTCCAGCTCCGAAACTTTGTTGCTGCGTGTCTCTCTTGGAAATGGCTGGAGCGTTTGGCTGCTTCCAAAAGGCCGCCGAAACGGTGTCCGACACCCAGAAAAAAAACAACTGAACGTCAGGTCAAAGGCACTCACCGTTTTTGAGATGTGGGAGTCCATCATGAAGTTGTGGACGTGTTTCTCGGCCCTGGTCAGCTCCAGCTTCCTGGCGACCACCGCCACCACCAGCACCGTGCAGCCCGCTCCCTGACAGACGGGAGTTCGGCCTGTTATTCGCGCGGGGGGTGAGGGTTTCTGGAGCCGGTCCCACTCGCCCCCGAGCCTCACCATTATCCCAGTGAGCAGGCAGATGCTGCGGCCGCAGTAGGTGTGAGGGACCACGTCCCCATAGCCGATGGACAAGAAGGTCACGGACACCATCCACAGGGCCTCCATGTAGTTGCTGCTCAGGTCTCTGTAGTTGTGATGTCTGCAGGAAAAAAAAGGAGAGAATAGAATAACAGAATGGGGGATGTTTTCTCATGTGAATTTCCTCACTTTATGTTCTACCACGTTCCTATTGGGTGAAGGTGAGGACTTTGAATTGGGGAACCGCCAAACATTTTTTCCATATTGCTTTTTGGGTCACTTGTCAAACTGCTATAACTTTCTGGTTAAGTCCAGTTCAATGACCGATGCAGTAAAGCGAACCAAATCACAATACCTGCGTTTTCCTTTTTTTTGTTCCCCCAAACCGAATATATTAAGTTTAAATCTTAAAGTTCAATTTTGGTCTCATCCCAGCTTTTGGAAATGGTCTTTAGCTGCCTGCAGATGTGCAGTCATGTTTTACAGAACCCTGGAATGGTGGGATAATCAACATTAACTTCCTAATGACCTCTAGTTGTTCAGAATTTGACACCCACTATCGTATGTTTTGGAGTGATCATCGTTGGTTGAATTTCTATGTGAATTGGTCCAAATCCCAAACTATTGGGGGAAGTTATTGCTGATAGATTAATAACTAAATAACTTCTTTTGAACACAAAAAATCGCTTCGGTCTGGGTTTTAAAACGCTTAGTTTTAAACACACTTTCACTGTCCAACAAATGCCTGAAAACACTATAATTCTTTTTCTACTCAAAATTGACATCTTAAAGGGTTCACTCGGATTGGATCCACTTCCATTAAAACCTGCATGTTCAAATACTACGTTTAGCTATTTTCAAAAATATTATTATATTTAATCTACTTTAGGGGTGACGCAAGCATATTCATCATATTTTTTTGTAATGTTAGCAAAAGGTTATGGATTTGCAACCTTTCAGGCATCAGCGTCCACCTGCCACAGATCGGATGACCGGTGACCCAGAGGACTGGGCATCCACCCAGAGGTAAACCCGCTCACCTCTCGCAGACGTGCAGGCCCCACGCCGCCACGATCCACAGGGAGACGCTGAACGCCATCAGCACCGTCCCGGGGTAGGTCGTCATCACCGTCTTCCCCACGAAGCGGCTGTTGAAGTGAATCTGAAAAGCACAAAGGGGCTGTGTGACGTCAGAATTTTCTACTTTACTTAGCCAGACTATCAAGGATAGCACCTGGCGGATTATCCGCACATAATACAGGAACGAGGGATAAGAAAGCCTATTCGCAATCCAGCTGGATACATGGATGGTAGGTTTGGTATCCCGGTGCAGGGCGGGGGCAGAGGTATTTCTCATCAATCTTAAACAGCTCATTTGAATAATAATTGGAATTATTCGAATGGACAGCCGGAAATGTTCAGCTGTGCAAAAGAAAAGCCAGTGAGGCCCGTTATTACCACGCGAAACCTGTGGAATTCACTCCAACTAAAGTCATTAATCAAATGTCAGACGTCCGCAGAGCGTGGTGGCGTTGCACAGAGGGATGTGCGTGAAATGTAGGTGAATAAATCCCTGTAAATAAATCCAAGGTGGGCTTAACATCCAGTGGACGATGTCAGAAAAACGCCACGGTCCACTGACCCTGTCCCTGCTCTCCACAGTGTCGTTACCGTTCTCTGTCTGTATGGAACTTACAGATGACCCCCCCCACACACACACACACACACCTTGTTGAGCGCCCCGATGCTGCGGGAGGCCGTGTCGGTGAAGAGGCGGCTGTGCAGCATGGCGGCCCGGCCCAGCAGGTAGAGGCGCAGGAACATGGGCAGAGCCAGCACGATCTCCAGCTCCGTCTCCGACAGCGAGGCGCCGGCCGGCCTCCGCTGGACGTACGCCAGCAGCCCCACCGGGTACGGGTGGACCACGGCCACCGCCAGCTCCAAGGCTATCAGAGCCAGGCGGTTGGTTGTCATGGCAATCCGCCAGTCCTCTGCACCGATGTCGTGAACATAAAGCTGCCAGGGGGGGGGCGGGAAGGCCAGGTTAGTCTGTTTAGAAACTCAGACATAAAGCGCACAAGATGAAGGTCCCTATCATTTAGAACTGATGTCCACCATGTCTCCATCAACAAAACCTGTAACAGTCTATGAATGAAGCGAATAGAGACGGCGACATGTTCAAATATAACATTTCTGGAAAACAAGCGAAAGCTCTCCTTTAGGCTCTGGGTTGATTGTGTCTTTTTATGACTCTTAAGAGACGCATGAGCGTGAGTTACACCTGTTTAAAGAAGGAGGAGCATAAACGGCTGAGTCACCTGCACCTCGCAGCTGTGATAGGCCACGATCAGACCCAGCAGGATCAGCGTGGACGCACTGATGACCGACTTGAGAGACAAGGAGTAGACGGAGCTCTGCGGGACACAGACACACAGAAACACACACACACACACACGTATATGATCTGTGAACAGTGTGGCGTCAGCGTCAGAACGCTGGTCACCGATGCTCCGGCCGTCCGGCGTGATCTTAAACCCCCCGTGAGCCCTGATGTGGATAATCCGGCCGCCGTATGTGCTGAGTGGGATCTCCTGTTTTTACGGCCATTCGGGGGCAAAACGGTGGCTTTTTTTTTTTTTTAGATCCTGGCAGAAAAAAAAACGCGCCCACCTTGCTGTAGACGCTCCAGGAGAGCTCGGTCTCCATCACCATCATGACCACGCCGAACATGCCCACGGCCAGGGCGCCGTCGTTCAGCCGCTGCCTCCTCAGGAACAGAGCCCGCCGCCGCAGCAGCCGCCAGCCGATGTTGTGGCTCCTCCAGTACGGGTCATTCCTGGCGTCCTGCTGGCGTTTGGGGCTGTGCTGGGGGCTGGGGCCCGGGCTGGGGCCCCTGGCCGCCCCCCCCGGCGGGAGGCCCTCGTCCCTGCTGGTGACGACTATCTCCGGGACACTCTGCCGGCGGCGCATCTCCAGAGAGACGTCGTCCAGTGCATGGCGCCCCCCCCCGGCCTCCAGGCGGGACCTGAGGGGGCCCGGGAGGGGGGACGCTCTGGGGGAAACGGGCACATCGGTGAAAGACGTGACCCTCTCCTGGAGCCGGTGGGATCCTGCGTTTTTGGGCCCCCGCGGCTTATTCGGCTCCTTCTGTCCCGGCTTTGGCCTGCTTGGCCTTTTCTCACACCTCCTCTCTTTGCCTCTGGCCTTGTCCTTCCTGGTGGGGCGAGGGGACGGGCTGATGTAAAGGTGACCGTTGTATATAGGAGCGGCGGCCGGGGGCTGGCTCCCGTCCGGCCACCCGCTGGACGGGACGCCGGCCGTCTGGACCAGGGCGCGGTGCAGCCCACACTGTGGGGAGCAGGCCCGGGCCGGGGGGGCCATTCTGGGAGGCAGCAGAGGGCGGTGGTCCTCGGCCTCATCTGCCTCCACCACAGACGAGTTCCCGGAAAGGGAGCGTTCCATCGTGAGGGGGATCTTTCAAAAGGAAGGGAGGCGGATAATAACGTGAGACTAAGTGAGCACAAAGCAGTGAATACAGTTTGAACAGATGGCAGCGGCAACCAGAAGGAATATTGCAGAAGAATTTCATTCATGAGGAGCTTAGTGAGCCGAGATTTTCTATATTTTATTTCATATAGCTGTGGGCTCACATATGCTCGCTTTTATTAATCTTTGATTCGGTGATTTTATCACAAGGTTTTTTTTTGTGTGTGGAACAGATGGAGAGCATCAAAACAAGCACACGCAGTATTGTGTGAGGTCCATGTGTCTTTTTCACTCCTACCTTTTCGTTCCGGCTCAGGTCTCCAAGAATTCCACTGTGAGGCTGACAGAGGGCCCCTGGAAACTCATAAAGACAGTTTTTTTTTTCAGTTTTCTGATCCCACTGGTCTCATCAGAAATCACAGACTCATCCTCCTGCTCGAAGCCTCCAACGGTCTTGAGTGCGATCGGGGAAAAAAAAAAAAGAGCTTCAAATGTCGCCTCTCTTGGTGAACTTTCTAGCAATCCGTCACAGAGCTCCGCCCACTGATGGGAGCAAAGCCTACGAAAATGAGGGAGGTAAAGACACGTAGGTGTCCATCATGTTTGCGGTCACTATCTTCATCCGTCTCCTCTGGTGCTTTGTGACAGTCTGCTGTCAGGGCATCTTCTTTAAAGCTGGGGGCAGGGGGTGGGGGCAGGGGGCGGGGGTGGGGTGGGGTGGGGGCTTAATGACACCAAAGTTACAGATGTTGCAGAGGTAAAGTCTGGGTCATCCTCAGAGGGGGATTTTCGGACCTTATCCCCGCCCACGTATGTGTTTAAGCACATGAAATCAAGCCGGAGTTACTCTCAAAGTCTGCACACCAAAAAAACTAAGCAGAAGGAGCAAGTTCTACAACAGAGTAATAGTTTTATATCTCTCTTCAGCAGATTGGTATTGGGGATTAATCAGGTGAAATAGAGACAGTGTACTTAGGAGCTTATGGAATATGCCACCCTGAATCGAACAACATGCACGGAGCAGAGTGGCGCATTAAGCATTAAAGTCATAACAATGACATTTAAGCATCATGAAATGATCTAAATCCTTGTGACAGATGGGTCGGCGGATGACAGAGCACCCACCCATTTGGACGGGCCAAGGAGGAAAGGGCAGGTGGAGCACGACCGGCTAGGAGCAGCAGGATGAAGACCGGTGTTATCTAATCCCAACATTACATGTATTTAACAGAGACGGAGGAATATTAGGGGGGGGATGTAACTGTAATTCGGACTTCCTCCGATTTCCCTCCAGATGTGAAATTGGTCAACTACTCAGATCCTCTCTGAGACGCTGCCAGATGCTGCAGTTTTGATTTAAAAACATTATTTTTTTACATGTAGTGCAGGCTGTGATCTCCTCAGAGCAAAACTGTCAACAGCAAAACCTTATGGATGGTCTCTGGTGATGCCTCACAACCCTTGAGATGAGACACTCTTAAATTAAACTGTCTGCTTTGCTGAAATAGAGTAAGACTGGTGTTAAAATTCACTCTGCTTAGGGGGCCACAAATGCTCTCAGATTATATTGTCCTAAATTATGCACATCTGCAAGGCTTCAAATTAATTCAAGCCTCCTGCCAAGGACTAGTAAATCCAAGCTGCCCGTAGTTGGTAGCTGAGTGTCAATTCTTCTTGGCTCTGTGGCCGACAGCCAGCACGTCTTCAGTCAGTCCCCTCTTCTGCAAATCCTCCTCTGGCTGTTAAGAAAGTGAAACGAATCTGGGATATTTTGAGAAGAGTAATTGCTGTTGATGGAGAACGGCGAATGTGCTCCATGCCCCGAATCTTCGGCGTGTTCCAGTTTATCTCGAGGTCAGGTTAATTGCTTGGGTCTTATCTGCTGGGAAATGTCAGACGAGAAGATAAACAAGATGCACGGGGGTTGCGAATTAAAGGGTTTAAAAGGTTAAAGGTGCGGTGAAGGTTGGAGAAAGAGGCGAGCCAGAGTCAGAAGGGAAGGCAGGAAAAATAAAAGTTACAGAATGGGACATCAGGATAGATTTAGTGTCTCAACAGATCCAAAAACAGCTGCCACACAGCTGTGACATTACTAAGTCTTCACTACATATAGAATAATCCGAGTGGACACTCTTTGTTACTGAAGGATGAGAAAAAAGTAACGAGAAACCCAAGTTTCACCTGAAACACCTGAGCACAGAGCATTTTGTGTTGGGTTTTAGGTTAAGCTCCTCTTTCATTTTACCCTCTCCCACCCCTCTGTATACCCAGTTTCTCCTGTAGGACCGCACCTGTCATGTATCCTGAATCATTTTGTCTCTGCGGAGGGATTTTCAGCAGCACCGAGCTGCTGAATGTTATCAGAAGTGTATTGATCAAAGACTCGTGGCAGCCCTATGAGTGTGTGACGTACACATTGTGTAGAATAGGCCATTAGGAATCCAAAAAATAACTAACCCAAAGGTAGACTGAAGAAAAAAAAAGACTCATCACCACAGACAGAGCAAGTAACTCAAATAAAAAAGCAGACTTCAAAAAACCTCCTTTCATCTATACAAGCCCTCCAGCTCCAGAGATGTTGATGACAGGAAAGAAACATTTGCTCAGTCTGCTACAAACGTAGTTAAGCACAAATGATTCAAATCCCACATTGGATATAGAAGAACATTATGAAAAATACACCAAAATGGGATTTTGGAGGACACAATCAACACATGGCGGACTAACTTTTAGGCTGAAGAAAATCCATATCACAGTGTACCCAGTTGTCATGGTTACGAATGTTAAAAAAAACTCTCCGTGGTTTGAAAATTTAAGGCTTAAATTCTTCTTCCTCCCGGGAGGCGACTGACAGAATCTTAATTGGGAACATCTAAAACACGAAGCATAAAAGGTGCACCTCTCCAGAACACCATCAGAACCCAGCTGCCACACATGAATGAGGTGTAGAGGAGTTTATAATGACAATAAAATACACATCCCACCCAGCTACGGCCTGGTAGAACCTGCTGATCCATTTTCTGCCTCTAATCTAAGACCAGAACACGGAGGAGGAATTCTGTGCTAACATCTCCAGCCCATTGGAGACTTGGGGGCCTTTCGAAAGGTGCTTGCTCACTATTTATTCTATTCTATACGGAAAGAAAACTTTGCGCTGAATTTTGTTCCAGAGCTCCTGGCTGAATCAGACCTTTTTACCTCTAAACTAAACAGAAATCTTTTGGTAACGCTCCTGTTCGGCTTTGACAAAGATAGAAGCGTTGATGTGGGGGGGGGGGGGACCATGAGAGATATTTCAGGATCAATCTTAATGCTTTTGAAGCTTCTGGGAAAACTTTGCTGAGCCCACAGCTCTTCACTTGCGAGCTGTAATATCTAATTGGATTCCAGCCCCCCCCCCCTTTGTCCTCTTGAGAGACTAGCTGTGACGGTCCATAACTGAAATCTATCAGAGGAGGACTTCATCTACTTAACTCCACCTTAGACAAGGAAAGCCACTTTGACAAAGTCAGGCATCGCGGGCGTGGGCATGCCTGTGGCGGTCATGTCGATAACATCCTATCAGCCCGGGGGGGACGTGTCAGCGCGGGAGAGAGCCTAATCCAATCAGCAGAGTCATTAAAAACACAGCGCAGCAGCTGGGACGGCCGATGGCTGCATTGGTCAGGGGCGCCGGTCAGCATCTCGGCCCGGAGGTGGGGGGGGGTTGAGAAGCGGCCATGCCAGGTCATTGGGCCGGTCATCCCTGCTGCCGGACGGTCAGATCCAGACGGTGAGGCCTACCTCTCCTCCGGCGCCATCCTTAATGTGACTTTAATTCACTCGCCGCTCCGTCTTCATTCATCAGATGGTGTCCTATCTTTTTTTTTTTTTTTTTCCTAATTAGTATCTAATCTTCCTCTCGTGCCATTCAGCCCAGCTTCTTTCTTGTTAATTAAGTCCGCCACCTCACCCCTCTGTGAAACCTCTGCTGAACCCCAGCCAGCCTGCACTTAGAGAGCAAACCACCAGATGTCCCCCACGCCTCAGCGCCTCCAATCTGGGTTTTTTATGAAGCCTGGTGAAATTTTGTTTTTTGGATCGGTGCACAACAGCACAAACACGGGCATTGTCTTTATCTCCCTTTATTTTCTTTCTAGTTTAGGAGAACTATAAGTCAGTTTTGTGCATTTAAAAGCAGCAATGCTGCTGATATTGAACAGCTGAGTGGCTGTTTTGTTTATTTTGTGCTCTTGCTCTAAAACTAGTGCAGGTTTCTCTACTTTAACCGGTGACCGCCATCCTTCTTTTTTGCCTCTGAGGGCCACTTTTCATCCTGTGTGTGCAGCCGAGCATGAATCTGCAGCGCCGGAGCGCTCCGGATGTGTGACAGGCTTCCTGAGAGTGGGGTAATTCCGAAGGGCAGTAGAAGTAATAGGGTAATCTATTATACAGTCCAACTCTTTCTTCCTCCTTTTCTTACCCCCCCCCCCACCCTCTCCCTCCCCAGCCCTTCAGTTTCTCGCTGCCTCTGCCCTTGCATCAGCATTTCATGAGGACAAATGAGAAGTAGAGTTTAACTATGCACATTCCCGTTGTCCTCCTGCAGAGCCCAGCACTTTCTCAATTAAACTGGATTCCATCTGCTCCCGACCACGTGGGGGGGTGGTGGGGGGGGGATGCTCGTGGGCACGCAGGCAGAGAGCAGACACACAGCTCGTAGCCCGGCCGTGCGTGACCATGCGTGGGGCCAGGCGCTGAAAACCATTCCGGACACAGAGAAGGGGAACACGTATCAAATGAGGATTCAGGAAAAGGGCTGAAGTCATTCGGATGCGAGGCCGAACGCCCGGGCAGATTTTGTGCTTGGACATCAGAACACACATGATGGGATGTGCGGGTTGAATCCGGCCGTGCGTTCCACTTTTTGTAGTAAGCGAAACGTTTGGCACTTTTTTTTCCCCCGTTCTGCCGTTTCACTGCTGATGTCTTTACTCAAACGTCTTCAATCAATTCTCTGGCGTAAAGTGTTGACATTTGAATTCATGCAAATCGGTTTCATTTGTCCGTGTTAAGGTCAACTCGTGCCAGTCGGCCAATGAAAAGCTCTCCCTCCTCCGGCCCCCACTTCCTTTATCTTCCATCCTTTCACCCCCATCACTGACATTTTCCTCTCTCTTGTACTCTCCATTTTAGGCTACCTCCCAGAGAGACAGGGAGAGCTCACGGCCACCATCTCCTCCTCCTCCTCCTCCTTCTCTTCCTCCTCCTCCTCCTCCTCCCCCCCCTCCTCTCTCAGCTTCCCTCTCTCCCATCAAGCACACCCTCACACTCCTTCCATCTGATGCTGGCTGGATGCAGACCGGAGGATTTCAAGCATTATCCTGAATCAGTGCTCCCTCTCCTTTTTCTCCATCCCTTCCTCCTCCTCCTCCTCCTCCTCCTCCTCCTCTTCCTCCTCCAACATCTGGAAGCCTCTCCTCTTTCTGTCTCCTCTTTTTTCTCCGCTGGCTCCCCACCAGGATGTGGCACTCGGTGGCTCTGCTCCTCTCTGGATTCTCCGCTTTGATCCACGGTGAGGCTGTCTGCATTTCTCCGTCTTTCTCTTCCCGTCTTTCACTCCCAAGTGTTGCTGCAGCATTGGCATTTTGATGGAATTCAGGAAAAAAAAGGAATCGAGCTTTTTTGCGACGCGTCTGCCGAGGAGTAAATGAGACTTTAAAGTGTGTGTGTGTGTGTGGGGGAAAAAGACTCCCGGAGAAGAAAAGTGTGAAAGTCGCTCACCTGTTTGCTCGTTTGTTTACATCTTTATGTTCTCTCTTTTCACCGATTCATACTTGTTGGTGTGGAAATGCCACTGCATAACAGGTTTTATAAGGCAGCTTGCCGTCCAACCTGTGCTGAAACGCTGATGGCACACACAGATTCACCCAGAACGTGGATCTGTGGTTCCCATTCACTCACGGCGTCAGAGCTGCTCTGTCTGTTCAGACCTTCGGGGGGGGGGGGGATCTCGCACGGAAAAAAGGAAGAGAGCCGATCGGTTTAATTGCACGCGCAGATGGGCTCTCCCATCTTGTCTTCCTGTCTTGGACGTGTTGCAGCAGCCGGTGCTGTCAGAGCTGGATGGCAGAACCAAAGAGGAGAGTGGGAGAACTTTCTCCTTCAGGCAGAAAGTACCAGCAATAAGCTGGTGTTTGGTCAGCGTTTAGGAGCACGTTGTAGATCAAAAAAAGCAAACAACATAAAAGACAGGACAAGGTAAAAGTTTCAGAACTGGTTTTTGTAGTCTGACTTCTGAAGGAAAGAAAAAAAAAAAAACCAATCATCCAGGGCTTTGCTTTGACTGGCTTTGAAGGGAACCACAGTCTCATCCCCAGCTCTGAGCCCCCATGTTTCTCCTCTTTGCACAGAACCTTCCTCTGTAGTTTATCTGTGCAGCGTATCGCATATTCGAAAGTTTTTCGTTACAGTCACGGAGCATTGAGATGTTACGCAAGGCATTTTTTTCATTGTTTAATTCTCTCAGGAGATTTAGAAAACTCTGGATCGTGAATGAAATAGAAAATGAAGCTTTGAGCCTGGATGAAGCTCAGCCGTTTCACCACATGAGTTCTAATTGGACAGAAAACGAGGGGAAAAATAGATTTACAAAACAGGCTTTACATTTTTAATTGGTCTTCACATTTGCACACGACCTCTGGGCCTTTTAAACTACTTAATTATACATTCATTTGAGCCAGTTAAGGCTGATAAGGCTTCAAAACATTTCTAATTAGTTTACTGAATGTTCTCCGAGCTCCTTTTGAATCTTTCTCCCATTCGTCCATTTCCCGTTGGATTTTCTCTATTAATGGGAAATGTTTCATTCGATGGTCAGCACCGTCGGGTTACCGATTCAAATCCCAAGAGGACCGGGGACCTTTCTGTGTGGAGTTTGCATGTTCCCCATGTTCCTGTGTGGTTTCTGTCCGGGTCAGCCGGCTTCCTCCTACCATCTGAAAACATGCATGTTGGGTTAATTGCCGATTCTTAATCTAAATCTGACCCTAACCCTTCCTCACTGTTTCAGTTGTCCTGAAGAATAAAACTCAAGATGAGCGTGATTAATTGGGATTTTTTCCCACAGCCTTTCCCTGTGCCATGTTTCATTTTGTCCTGGTCCTCCAGATGTATTAATAGATAAAGCAGTTCAGCCATTTGCTCCTAATATTGCCATAGTTTTGGCTCCCTTCATAGAAAACACACTTGATAGTGGTGAATTTATATACATTAGGTTTATCTACAGGTATACCTAATGTATATGTGGTGTTCATATACATAATTAAGGTTTTCCTGGTTTTTCAGTGTCGTTGCAGGGACCTCACCAGAGGAACCTGCTGAAGAGCCTCCTGAAGGACTACAACCGGATGGAGCGGCCCGTGGCCAACGACTCCCACCCTCTGACTGTGGTCTTTTCCCTGAGTTTGATACAGATCATGGATGTGGTAGGTGCAGACAGCCACTCAGCCTCATGCTCACCAGCAAGGCAAACTTTTTAAATGCAAATCTTTTGTAACATGAACTTACAATGAAGAGAATATAAATCATATGCCAATTCAAAATTAACGTGGAAGTTCACTGACAGACGGAGCTCTCACTACCAAAGATCTCTGTTATTACATTCAAAGTGCTTTACATTGAGAGAAGCTAGTTTTCAAAAGCCATTTGAAACAAATCACAGATTCAGCCGATCTGAAGGAACAAACTTCCAAAGTTTAGCTTCTACAAACGGAAAAGGTCGGTTTTGAAGTTGGAGCGGTGGCCAGATAAGAGCCCAGCCTCTGCAATGAGTGGTTCAACAGTTCTGCTATATATGCCGAAGCCATTCCAAGCAGGGTCTTATGTGCATAATGATATTCTAAAATAATCTTTTAAAATTTTACTGGCAGCTGATGCAGTCAGGCAAGAAGTGAAGCGATGTGGGACCGGGCTGTTGCATTTTGGACCGGCTGTGGGTGAAATGAATCCAGAATCATAGTCTCTCTTTTCAGAGACGTGCTTAGAATATTTTCTGTGCTTTGCAGGATGAGAAGAACCAGGTGTTAACCTCCAACATGTGGTTACAGATGGTAAGAACCCCTGACACTTTTTCCTCTTTAATATTTTTCATTTCTACACATGCAGAAGATAGGAAGTCACAACTTCCCTTCCAGTTGAAATCAAATTGGATTTCATTGTATGAAACAAGTCTGTATGTGAGGAGATGGAGATAAAGTGGTTTATCTGTAATGGCTGACAGGGGGTGGTTTGTGTGTGTTTACAGCACTGGTACGACCACTACCTCCAGTGGAACCAGAGTGCTCATCCCGGGGTGAAAAACCTCCGCTTCACCACAGATCAAGTCTGGACGCCTGACATTCTTCTCTACAACAGGTAAAACAAAAACTGGATCACACGTTTCTCTCTCTCGCGCTCACACGCACGCACGCACACACGTCAAGAGGTAATTTCACCTCCTCCTCTGGCCTTTCTCAGTGCAGATGACGACTTTGACTCCACCTTTAAGACCAACGTTCTGGTGAACTCCAGCGGCTTCGCCAAGTATCTTCCTCCAGGTGGGTGCCTGCTTTTGATTGCTTTATTTGTTTATCTGTTCATCATTCCTGCTGGTTCCATTATGCTGTTCTTTTCCGTGACTTGTTCGTTTCCCCGAGGTTAGCGTCCCTTATCTCATTAGGAAATCCTGTCATGTCTCCCTGTTTGTTCACTTGACATTAATATTTCAGCACTGCTGCTTAGACAATGGTAACGGTGCCGTAATGTCTATAAATAGGAGGCGCTTCATTCGTCTTTATCCAGCCTTAACCTAAACGCGAGGCCCCAGCGAGGGTGCAGCGGTGACGGCTCCCCTGTGTTTTCACGGGGCTTTGCTTCATATCTTCCCAGGCCCTTGTTTCTACACCAGATTAAAGCGGTCTGAGAGTAAATCCTTTGTGCTCTTGGGGAGCAGAGCCGAAATGCCCTCCCGCAAGGACCGCAAGCTCAACCGTGTCAGTTCAATTACTCAAACAGGTTTATTAATAGGATGCTGCCGAATGTAATGTACAGCTGCTTGATTCTGTGATTTGGATGAGAGGCATCGAAGGGAAGAATTAAAAGATATTGCTCCGGCCTGGATAATTGAAGTGTATGAAACGTTTAAGGGCTGTTAGGGGAGTAAAAAGAGCAATGGAGACAATTGAAGAAAAGCAGCTGAATGATGACGGATCACATGGGTCCTCTGAGGCAGATTAAACCTCAACAGGTTGTGGGGGGCAGGCATGAATGTGGTGGATCCCCGGCTTCACACCTGTGTTGTGGGCGAAGCAATCTTGTATTTGGATTTGTGTCAGTTTATAAGATAGAGTTTAACAGGTTCTTTCTCTTTTCCGGAATCGGGCACATTCACAACAGGGTAATTTTTTTCTCCCTTCCTTGGTACGGATTCTCGGGAAATAGTTTTTGCGAGTTTATTTTTAAAACTGCGTAAGCTCTGAATTTTTCCAAGCAGCAGAGAAAAGAAAAGTTCAAGCATCCTTGTGTGGGCGTGTTGCCTCGGAGTCACTGGATATCTTTAACAGGGAGGTTATAAAATATGCTGTGAATGGAAGTGCGCAAAACTGCCAGAGGTACAACCTTAGTTATGAAAAAAGATGGGACTCTGAGTAAAATGCAAATAAAAACAGAATGCAATGGCTTCTAAGCCGTATAAGCCGCTCTTCATTTTAAACCCAAGATGCTAAACGCGTTATACGTTCAAACTGAGACCCTTTTCTGTATCATGAAAATGTTAGTTTTTCTTGATGTGATGGCAGTGACACTTTTAGAAAATGATAGTAAACTGGGCCACGTCTTTTAAGAACCCTGTAATGTGTTGGGACTGAGGGGACCAGATGCAGGGCCGTCAGAGGAGGGATGTCTAGTGTCGGATTTGGGAGGCTTTTTGTTGAAATTCGACTTTCACGAAGCGCCACATGTTTCCAGTTGCTGAACGGTCAGCCCAGCTTTCAGATTCGCCCTCATGACACCGGGCTGTTACTGTATAATAGCTGCCCTATGTGGTTTATGTGTCAGACCTTTTCAGAAAAACATTAAAAAATTTATGTAAGTTTCTTGCTCCGTCAGCACTAACACACACTTCATACCATCAGAGATGGTTCACAGGTTTCTGAACTGATAACAAGCTGGATAATGCCCCTCCATTTTAGCCCAGAGGAGGTACGACCCACAATTTCCAAACAATTCTGACCATCGACCAGTTTTCTACTCTGTCTGAGTGTTTTTTCTGTTAGCTTTAAGTACCTCATGAACAGAGCTGTCTCCACATTCTCCCAACCTTCTGATGATGAAATATACTGTAGATGACTGTTAAAAGTCTGAAATATCTCTTGAGAAAAAAATTGTCTATGCATCATATTCATATTATCCAGAGTTCTAACTCTCTTTAGAATTTGGCTTTCAGTTTGAGCTGTTAAATGTTTTTTTTTCTTTCTTTCTTTTTTTTAATTTAGTGCTTGGTTAAATCATGATGAGAATAATCAATCAAGCAAGGTCCCAATCATATTCAAAAGAAGAATTTCACAACATCTGCTTCCAAATCGGTACTCAACACGCTAACCTCCCTGCTCTCCTCCAGATTCTGCATCCGTTTAATTCTGCGGCTGATTTGCATGTTGACGGGCTCATAATGAACGTCTTAGAGATGTGAAAGGCTTCCTTGGCATTTTGGTGTGTGTTTCTGAATGCCTTATCGGGCTCAATTGGCTTGTTTGTGGAAGAACATCCAGGGCCGCAGTTTGCCAGCGAGGTGCTCCGTTCATTGTGATTCTTCCTTTGAGGAGGTGGATAGGAGCATGGAGGAATATTTTAAATTCATTGTTTAGTGTGTAGGTGTGCTGGTGTGTGTAAATGCCTTTTTTTTTTTTACATGATAAAAAGTGCGTATCTCGTTATGGAGCGATCTTTTCTCCCCCCCTCGGTTTTTCTATGGATGTTTTCTGGTGCTGTTGCTGAGGCTTGGTGAACAGCTGTGTGTGCATTCAGAGTGGAGAAGAGCGTCAATGCCAGTTTTTTTTTTTTATAGACATGTCTTTGATGGGAGGTTGTTTTTCTTATCTAGGCTCCTCGTCTCTTTTCAGCCTCCAAACTGAATTGCAAAACAGTAAACTCTCCGAGGACCCCGACAATGTGAAAAAAAAAAGTTGCATTAAAGGTGTGCGAGCTGGCTTGTGACGAAGCATCTTAATAAAGCATCTGCATAGAGATCACCTCACCGGTGCCGGGACGGTCCTCTCCTCTCTCACCACAGCAGCCCTGTGGGCTGGAACTGTCTCCCATCTTTGCTTATGTCTATTTCTCAGGAATCTTTATGAGCACGTGCAATGTGGACGTTCGCTGGTTTCCTTTTGACATTCAGAGGTGCGAGTTGAAATTTGGCTCCTGGACGTACGACGGCTGGCTGCTGGACCTCCAGATGACCGACGCCGACATCTCCGGCTACATGCCCAACGGAGAGTGGGATCTCATCGGTCAGTAGGGAGGAACATCTGCATTGTGTTATCTTCATACTGTATATCAACCAGAACCATCTCCTGGGATGTTGCAGGTGTTCCTGGCACCAGAAACGAGGTCTACTACGACTGTTGCAACGAGCCTTACCCGGATGTGACCTATGTCATCACCATCCGGCGCCGGACGCTGTACTATGCTCTCAACCTGCTCATCCCCTGCGTCCTGCTGTCCTCCATGACCCTGCTGATCTTTGTGCTGCCGGCTGATTCCGGGGAGAAGATTTCACTGGGTGAGTGCGTCAGAAAAACCTGTGTTGTGCCAAAGTCACGCAGGGATCCACTGCAGCGTCTGCGGGTCCAGCTCTTTCACAGCTCACACCACAGAGCCCGTCCCTGTGGACACGGCGAGTGGTCTGCGTCATAAGTTAGCCCGGCCAGTCTGGTCATTCTATTAAACGACCGCCAGCTGAGTTTGAAGTGAATCAACCCACGAAAAAAGGTGCAATCCTCAAAAAGTGGTCAGAGAACAGGAAGTGGGCTGAAAATGGGTGAAATGAGTTATCTTCACAAATCTTGGAGAACTGTTAGGCCACTTTAAAAGATTACAAGGACGTCTGGCTACTTGATGAAATGAAGAGTGGATCAAGACTTTTGCACTTTACTATTAAAGGAAAAGTTTTGAAAAGTCATTGCCATAGGTCGGATTTCAGAAAATTAAACAAACGTCCGTTTACATCTTTTTCTAAGACACATAATAAAATCAAAATGGATTTGATTAAGCTGTGAACATTTGAGCAGTTGTATTGTTCGTGTTCTTATTGAACCCTCTGAGTAATCACTTAGAGTGCAGGCTGGAAAAATGAGGTGGAGGCTGTTTATGGGACTCGCACAACAATGAGGAGCTCTGTTTATTGTGTGTTTTGGGCTATTAGCTATGTTCCTTTCCAAAGGAAAGGCAATTTTTTTTAAAAAGTGTCGCATCAAACATCAAATGCACATCGGGTGTGTTTTCATGCGAAGAATCGGAGCCAATTATCCCGGATTCACAGTGTTGTCAGTATCATAATGGAACGGACTAACTCAAGGCACAGCTGTAATAAAAAGAGTTATGTTCACAAGCTTGTCACAGACTTTGGCTGAATCCCAATTCCTCCACTTGGTCCTTCCCATTCCTTTTACAGACATTATGTGCCCTGTGTCTTATGGAATCAAGCACTAGTGGCCATCTAGGCCATCAAACAGCGTGAGGGGGCAATGTGCTAAGGAAAGGAGCACTTTCCCACCTCTAAGCAAAGTGTTAGGGTTAAATGGTAATGCCAAAGTGAAGAAGTCTTATTAAGCAAATATCGTGTAATGTTCCTTTTAATGTGTGACCAGTTGGTCATCTTTGTGAAATGTGTCTATTCAGAAAAAGGCTCCAGATCACCCCGAACACTTTGACTGAGACAGGGAGAAAAAATAGAATAATTTAAACTTCTTTGGGAAAATAATCCAAATCTTTTTTTAAACAAAAAGCCGATGCATCAATAAAGTATGAAAGCGTAACTCAAAACATTTTCTCACTTTCAGCACGACAAAACTAAACCGAGTGATAGAGAGGACAGGTTTCAACCGACATATCAAAGCTTCAATTAGTCTTTTCCACGTTTCCATGAAACCTTTTTCTGATTTACAACTTTAAAATGACATTCAAGGAATTAAGTGTCCCTGTTACCGTGGGGATTTGGTCTCATCTGTCCCTGAGGGGGTCTGAAGCCTTTCAGCAGTCTCGTACAAACCGCTGTCTTGGCAAAATCTCCTTTTTTTTCAGAACAGTGCTTACCTGTGTGGTGTCTTCCCATTAATTCCTATTAGGTCATCTCCTTCCTATTTGCTGACTATCCGTCTTACTTTTTTTTCTCGGCTCTCTGCTTTCGCATAACATTTTCTCGAAGGCCAGGAAAACTTGTAGTGACGAGGCCAAAGTTTAACCGTAACTGGACTCAGAAACCAGAGTTCACATTCCCATATCTATATAGGTCGACACTTCTACAACTCACACCTCCTTTTCTCCCTGAATTGCAACACAAGGCAACCACCATTGTTTGGAGAGCTCATTAGCACAGAAGTTTGCTTAAAGTACAGTCTGAATGAATTGCTATTTGCTTCCTACTGTTAGATTATGATCAGACCACATTTTATAAGGGTAATAAAACATGAATGAAGGCAGTGATGTATCTTCTTTGCAGACTTCTTAAAAAGGAATAAATACACTCAATCATGTGCCCCCCCCTAACATCCCATACAGCTGCCAAGAACAAATGAAATTTCCAACTTTAGAGGTCTCAATGCAGCGTGACTAAAGAGTGTCTTCATTCAGCGTCAGACTGAATGTTAATCACAAAGAAAAGCACTCGATAAAAAATGCAAAAAGTACAGGAGTGGCACGGGCGATGTAACAGGAGGCGAAAAAACAGGCAGAGGTTTGGGAGGGAGCTGAGAGAGGAGAGGGATTAGAGGATAAAACAGACAGATGAGAAATGCGAGGAGGAGGAACACAGAGAGCAGTGGGTGTGGGAAGATGGCAAGAAGACAGGTGAAGAATTTGAAAAGGATGAGAGAGGACAGCACAAAAGGGAAAGGGAGGACTTGTGATGGTGATGAGGAGAAGGAGGAGGAAAACAATCAAATCACACCATAATAGGCCGGAAGAAAGAGACGAAGCGCACGAGACATATTCAAATCCCCACTGTTTGATAAAATACTAATGTCAATGTCGACCTTTTTTAATCCTGACTAAATCATCTGGGTTGAAACAATCAGACAAACAGAAGAGTAGTTGATTTAATATTGGATAGGTTGCTTGTTACAACACGCTCAGCTGTCAGCCTGTCAACGGTTTGAGTTGAATCTGTCATTCAGGCTGTCTGTATTGAATAGTAGAAAAAGAACACATCTGATTCTAGGAAACAGCACGAGAGAATCTGACTCATTTTAATTCCGGTAAGAGAACATTTCAGAACAAATAGAAACCTCTGTTTTTAATCCCAAAGGGTAAGCCGTCTGCCTGCAGTCGCTGTTGTGTAGTGGGTGTGCAACATTGTCCATTACGTTGAGCGGCTTTTCCAGCATTCTACTTTTAATTATCAGCTCCACGGGGACCTGATCAGTCCCCAGCAAAGGGCAGGCCTTCTTTGTCAGTAGGTTCAGTTTCATTGAGTCTCTGGTTCTGGTGCTGCTGCCAAACGCAAATGGCTGCAAAGCAGATTACTCTGACGGGCTTATAGAATATATTAAACATCTCTGGGCAGCCTCTGACGGACCTAAGCTCCCCTAAAGTAAACAGCCTTCACTCCCTTCTCGAAGGCAACCCCGGAGTAACACACATGACTTCTTATTTTTCGTAAACAGTTTTTTGTTTGCGGGAGGTGGAAACATCCAGACGTCTTTTCAGCTGTGTTTTCTGGAGCGTCTTACAGTTTTGTGTTGATCCTTGCCTGTGTCACCTAGTGCTTGCTCTGGGTGGGAATTGTTGGGCTTCTGTAAATAACTTCAGAGTAGGGTCTGACCTGCTCTTTTGTGAGATAACTGCTGTTGTTATTTGATACATAAAATTGAATTGAATTGTGTAAACGGTAATGGAGATATGAAAGAGGACGAGCCTCTCAAGGCTGCAAACTTCGGCCAGAGTGCTTCTGGAGTTCTTCATTCGCTTTCTAAGGGGAGCCATTTACAGTCTGTCCAGGACTTTCATGATGGGACGTAACTGGTCTGGGGGTCACTGAGGGCAGAAGCTAGCGATTTTCTGTGAATCGGAAGAAGGTAGAAAGTGCTCCTCGCGCTCCAAGAGGTGCAGCGGAATCTTACGTGGCTGTTGGCTGTAGCTTTCTGAGCCCCTGGGGGCGGACTCCATCTTGACCTGCAGCCTTGTTCCAGTTCAGTCTCTCCAGCTGCTCCTTCAGCTGGCTAATGGAGAGAGACAATAGGGGGGGGGGGGAAATGTGGGGACAGGTGTGGTGTAGCCGGAGGCCGGATAAGAGAATGCCCAGCATTGCCCTGAGCTGAACCTAATTTGATTGCTCAGCAAACCGGTTCTGTCCAGACTCTTCTGGGGGAAACCGGCTTCATTTGACCACACGTGCTCGGTTCCTCCAGCTCCATTTTTAAAAGAGGATCAATTAGTATACAGTAATGTCCTTGCATCGGGCCATTAGCTCACTAAATATGTTGTTTGGAAAAATGATGCCATTTTTTTGGTAAAGGCTTTCTGACTCACATCTGTGTGTGGGGGGTTTGGACACGCTTATCCAAAGTGTCCTCAGCCTGGATACAGGACGTATTATACAGCATCTCTCTGAAGGAAAAAAATGCCAACTCTTACACATGCGGTCAATTAACCTATTGATGTAATTAAGGCTAGTGAATTGATCGGAGGGGGTGGGGGGGTTGGGGGGGAGCATTTTCCTGCCTTCCAGGAAAATACTCTCTACTGTCACTTTACTTTATGGAGGAGACAATGGGGACAAAGCAGCCAGGCCCGCCGGGTTACGGGAGCTGGGTCTTAAAAAGAAGAGGTGTCATTTCTGAGAAAAAAAACGGCAACATTAAAGAAGTGTCTTTTAACTTACCTAATATCCTTAAAACGTTCATATTTTATCTCTCCGTTCCGGAGACTAATTGAATGTTCTAAATGGTGACAGTTATGCCAGCGAAGCACCCCTTAAATTCTATAACATGAGACAAATGGTGTGGAGGTGGAAAAATGAAGACGAGTCCCTCAGCAGGAGTGTGTGTGGTGTGTGTTTACTGTGTGGAAGTGCAGTTTGGCTGTAGAGGTACAGAATGTCATGGGGGTAATCCACCATTTTAGCATTAGCCGGTCATTTACATAAATCGAACTAGATCTCATCCTGAGTGTGATCATTTATCAAAATAGCAAACGCACCGATGGAGTTTCTTAAAAGAAGCCAAGGCCACTCAAGGGAGGGGACTAAACCGCAATATTGATTCTTTAACAAAATGTAGACAAAGCATTAGGAACAACCTGTTTGTTTTGCCTCTGCCCGCAGGTATCACCGTGCTGCTGTCTCTGACTGTTTTCATGCTGCTGGTTGCTGAGATCATGCCCGCCACATCCGACTCTGTCCCTCTCATAGGTACGTGAGAATCCTCTGTTCAGCTTTATGCGCCGGCCAGTTATTAAATGACCTCATGACACGAAATGAAGTCCTATTGCGCTCTCTGAATTTAAGTGAGCCAAGCTACCTGAAATGGTTTTAAATCTAAAGCTGATTTCGACCCAGTTCTCCTCTGTGACACTGAGGTCTTTATTTAACCAAACCTCATTGGCGTTTGTTCATGCAGGCAGTGATTCCCCATAATTATAATCAAAGAAAATACACAGCTGCCTGTGCTCACAAGAGCAATTTTGTGTAAAGAATCTAAAGGCTGCGTATTGAGGTAATGGTGGGATTGCAATAGGACGTACATGAGTGCTAATCATGAGGTTTTAAAATGCGACCATGAAGTTTTGATTTATTTTTCTTACAAGGAGTATTGTTACCTTAACCTGACCAGGGGGTAAGACGATGTTGTCGTATTGTGTTTTCCAAATGTGTGACTGGCAAACCAGGAATGGATTAGTATCCATTCAAGCGACAGAAAGACTATAAAATCAATGTATTTCAGCTCTGGTGAGGCGTCCCTTTGCTGAATGAGTGTAACCCAGAAATGAAAAGCAGTTGTTGTATCCAGGTGTTGGTGGGTAGAAAGTGCCACTCATCGTCACAAGGTCTCATTTCCCTCCATTGTTCTTAATCGATTCACCAAATTATTTCAAAAGATGTCTTTAAACAGACTCAGATCATCCTGGCTGATCCTATTCATCCCTCACGGTGGGAGTTCTTGTGGCTCCATTAAGCCTGCAGATTCTTTTGTGACTAACAGGCTCGAAACATCTTTCACTTTTACTGCTGTTTTGCTTATCAAATGAAAAACGTTTCTTTTATACTTATTGGCTCAAAATTCTTTTTATTTGTTCACTGTGTTGCATTGTTTTACATTTCCCTTGGGGGTAACCATATTGTGACGTTCTGACTTGTTCCTTGAACCCTGTTTCTCTCCTGTGTTGCTGTTTTCAGATGGGGTTTTTAGGAAAATATTTGTAACTGAGTATTGTTAAAGGAAGGGTGTAATGATGTGGTACACATGCATCTTTCTCGATTTTTTAAAATCACACTAATTGCATCAAATTCAAAAGGAGCTCCTCTCTAAACAGGGCGATTTGCAAAAATGTCACATTTTGTTTTTATTTACTATCTTATATATCTTACATCCTACAGACTGACGCAGTTTATTAGAATCTGCCTTGGAGAAAACACTGGTCTCAAAGGCAGATGAATAAATGATCAGTCAGCTCTGATGATTCCACGTGATAAAAACAGAATTTCTCCAAATGAAATGAAGTAATTGAAATTCACTAATGTTTACGTTTATTGGACCATCCGACGGCTGATGAAAACCAGGCTGATCCAAACTGGTGGGCCAGCTGGTAAACAGTAAAGCCTCAGTGACAAGTAGTGCTTGATGATCTGCTCGAGATTCCAGATTTCATCACTGAATGTAGAGCAGATATGAACTACATTCATAACACACAGTTACAAAGAGGCAGAGCCTCGAAAACATAATTTATTTCAGCCACCTGCTTACCCTAAAATTTAATAGGCTAAATTGATTGTGGGCACACTGCTAGAAATTATGTTTAGTGAGCTAAGACTGCAGCCAGAAGCAGATGCAAGACTATCATTGCCCGTGGATACAAAACCGGGTCATTAAAAGCTTCTGACAAAAAAAAAATGCAGTCGTGATCCTCAGAGTGCTGCTTTCAGCATAATTTTTTATTAAGACTAACAACCCTCATCTTAATCTGTTTGATGATTTTGCCAACACAATGTACAGTGTAAACTAGTGGGCTGCGTCAGTTTGGCATGTTTATGTACAGAGAAATACGCTTATTTTGGACAATTTTAAAGAAGGAAAAGGACAGTCTTTGCACAGAAAATGGAGCTGAACTCCATGTTGAGGATTTCAGTGAGCGACATGAGAGAATGTGCAAATGTTAACTCTTTTTTATTTATTTTTATATCTCCTGAATGGTTTGCACCACTGCAAATGGTGCCTGTTAACAGGTTGGAAAAAGATTGCATGGGAAGAAAAATGAATAATTGCGTTTCAAACTCCTCCTCAGGTCAGTACTTTGCCAGTATAATGATCATCGTGGGGATGTCAGTCATCGCTACGGTGGTGGTTCTGCAGTATCATCACCACGATCCAAACGGAGGAAACATGCCCAAATGGGTGAGGCCCAGCTCGCACGGTCCACGTGACCTCAGACACGTTGCAAGGCGTAAAAGGCTTAATCACTCTTCCCTGCCTGTTAAAGTAGAAGCTGCTGTGTTCCTTTCGGTTACCGGGTCCCATCATTAGTATCGCCGCTCTGCTGTTTTTCTGTGAGGCTTCCTCTGATTGTCAGCACGCCGTACGCTCCTCCGCCGCTTTCTCTTTTTCACTCACCGTCTTCCCGGGCTGTGACTCATCGGCGGCATCAGTCTGCCTCAGTGTGCTCGTCAAAAGCCTCGCCACAGACTTCAGCCCGAGTGCCTTTTCAAAGCACTCTGGATATGTGGGCGGATTCGGCTTGACTCGCTCCCTGTTTTCATTTTTCTTCCCTTCTGTTTACAAAAAAAGACTAATTATAATTTCAATGTTTATAAACCAAAACTATAAAAACATTGACAGTCACTTTGTAATAAAGCAGTTTGGTTTATTCCCGCATAAAATCTGCCACTAAGACGGCAGGTCTGGTTTATTTTGGGATGTGCACGTCATGCGGTTTGGATCAAACTGAGGAGAATGAGGGATGGGCCGGCGATGACTCAAACATATACAGGTGTTTTGGCTGTATGAGCCTGCAAGCGCAGCATGTATCGACACGTTGAAAGGGCGTTCTGTTGATGAATGGCCTGTTCGGAGAGTCCAGCGGCCAATTAACGGGCTAATTGATGAGGCTCAGATGAGGGCAGTGAACCAGCGCAGTTCATAACTGGACAAATACAGTATCAGCGGCAGCCACAGGGGCCGTTACCTGGACGGTAAACATTCTCTGCGGAGGATAATTGAGCAGTCATCTGGACATTAGCTCTCGTTAGGTGCCAGACACCCATCTGGATGCTGCTGGGCCGCTTTGCCCTTTCTGGAGGCTCCTTACAAGGCGGTCGAGGGGGTGATGAGGAACAAGACAGAAGGAGAGCGGAATTGTTTTGTTTTGTCTTTAACTGAGGCTGAGTTTTTCTAAACACGCCTGCAAGCTGGCGAGGCGTTCTGAATAAGTAATCTGACAATTGATCCCGAAAAGTCCTCCGGTTGAGTTTAACACCGCCGGCTCTCTGTGAAGGGAGTCTGGTTAAAGCCCGAGGCAGAGGCTTTAACGTGTCCACAGGTGCTGTTACGCTGCCGCAGACTACAAAGTTGAATAAGCGGATAAGAGTGGAGCCGGTGTTTTTGCGGGCGGGTCAGGATGTGTTGTTTTTTTCTGCGCTTTGACAGCCGCTTGAAAAAACAGATTTTACAGATTTTTCTCTTTCCTGTGCGGATGCTTTGCCGCTCAGTCCTCCCTGTGTCTCCTGTGGCCTGCAGGTGCAGCTGGTGTTGCTGCAGTGGGTGGCCTGGTTCCTGCGGATGAAGCGGCCGGGGGAGAGCGAGGACCCCGAGCGGCCCCCCTGCGCGCCGCACCTGCGCCGCTGCTCCTCGGGCTCGCAGAGCGGGAGCATCCCCAACCCGCCCGACCACACCCTCCACCCGCTGCACCCGCAGAGCCTGGCCCCGCTCCAGACGGGGGGGCTCCACGTGGGCCACCCCCACCTGCACGCTCAGTCCAGCGCGAACAACAACGGGAACCTGCTCTACATGGGCTTCCAGAGCATGGAGGACTCTTCGGTGCTCTCCGAGCCCGTCCAGAGGAACAACATCTCGGCGGGGCCCCCGCGCGTGGCGGGGAGCCCCCCCCCGCACCTACCGTCTCAGTTCTGCGGCTCCCCGCCGCCGCCCGCCTCCGCCATGGACACGGTGGGGTGTCCCAGCACCGTGTCCAGCGGCGGGGGGTTCGGGGGCGGAGCGGGGGGGCTGGGAGGGTGCTCCACCGCAGGAATGGGAGACCCCCAGCTGCAGGCCATCCTGGAGGAGGTGCGCTACATGGCAGACCGCTTCCGCGAGCAGGACGAGGCCGAGAGCGTGGCCGACCAGTGGAAGTTTGCGGGCGCCGTGATCGACCGCCTCTGCCTGGTGGCGTTTAGCATGTTCAACATCATCTGCACCATCTCAATCCTCATGTCCGCTCCCAACTTTGTGGAGGCTATTTCAAAGGACTTTGTCTGAAAGCAGAGAAAGGAACAGAGAGGAAGCGCAAACGGACGTTTGAGGGGAATTAAATGTAGAATAAAGGATGGAGTGGGTCTCGACCCAAGGGAACACAATTTGCAGCAAACTGTAGGCTTTGTGATTTGTGATTGCAAAGACTTGGAAAACAGGAAAAAAAAATGTTTTCTTTGCAATACACTCTGTTTTGTAACTGAAAAAAGAAGAAAACAGATGAAGGAGGAAATACAGAGTAATGCTTAGATTAAATTAGGGCCAGCAGGGTGCTTCATCATATTCTTGACAAGATGAAATGGATTTTTGCAGCTAAGTCAAAGACTTTTCTCACAAAATTAAGAGGAAAGATGAGTCAGAAAAAGGTAGAGAAACAGAAAATTATTACTGTGTTTCAAGTTGAGACCAGATGGATTACGGCCAGTAGAAAGATTGAGAACACAGGGGCGGAAAAGAGGCAGACAGATATATACAGGGACAGATAAGGGAGACAGATGTGAGTGCTTTATTTTCTCAAGAAGCAGAGACAGCCCCTTACACCCACATGTGGAGAAAATACTGCATCAAATAAAGTGATGCGAGGACAAGAAGGCGGGGAAAAGAAAAGGGAGTCTTACAAGGACACACTACAAAGAGCGGTGAAGGACCGACACCTCATCCCCCGTGACACTGGCAGAGAGGCGGAGGAAGCAGCGCGATGCTCGGATGCACAAAAAAATGGACCGAAGATCAAGAACGCTGCAGCACAGAGGAACAGAAGAGGATCTCATCCATTATTCAATCACAAAGTCAAAGACCTTGGATAATCTTTAGGTCTGATAAGCTTTTAAAGGATAAATTCCCCCCTTTGCTTGTGAGCCATTTCGAATTTCCAAGGTCTTGTCTCGATGAGGCAAATTTCCAATCAGCAGAGATCAGAGGTTCCTCGGCGGCCCGCGCTGTGTGCGGCGCCCGTCACGACCGCTAAACTGAATCAACTGGTCATCAGCAGTCGCCCGGCCGCAGGGGAGACGAATGAAAATCCACAGGGCAGTTTTCCTAACTCTATCCGACAGGTCGTAATGGACCAGCGGAACTCGTCGGATCTCATATTAAAGGTTTAATAGCTCAGTTGGGAGGTCAGGACTTTAGAGGGACACACGAGGCGGCAGAAAGGGGGGACGAGATTATTCAAAGTCCCAAAATTGAAACGAAGAGGCAGCACAGCGCTGCATAATTTTCTCTCAGATCCTGAGCGGTTTACAGCTTCATGAGGGATCTGAAAGGAACAATTAGGTGGGATTTAAAGGAAATCATTCAACCCTTGACATTTTCACTCCAACCCTCCGCTAAAGATCACACATGGAAAACAGTAGCCAGTAACCAAAATCTCTCAATATAGTGTCGCCTCTCTGCTTGCAGTTTGAATGTACTTTGGTTGCAAGGTTATCTCGGCTGCGCTTCATTCACGGATGTTGATGGGTTTAATTAGCTGCTCCTGTATCTGAAAGGATCACAAAGGATGCATCTAAAATTAGAAGTCCAACAGCTGAAAGCAGAGCGTCTGAATTCTGAATGTGACATCTGTGCTCTGAGCTGGCCTTTAACAGTTATGCCGCAGTAATCCCACAATGCACTGTGTTACAGGCAAAAACTGGGATGCAAAAGTCATAAAAGCCCAGAAGTTTAATTCAATGCTGGTAAAAGAGTTACAGAAGGACGAAGGACGAGTCCACAAAAACTAGAAAAACACAGGAACATCTTCAGTGAGATGTTTGGTATGGGTACAGCTGTGCTGCACAGTCACAAATCCAAAATATGACAGAAAATATTGGATGGATTTTCCTGTATTTCTGAAAACCTTACTAATTGCTGCTTCGTATGTCATGTGCATACAATTCACAACAGAAGCAGGACACTGTGTGATGTCACTGAGGTGTCACAGAAATGTATTTGTACAGTTAATCCTAACGTAATAGTTGGAACTCCAACAACAACAAGAGCAATATTTTTTACAGCACTTGGTACGTCCACTTTTTATTTCAGCAAAGCAAATCTCTGAGCAAATCTCTTCTCTGGAGTTTTTATTTTTCTTTAGATTAGATGACCAAATTTAGCAACTTCACCATTTTAAGTTGAATATATAATCCATCAAAAGTGTTCGACGTTTGCTTTGATTTAATAAACTATTGCATAGTTTTTGAAGTGTGTGTTGGATCTTTATCATGCTTGAAATCTGTGACTAACAGTAGAGAAAGTTAAAGAAAAACACACAGATAATGCATAAAACATAAAAAGGATGTAAAATAATAATAATAAGATAAGACATTTTGGATATGAATGTTTAAGTAAAATTAAAATAGACACACGTGAGAAAATATTATGAGAAATAATAGGAGTAAATTGAACATTTTGGATAGATGATTAATTAGATTGCGTCATGTAAATACGTATAATAAAAAAAATACCATTTTCTTTCATTTAATTTTTCCACACATTTCCACATTCATTTGTTGATTTCTCTGTATGTTTCTCCTTTATTTCCTTTATCTATTTTCGATCTTTTCTCCAACGTGTTCTTGTAATGAATATCCTACTCTTTTATATTTGTCCCTGTGGGGCGCTTCTTCGTCTGTTTGTCAGAGCGTCTTGTGCACGCTTTGAGCCTCTGATTAGTTGTGCACAATTTGTGCTTCATCATAACTGCTGACCATTGAAATTTGGCTGGACACTTTTCAGGCCATCTTTTCCGAAGATAAAAAGAAAAAAATCCAGTCCCTTCTTTATTTCTCCTGTTCCAGCCTCACAGGGCAACAATTAGCTTCCATTCAAATCTGAGTCAGATTTTCAAATGTTGTTTTACAACCATGTGTGTCTTATCTCCTATAAACCCTTTCTGAGGTGTTTTCTTTGTATTTTTCATAACAGAAAATGCCCGATACATCAATACATAGAAATTGAATTATTCAGAGGCAATAAAAGCTGAATCATTTGACAATTCGGTGATGTTGCTCAGGGGTGGACTGACTACTACTGCATACTGTACAAGTGCCAAGATTTCTCATAGTCCTCTCAGAAAAGATCATGACTGGTCAGAGCAGTGTTTTTTTTATTGTTGAATACCGAAAACTGGCTGCAAATGGCTTTTAAAAAGAACAACATTCAAACTGTAAGCAGAGACACGAGGTCTAATCATTTTGGAAGGAAACATCAGGAGTTACTTTGATTTTCTTACAATGCCAACAAATCCCATTAAATCATTCAATTTCTGTACATGAACATTTCCCATTTTTCTGAAGCAGTGAGGCACTTCCCCTTTAAGAAACCTTTTACGATGTTCAACTGTGGATTAATTCACGTTTGATCCTCCTTTGAGTTTTTACAGCTGCAGCATGATGTGTAAGAGGTTGACCGAGAATAAAACCCCATAGCTCCCATTCATCGTAATGAGAAAACACGACCAGGGTAATGTTTGGCCCATTAATGTTTTTCCTGTCTTTTAAGGAAACTATAATGTGACGCAAAGGAAATTATGTCTCAGGCTTTGTTTGTGTGACACATTTGGTCATTTAATGAGATGTTCTGGTTGGCGAAAAACGTGCATTTTTTCCTTTAAGAACATTTTGGATGTTTGCTTTTACAGAAAGATCCGAAAAGCCAAGTATGTTTATTACATTCCTGACCAACACTGTCTGTCTCCTCTGGATCTAAGTGTTTTCTGTGTGAACTGCTTCATAGAGTAGGAAACCTCTCCACACCTATCTTCATTTCTGTCTTCCTGTCTCGGGGAGGCAGAGGCCCTGGCAAAAAGGTTGTTCTACTTTGAGCACATATTGACACCCAAACACTCACCTCTGTACAGAGCACCTCTCATCCTAAAAATAAAGAAATCTCTACTTTTTTTCTACCACCTTTTCTCTGCTCTGCTCCCTATGTTGTGCATGGCCTGACAGCCAAAAAGAAAAGAAAAATGACAGCGAGGGGATAAGAGAAAAGGGGAAGCGGGGGGGGGGGGGGGGGGGGGGGGG